CATCCACACTGCCTCCCACAGTAAAAGGAGCTCTTTTCTTCAAGAGTATCATTACCCCAACACCCTTTCACCAATACCACGCTCTGATCATCCACAATTTAAACAGAGACGTAGACCAAAGCTCCTTCCTGCTTTTAGAATACTTCTACCCCACATCTCCAAATGCACAAAGAAAGTCACTGGACAAAAACAGGCAATGTTACTTCTGAACCCATAACATTAGAGAGGTCCTGACTGTGGAAAGACAAACTCTGGCTTGAAGTTAACTTGAATTAGACTGCATAGGGGAAAAAAATAGATCCCTAACCACTTTACTGTACAAAATGCCTTCAGATGAGGTATTAAGGCAGAGTGATAGACACTGGTGTGAAGAGCTTGGACTTCTATCACTCTCAACAACGTGAAAGGAGATTGTAGCAAGGTGGGTTGGCATCTTCTCCCAGGTAACAGTAATAGGACGGGATGTAATGGAGGTGGTGGAGTCACCATCCCTGGAGCTGTTCCAGAGCCGTGTGGACGTGGCACTGAGGGATATGGTCAGTGGGCATGGTGGGGATGGGCTGACAGTTAGACAAGGTCTTTTCCAACCTTAATGATTCTATGGTTTAGATTTAAACCATAGAAGAGACCATCTCCCCCCAGACAAAGCAGTATTTGCTACAGGGGAAAAGATAGTGAATCACACCAGAATGGTTGCACAGAGGAGCTTCTAGGACAGTCAGACCAAAGGAAATCATTTAGACTGCTCCAACCAGTAACACAAGATTGGGAAAGGTACAGCTGGTCTCTGAAGCACACTCAGAATCAGAGAAGTTGTTATGGAAAAAAAGAGTTACTTACACTAAAAGTCAGACTGATGTAGGCAACACTAATTTAGCCCGAAGCAAACTAAGAATTGGCTTTGATTCTGAAATAGTTTTCTAATTGGCATTGCAGAAATGAATGTAGGTTCACTTAAAGCTGGAAGTTGACAAATAAGTGAATCTTTCCTCAGTTAATTTCCAGCATATTTCAATGCATTCAGAATGCTTTGTGGGTTGTGTATTTGCCAGACACAATCACATGAGCCTCATCTCCATGACCAAGTGAGACCTAACAGCAAGTAAACTGAAAATTTTGGTCTGGCTGCTAACAAGGGCATAGGAACCCCATTATGCTATATAGACAGAAGTTAAGTCCAGGCTTGCAAGCTCATCTCCAGCAGTAAATATTTGAACAGAAGGACCTTTGCAGAATGCACAAGGCTGTGATAAAAGCCTCTTTGGGGCACAAGCATCTCCAAGCTGATAAGTCATGGCCCTGAAGCACTGCTGCCATCTTGAATTATGACCCTAATCCCTTGCAGCACATGCCCTTTGAGGAGTAGTATAATTAGTTTTTACATTTTGCCATTCGATTCTATGGTGGGAAAAAGGAAGATCCACAGCCATCCTGAATCAGTTGGCTTTAAGCATCTTTCACAGAGGTTAAAAACCACATGGAATTCTTCGGTCACACTCCTCTCCTCGTAATGCCAGAAAAAGGTAAACAGGAACGTGCCCTTGCTCTGTGTTTACTGGCCATGGGAGGCTGCCAAAAATGCACGGTCTGTGCTCTCAGCCTTGGCAGAAGGGACACGTTACTCATGTTGGACATGTTTAGAGCAGCATTGGAACCCCTCCCATCCACACCATTGGAGAACTCCAAACACCAAACCTTCTTGTATTAGAAAATAACATCATTAAGGGGAGGAAGAAGAGTATTAACAGTGGTACCTGCAGAGCTGTGGTCTGGATAGGAGTGGTGAGAGCGGTGAGTGCTGGGTTCTGCACTGCAGCCATAACAGGATTGCCGTCCGCCTTCAGCGTGGTCAGCACGAGGGAATCCGTCTTGATGATCTGAGGCTGGACCAGAACCTGCACGGGGAACAGCCAGAGGTGAGGGGATGAGTGGGCACGCACTGTTCCTCCCAGTGGTCAGGGGCAGTGACAACTCCTGGGGTCAGTGGTACTGACATCAGAAACCAGTAGTAAGCCAGTGCCCAAAAACACCAAGGAGCTGATGAAAGGGTTCCTCTGCCCTTGCCTTTAGCAAGTTTCCTGTGTCAGCTGGGGGAGCCCTCAGGGTACAACACATGGGTGGGGGCGACTGGACGAGAGGGAGTAGCCTCAAGTTGTGCCAGAGGAGGTTTGAGTTGGATATTAGGAAAAACTTCATCTCCAAAAGAGCGGTGCAGCAGTGGCACAGGCTGCCCAGGGAGGTGATGGAGTCACCATTTCTGGAGATGTTCCAGAACCATGTGGAACACGGACATGGTTAGTGGGCATGGTGGGGATGGGCTGGCGGTTAGATCCTAGTGATCTTTTCCACCCTTAATGATTCTATGTTACAGCACCTCCCAGTGCCAGCAGCGGTTCCTTCCTCTGATTTAACTGGGAGGATGTCAAAACAAACAGTTATTTTAATGTGACACATCTGGCTTTTGCTCTTTCAAGTACCTCACTGACTCCCAAATACAGAGAACGCTACAGAGGGCCCAAACAGAATCACAGAATCATGGAATCATAGAATCACTCAGGTTGGAAAAGACCTTAAAGATCATCGAGTCTAATCACGACTTAACCATACTACTCTAGCTCTAGCAACCTTCCACTAAATCATGTCCCTGAGCACCACATCCAAATGGTTTTTAAACATATCCAGGGATGGTGACCCAACCACCTCCCTGGGGAACCTATTCCAGTGCTTCACAACCCCTTCTGTAAAGAAGCTTTTCCTGATATCCAACCTAAACTTACCCTGGCGCAACTTAAGGCCACTTCCCCTCATCTTGTCACCTGTGAGAAGAAACCAACCCTGCTCTCACTGTGAGCACCTTTCAGATATTGAAAGAGCAGTAAGGTCCCCCCTCAGCCTCCTTTTCCCCAGACCCTTCAGTCTCTCCTCATAGGGCACATTCTCCAAGCATTCACATGCCTTGTTGCCCTTCTTTGGACCTGCTTCAGCACCTCAATGTCCTTCCTGTACTGAGGTGCCCAAAACAGAACACAGCACTCAAGGTGAGGCCTCGCCAGTGCCGAGTACAGGGGCAGGATTACTTCCTCAGTCCTGCTCACCACATCATTCCTGATACAATTATTCCTGATACAGTTGAACCAGAGCAATTTTTCCACAGGGAGTGTTCCCTAGTGAAAAAACACTTATCAATACCTACTAAAGGTGAGAGCCACATGGATGGGCCAGGCTCTTTCACTTCCACTTACCGGCACCTGCTGGACCTGCGGTGCTGCCACCGTCTGAACTGTGGCAGGTGCCAGTGCCTGGATGGTGCCACCAGCAGCCTGTGTCAGCACACGTGGGGCCGGCACCGCCTGCACCTGCTGCTGGATGGTGACCGGCTGCACCTGGGGGGACGTCACCAGGCTCTGCACCTGGGGCTGGAGAACTGCAAAGAGGGAGAGACGTCAGGGACTGCGCCGTGCTGAGGCCTTCTAAGCTTTCTGCTATGGATACAACCAACCCCGACGCTACCTTGGAAGCTCGTGGCCGTGTTCTGGTATAGGACGGGCTGCTGGATGATCCTGGTCTGGGGCGCAGAGCTGAAGGTGGGGGTGATCATCACCGTCTGCTGCTGGAGCTGTGGCTGGAGCTGGGGCCGGGGCTGGAGCAGCGGGGCCGGGCGCTGCGGGGCCGGGGGCACCTTCACCGGGATGCTCTGCAGCTGCGGGGAGGCGGCGGGCGGAGGGAAGGGCTGCTGGGCCTGGCCATAGGGCCGCGTGGCATCCAGGGCCCCACTGCCCGTGCCATTGCCACCACCGCCGCTGCCACCCTGGAAGGTGCCACACAGAGGGTCCGAAAACAGGTCTGGGAAGTCCCCTGCCTGGTTGCTGACGAACTGCAGCATCTCTGCAAGAAGGAAAGGGAACATTTGGGGCTGGTTGGTTCCATGGGACACAGGGTCAGGACTCAGAGGCCAGCAGTGGGCACAGCAGAAAGTGGCGGCTTCAGAAGCCCCAGAGGAAGCCAGTAACTCAGTGTCGAAACACTCCCAGAGTTCGGGATCCAATATTTTCAGCCCATTTCCATTTGTCCAATCCCCATCCCAGCTTCACGCTCGGAGGAGGAGGATGAGCAGCCCCATGACTTCAGTAGGAGCCGTCCTCCCACCTAGGGCTGCCTCACACCGCCCATCCTCTGCCCACGGAGCCCCACTGGGACACGCGGATGGTGACTCACCCCGACTTCGGGTAATTTCAGGTATTCAGGGAAATAGAGGAAACACGCTCAAGAAAACAGCGCTTTGCAGAACTTGAGCTGAGAAACGCACGGGTACGGCTAAGGAGATCCCACAGCCAAAGCTTCCTCCTGATTGCCCCCCACTGACCACCTGAGCTCCCCCTGGCCCCATCCCAACACCCGGCACACAGGACCCCACATGGCACAGATACCCCAGGGGCTGTACACGGGTATGGCAGCAGCACTGAGGTTTATGGCAAAGGAGTGGCAGTAGGGCCGTCCCCACGCCACCCCACGCCGCACCCAGGACACACGACACGGCACTTTCCCACTCGATGACACTGCCATTTTGCGAGCAGGTGGCCCTACGCAGGTAAGGGACGGACATAATGCGTTGGATGTGCTCCAACGCACTCCATGCTTGGATACGGGGCCCTCCCCGGGGCCACTCGTTAGGATCGGCACTAATTACTGCTTCGCCCCCCGCTGCCCTCTGACGTCATGCTGCTCCCCGTGACGTCACGCGCATGACTCAAACCCGCCAACACGCGCCGCGGGGGCTTCCCCGCACCCCCACGTAGCCCACGCGTGGCACAGCACCGAGCCCCGCGCTCCCGCCCGGCCCCGCGCTCACCGTCGATGTCGCCCAGCGTCAGCTCGTCGCCCAGCTCAGTCAGGGTCTCCATGCCCTCGGCGCCCAGCTCGCCGCTCTCCATGTCGCACGGCCCCGCTCCGCTCCCCGCCCGCTCTAAGCGGAGGAAGCAGCCCGGCGCCGCCGGCCCCGCGCCATCTTGCACCGCCCCGGCCCCGCCCCCACCTGCCTGGCCCCGCCCCCCCGCGCGCTGTCATTGGGACCAGGTCGGCGGCAGCCAATGGGAACGCGCGGCGCCGCGTGGCGTGATGGCGCGTCGGCGATCAGCAGCTGCGATTTGCATGCGAGACCACGCCCCCCGCCTCCCGCGCTGCATATTCATGAGGGGGCGTGACCGAGCCCACGGGCGTGAGCCCCTCGCCGCGCCCCCGGCCCTGCCCACCGCCTTCTCCATGGCAGCGAGCAAGAAGCCTCGTCGTAAAAAAAATAACAACCGTTCCGATTTATTCCAGAAAAACAACGCATGCCCCGTCCCCAGCACACGGCTTTGACCCATCTGACGTGAGGTGTCCCAGCGCCCGCTGCTCGGGGATAGCCCCACTCTGCGGCCGTGGGACCACTGGGCCGCATCGGCTGAAAAACCAAAATCCACCCTGAAACTCACAGAAACGGCTGACGGGGCATCCCCAGCCCAGCCGCGGGTGGGAGCGGCTGCATCGACGCAGGTCCCGGCCCACCCGGGCCTACAGCTCAGACTGCGAGCGAGAGATGCGCGGGCCCTTGCGGATCTCCTTGCGCTTCTCCTCCTTCCGGCGCCGCTTCTCCTCCTCACGCAGCGCCTTCTGGAAGGTGTCAGCGCTGGGGAAGAACTGGGGTGGGCAGGAGATGGAAGTGCGAAGGAAATGACAAATTCAGTGTTTTGAGGGAGAGTGGAGCTGGAGCTTGGCATCTCCTGCGGAGCACAAACCCACCAGAACCCAACAAAAACTCTCCAAAGCCCAACAAAAAAAACAATCAGAATACAACAAAAAGCCTCCAAAGCCAACAAAAACCCAACCAACACAACAAAAAACTTTCAAAGCCCGGCAAAAACCCGGTAATAACCCAACCAGAATCCAATAAAACCCCCCCCAGAGCCCATCAAAATCCCAGTAAAAACCCAACAATAAAAACTCTCCAAAACCCAACCAAAACCCAGTGGAGTCACAGAAGAGGGGGACTGTGGGACACAGAAGAGGCTCGGCCACCCTACCTCAGAGTGGTCAGCTTTGAAGGGATTGCGGTAATTGGGGGACTTCTCACTGATGCCCAGCTCCTGAGCCATCTGTGGAGCAAAGCAAAGCCCATGTGGGACACTGTGACCACCACCTCTTCCCACCCCTCAGGCACTTCAATCCCCATCAGCCCCTACTCCTCCACCTGCCCCCTTCCCTCTGCACACCCCCAAAAGTGACCTCAGGGCCGTACCAGCCCCAGGAGCTGGGAGTGGGGCCCCTGCTCAAAGACGCCCGTCAGGTTGCAGAAGCCGATGCCCCAACGGATCAGGTTGTTCCAGTTGGAGTTGCGGTCGAAGTAGTGGTGCACAATCTTGGGGAAGCGCAGCACGACGTCCCCGAAAAAGGCTGTGTTCTCCACCACATGGGAGTACGCTGAGGAAGAGAGGAACCAGCCCCATCAGCAGGACACCCCACAGACTCCAAAATGCCAGCTTTAGGGCATCGCCAGACATGGGATACCAAGGATGGACATGGGACAACCCCTAAGGGCAGAAGTGGGAGAGAGGATTCAGCTAGCAGGGTTAAGCGATATGGAGCACTCACCATCCTTCAGCTTCTCATCCTGGGGGAAAGGCCCATCTGGGGGCACATCTGCAGCTATGAGTACAGCCCGGGAGTCCTCCAGCACCTGTAAGAGCCCTCAGTCACTGCCCTCTCATCCCATGGGGTGCCTCGTTGTGTCCCTCCCTTCCCCCTCCTGCTTGTATATGAGCCCTACTTCTCCTGCCTGCACTCCCCAGCATCACTGTGCAGGTGCCCCAAACCCATCCCTGCCCCACGGCACCCTGAGTTCACTCCACACTCACTTTGAAGAGTCCCTTGAGCATGATGTCAATGATTTTATACTGTTGGTTGATGTCATTGAGCTCGATGAGGTTCTTCAGGGCATTCATCTGGTCCTTGCGCTTCACCTCAAACAGCTTCTTATCTGCAGTGATGTCAAGGGCACTGCAGGGCTCTGGGCATGCTCACAGCCTGCTCCCAAAAAGACTTAGCCCAGTTCTGGGAGTGGGGTATCGGGGCCAACAGGTTGGATTCCAGATACCCCAGCAGGGTGCTTGCTAACACCCAGCACACAAGAGCAGAAAGAAAGAGCACTGCATGAGGAGAACATCAGACACCACCTGAAAAACTCCCTCCTATAGAAAGGTGATGAGGAAAGTGCTCAACAGTGCTGTTTGATGCTGGGGCAGCATTTGAGCAGGGATTGCTATTTTGTATTGCCCAAGAACTAGCAGGTGGCAATATGGGGCCCTGGAGGCATGCAGTGCCAGCTCCAGGCAAGATCAAAGCAACATTGGGTTGCTCAAGGTCGTGCCCAGCAGCCATGTGACACTTTGTTCCCATGTCGTTAGCAATAAGCATGGCCTTAGGCCCTTCTCTCCTCTCTCCTCCATCCCCCTTGAGCCATGTCCTCACATGTAAGTATTCCACGGCCTCCTCAGGTGTGAGAGTGACAGAGGCTGGCACTATGGGAAAGGATACAGATCTCCAATCCAGAGCCCATCCTCTGCTTCTCCAGGTCTGCCAGGCTGCCTTCGGGCAGCACCATTGCCAACAGGATGAGGCAGATCCAGAGGAAATCCATCCTGGAGGCCACAGCCTGGAACAAAACAGACAAACCCAGTGACAATGCAGAGATGTTCCCCACAGGAGTCCTGCCAGCCCATCAGGCCCAAAACCAGTGACAAAGCAGCCACTGCTGGGTCAGAGCCAAGGTTCCCTTGTCTTCATTGCACACCCACCGCCATCCCCTGCTCACACACAGCACCAAGGCACCAAGGTGCTGGGAGTTGAATAATCAACCAAGTCCTACCAGTAAACCACATCCATTAGTGCCACATCCACATATTTCCTGAATACCCCCAGGGATGGGGACTCCATCACTGCTGAGCAGCCCCCTCCAGTGCTTCCCATGCCAAAAGCAATGTGGTGTGTTCCTGCACCACCGGAGCCCCATCAGCTCAAACACCATATGCACACTCCAGCCCAGACTACACCACAGAATTGGGGAAGATTTGCCTGAATCTTCCCTAATTTAAGCAATCTGAACACTGGCTGTGACTCAACCATGAGGTCATGACCCAAACGATGACCCTCCTTCTCTAAGCTAGGCTGCCTAAGCACAGGGATGCAAAACCCTCTATGCAGATGTTCCTCCACATTCCCCAAGAGCCCTTCCTCGAGCCTTCACACACAAGGCTGAAAAGAAACGCTGCAGAGCTGCTCCCCTCTTTGCAAAAGCAAGCACCGGGCTGCCAGGGCCTGTCCTGTGCAGCAGATGGGGAGGAGTTCCCCTGTGATCCCCAGCCAGCTGCTTGCTGCACACAGAGCCCACCCGTCTGCCTCGCTGTCTCCCATTCTCTTAATTTAGATGTGCTTTTCCAAAGGCACGACAGACGCTGCGTTATAGACAGTCAGCGGTTCCAATTAACGTGTTTTTAATTACTTTATAGATTCTCCCGAGGGAGCTGCATCCGAACCGAGCATCTCGGAGACCGGCACGGCACGGCACAGCCCCCCTTCCCCTCCTCAGTGCAGAAGCACAGAGCGGGGAAACGACGGGTCGCTGCACCACCGGGAGTCCATCCATCCCCGCACCGCCAAGCATACGTGGCTCAATCTCATGTCACAGCCCGAACCGAAAGCTTCAGAAGTTAAGCGGGGTACCGGACTGCTGCCGCGGCATTCCTCCGCGAGGCTCAGCAGAGAGGCTGGAGCGGGGAGCAGCGATGGCACGGCCACATCTGCTCGCCTCCGAGCCCCTCACCGGCCGAACTCAGACTCGTATCGCGGGGAATCACCGGCACAGTTCTGCGATCTCCGCCAGCGACAGAGCTGCCCGCGGAGCGCTCGGCACGGCTGCGGGCTCAGGGAGATGGAGTTCCTCTTCCAAGCAGCGCTTGATCAGGGCTGAGCGCTCCGGGCTGCCCCCTCTCTCGCGCGTACGGAGGGTGCCACGGTCCTCCGGGAGGCGGCCAACGCGTGGCCGTGCAGGGCGGCTTACGGCAGCAGCCCGCGGCTCCCCTCCGACACCCGGCCCCGGCCCGGCCCCGCGGAGCAGCCGCCGCACGCCCGCCCCGCACTGACCCGCCCGGCCCGCGCCGCCCCGACCTCCCTACCTGCGGGCCGGGAGCGGGGCCGGGAGCGGCGCTCAGAAGCGCCGCGCTGCCATGCCGCCACCGCCTCCCGCCCCGCCCCGCCGTGTCACTTCCTGAGCTCCCGCCCCGCCCCGCCGGCCGCCGTACCTCGGGCTGCGTCCGGAGCGGTGCGACCGGCGGTGCGAAGGAGGCGATCCTGCCTCTTTGTTCTGCGTTATGAGAACTCACCTGGAGTGCTGCGCCCAGATGGGGAGTCCTCAGCGCAGGAGAGACGTGGACCTGCTGGAGCGTGTCCAGAGGAGCGCTACAGAAATGACCCGAGGGATGGAACGCCTCGCTGTGAACACGGACTGAGAGCTGGGGCTCCGGGGAGACCTGAGAGCGGCCTTTCCGTATCTAAAGGGGACTGTAAGAAAGAAGGGGACAGACTCTTTAGCAGAGTCTGCCAGGATAAGACAAGGGGAAATGGTTTCAAACGATAGGAGGGGAAGTTTGGAGGGGATGTAAGGAAGAAGTTGTTTACAATCAGGCTGGTGAGGCACTGGCACGGGTTGCCATGAGAGGTGGTGGATGCCCCATTCCTGGAGACATTCAAGATCAGGCTGGAGGGGCTCTGAGCGCCCTGATCCCCCTGTTCATTGCAGGAGAGTTGGACCAGATGGCCTTTGAAGGTCCCTTCCAACTCAAACAATTCTCTGATTCTCCCCTTCCCAGTGAGACACAGCTCGTTCCTCAGCCCCCTGCTGGCCCCTGGGAAGGGCAGAACAAGGATGGCCCCATCCCCAAGCAAGGCAGATGGAGAGCACCTCACCCACCACGTGCCATTCAGCAATGCTGCAGTTTACTATCTGCACAGTGTCGGCTAAGTGGCATCACACACAGAACACAAAAAGAGGATCTGTTTAAGAAACTGTGCTTTATGAATGATATTCAACAATTTAACAACAAACTAACTTCCTTTGTCCACTTCTTCTCTACAACTTACAGGGAATAAATGGCAGGATGCCGTCTCCCATTCTGTTCTTTAACTCTGTTGCATGTACCCCATCTTCCCATTTCAGTCTTCACTGTGACAGGGCTATCGCCACACTGCCCACGCATCTGTCATTGATGGCATGAGTGGAAACCAAAGGGAAGGCACAGCTGAAACTCCAGCGTGACACTGGACATTTGACACAGCACTGACAGGAGGTAGAATCATAGAATATCCCGAGTTGGAAGAAACCCATAAGTATCATCATACTAAACTACCCCTCTCCCAAACTGTAGAATCTCACCAACCCATGGGGAATGTTAATGTGGGCAAACCTGAAGAAAGCTTTTTCTCAATAAAACAGAGGTATCCAAACTACTCTAGCAATGTAACAAGACTCCCGTCCACCCTCCCTCACCCCTACACAGACCAGCAAAGAGGAACTTGATGTGGCTTACACAGTCTTGACTGTGAGAACTTCCACCCCCAGCTTCAAACTGCAGAGAAGCAGTGTCACACAAGGACTAGGCACGAGGACAAGCCACTGCTCACAGATAATGCACACCTCACCTGCCACAGATGCTGCCCATAGCAGAGGACAGCATCACCCCGCAGACACGAGGGAGGAAGTCCCCCACCCAACAGGAAATCATTGCTGGGACCCGTTCCATATCTGCTACCTATTTAATGCAACACAGCATGATGGTAACAGGAAGGCAGTTTCAGAAATAAACAATAATGAGTTTAGCATGGGCATCATGTTCCCTCTTTCCCCAAAAGAAATCTGGGAGTTGCCCCTCTCTCCCATTCATCAAGAAGGATTTGGTTCTCAGCAGGGGACACTCCACTGCTCATGTGAAGCAAAAAGAAATTCAGTAACTCTACTCAGCGGTTTCTGAACACTTGCTGTACTTAAAAGTGTTTGAGTTACCTTTGGGTTGCCAAGACTTCACATGCTTAGCAGTGCTAGTTAGCTCACAGACAGAGGTTAAGCGGCTGCTCAGCCCCCAGGGAAATCAGTATGGGAATCGCTTCTGCTTTGAAGTCAGCAGGTGCCCCAGCCTGCCCCCCTTTCATTACACCATCTCTGCCTTACAGATTAATGCAATCCCAGCACAGACAGCCATCTTTCATCCCAACTGTCTCTTCATTTCCCAGACGTCTTCTCAAATTTGAGAATGTTGAGGTATTTCATCTCAAAGTTAGCCAACTTTTTGCGCTGTTTGCCTTTGGCTGAAAATGGTCAGGAGCAGCAGATTAAGTATCCCTTCTACTTCTGTTACAGCTCCCACCCTCACTTTTCTTATCAAAGGCATTTGCCCAGCAAAAGGATACATAATGTCCTGATGTTTTGCACAGGTGCTCGTCTGTTCTGGAAGGTGCTCCAGCAAAGTCTGAATGGTCTGTGCCTGCACTGGCTCCACCTGACAATGGCTGCTCTGAATCTGAGCAGTCAGGAGAAGGAATGTTTTCCAGATGAACAGCAAACTGTTGTTCTTTCACTCATTCCTCCTGCATCTCCAGCAAGAGCAATGAGACCTCCAAACTTTGATCAAGGGGCCCATGACAATACTGACAACACAGTTTAGGCAGCTGCTGGCATCAGTCATGTTCTCATTTCACCACTCAAGGCCAAGCTAGCAGCTGCAGGATTTCTCATCATCTCACTATAGCCTCAGAGGAAGTTTATGGCTCCCCATCAAAGGCTGAAGCAACCCCTTAGGATACTCCCTTCTCATTTTCCTAGGCAGTCACTGCTTTCTTACCTGGCAGAGGAAGAGGTGAAGAGCCTGAGATGTGGCCTCTGGCAGCTCTAGTAAGTTGGCTTCTGCCACTTCCTGGAGAATCTGGCCAATTTCTTTTTGAGAAATGATATTGCTGCTCTGATATTTCAGAAACTTGAACAAAGGAAACAAGAGGCATTAATTAGTGAGTGACCCACAGACTCCAATAGCGATTCATCACCTGAAAAGACCTCTTCTATGTTAAAGGATGCTGCAGCATGCTAATCACAGGCCTGATTTTATACCATTTCTAACAGAACCAGTGCAAGTGCAAGTTGGTGGTGCTCTGACTTGTAATTTGTTTTGGTTTAGGTCAGGCAAGAATCAAAATGAACCAAGTATCCCTTTAAAGTGCATCAAGAATAACAAAGATCGACAGACACATCATCTATTTGGAGAAAGAAGGTTCACATAAATAACCCCTTCCTCTCATGTACTGCTATGAGGGCTTTATCATCGGTGTTTCTGCTGGGTAGAAGCACACTCCCTCTCCTGCTCATAGGCCCCAGATACAATGGGGTCATACACTGCAGTAGTTCCCTGACCTTAAAAGTCAGGTCTATAAGGCCAAAGACAGGGAGAGAAGCTGTGATGCCATGCAAAGCCCTGCTCTCCAAAGAGTCACAGCACACTCCCATGCTGACAACTGCAGTTGCACATTCTCTGTAGTCTTCCCTTCTCCTCCCCAGGGGTCCTAGATGATGTGAAATCAATGCTACAAACACCAAAAGAACAGGATGTGCTCACTAAGAGCAGTCAGTTTCTGCACAGTGTAGAAAGGAAATTCACTTCAAAGTACAATTATTATAGGACACAAATACAGTGACGGACAAAACCACAGCAGTATCCAAGATTGTGTGTGTGCAGGAACTAAGTACCAGTAACCAACTCAGATGCACTGTACCAACATAGAAGAAAAAACAGAACAGCCTACCCTACCCTCACTCACCAAAGTCATGAGCCTCAGAATTTCTGGCTGCAGAATGGACTTCTGGCTCCCATTGAGCAATGTCAAGAGCAGGAACCGGTGCCAGGGCTGTGAAGCAACATGTAGTGCTGGGAGAGAAGGAGAAGTCACTGAAAGAGCTTTAAAATCTGTCAAGTGACAGACTGGACCTGGAAAACGAGTCTTCAACTCTGACCTTGTATTTTCACTTCTAGACCCCAAGCTGTGGGAACACTAAGGGGATTTTTTGCTCTGTACTTACTTGCATTAAAATTTGTCACTCTTTGGGCAAGAGTTTAGTCATGAGGACAAAAGCTTAACAGCTTTTTAAAACACAAAATACATTTTGTCCACCTTTCTGCTTGTACAGGAAGAGAAACCTTCTCCTGGGGTTCATGTCATAAAATAGTAAGGGGATATCTTTAGCCCAAGGTTTTAAAAATAATACCCTCTGGTTTCAATATGAGGACAAGGTTCCTGACCACGGGTTTTATTTAGCTGCAGAATACTCCTCGGGTAATGAAGGAAGACCTATAACATAAGCTGCAAAAACTGAGCCTGAATCTGCATCAGAGAGGGACTACAGGGACCAGCCAGGCTGATGGCAGCAATGAGAACAATCACTAGAGAAAATGTTTCTAATTAGAACTGTATATGATAAACAGAGGTTAGACTCAAGGTCACCATCTGTGACAGTACAAAATCTCTCACTGAACTCTAAAGTTAAGTTGTATTACCTTGTACTTATTGCTGGTTGAAAGCATGTGATGGACAATTACAACAGGTCAGCTGATATAACTTGCTATACCTTCACAGTTCACCAATTGGTTTGAGCCCTTTGCTTTAGAAAAATTCCTTTTTCACTGGCAGTCACATAACCTCCCTGTTGCCACTACAACAATCTTGTCCATGGTAAAGCAACACCAAAAAAAAAAATCAAGTAGTGCTGGGGGAGAATAAGGAGATTCTTGTTGTCAATGTTGTGAACTGCACCACAGTAAGAATTAGTGAAGGGTTCAGCTGAAACATTTTGTTATTTTAATCCCAAATCAGTGTAATGCCCTCATAACAAGCCTCTTAATAGACCCCCTTCAGCTACTGGCTGTCATTCATCTGCACTATTATATTTTCATTCAACAGCTTTCTCTCTCCCAACAATGTCTTTTTTGTCTCGTGCTCATTCACTCCATTCCCCTCTTTCTCTGTATTTACATGACTGATTTGAACAGATCAGTCTACAGAGAACTAACTTTCTGTTTAATGAACACAGCCAGCATCTCTACTTTGTGACAGGAGGCTGACAATGAGCAGAAGGGCCTTCTTTTCCCCCAACTGTACAACGCTGTCATATGTTATACTGCTGATGTGGTATACATTTGGTCTGACGTGGACTCCTGAAACCAAGGTCTGTATTTGCCCATGGAAATATAGAATTTCCAGCTTCCATTCTCTGAGGCTGTTTACTACTCTCTTCTCCCTTCACATCCCTTAGGGAGAAACTGTGGCCAACATCTCTGTGTGGAAGCGCATCATATTCAGATCCTCCCTCCTCTATATTTATGGTCTAAATGTTTGCTAAATTGGCTTGGAAGTGAAAGCCTAACTATTCTTATATTGCTTCATTTCCTAAATCTTTCATTCTTATCATATGAAGGTGTGGGGAGGTAGTGACTATTTTCTTCTGTAGAACATCTTGGTATTCACAGTCTGAGTGAGGGCTGATTCCTACAGAGGAACCAGGCAATATGATTTCATCCCACAAAGCACGTGATCAACTTTGATCACACAAATAATTTTTCTTGTTGGGCATAAACGCATTAGGCATATGCTCCAAGGCATTACAGGATGGAGATCAAAGAGCCCAAAATCACTGCAAGAGGGAAACCCAGTAGGAGGAAGGATGGGAAGACTTTACCAACATCCTGGTTCCTCACATACAGGTATTCAAGTAATGTTTCCAGGCAGGCAACCACAGCTTGAGAAAGCAGCAAGTCTTTCTGGAGTCCCAAGAGGAGAGAAAAAAAGAAGAAAAAACAAGCAATCAACAGCTACTGCAAGAGGAAAATTCATGAAGTGGCAGGCTCTGAAGAGCATGCAGCACAGGAAAATAACAGCCTTCACCTCCTTCACAGGATGTAACGTACTGCAAATTATCTGTCATGTCAAGGAGCCAGACAAAGGCACGAGTACTTATTCTGAGATGAAAAAATTAAGTAACTGTCTCCAAAGAATAAAGATAGGAGCCCAATGTTGCTTAAGAGAGTTAAATGTAAACCGATGTACCATCCCCTGGAGCCCAACATCACTTGAGTGACTAAATGTAAGCTGATGTACTTTTCCCCCAAAGTACCTTGCCAGGGCTGTAGAGGAGGGGTTGAGATTTGATATATTTTTCCCACCTCTGTTCCTATGGGTGTGGAGCCCCCACAGAGCAGGAGATGGATAACAGAGATTGTCATCAGCATACAAAATTTAAGCTCTCCAATTCAGCAGCAGGAAGTTCTACATAGCTTGATTTACGTTCTTTAACACTACACCATGCCTTGCATACCACAGCAAGAGCATTTTCCCTCCTCCTCATCACATGTCTATAAGGGGTGGAAAACGCAGGCAGAAGGAAAGAAACGGCAGACCCCCTTCATTCTGCAATAGAGTGATTTCTCCTCAGGTTAGTTTATATGTGTTGTTCCAAAACTGGTGTTTTATATACCTGCAAGTAGACATGCACCAAAAGGTTCTGCAGACTGACAACAAGGGAGAAGACCTGCTGCGTGGTGAGGGGGTGCAAGGCAGCATCTTCCAGTGATGATGGCTGTGATTGTGTAGCACCTTGGGCTGTGTTTTGGACAATAGTCACCAGCAGGGAGGAGAAATTCTGTCGCAGGATGGCTCTCAGGAACTGCACGATGCTCACTAGACAGGGAGCCACAATGATGTGTCAGTGCTTTCCTCTCCCCTGCCCTGTATGTTGGTGCCTGTGCAACAGCATGGGAGAGGCGAGGAGAGAAAATTTGGACTTATGGGCCCAGTGGAATTGCCCACCATCTGCTCACAACAGCAGGCAGGAATGGCAGCAAGTTCCCTTGTTCACCTCCACCACATGTGACACTGTCCCAGGTCACACTCAGTTCCAGATGTCACTGTCAGCCAGGACAGAGTTGTCCAAATGGACAGCAGAACTCAAGACTCCCTTTGCCCCTTTTCACAATCTGTTATCTAGACTCAAAGCTTCCAGATTACCAACACCTGCACCTTCCCATCCCACAATCACCAGATCTCCTTTCTTGCCTGTAACATCGTATAAGCAGCTGCTCCCAGTTAAGTCCCCGTAACAGAGACAAAATACCTAACAGCAGGACTGGCTTCTTATTCCTGAAGATGATTGCATTCAGGACTTGTCTTAGGTCTAGAGAGAGTGTCTGGTGAACCTGCAAGAGAATGAAATGAAGAAAAATGACAGCAGTCATCACCAAACTTGGCTATACTTCTGCCACCGAGCCAGGCAGCTAAAAGCCAGCAGTGACAACATGGCTCTATGGTCCTGCCTGCTCAGTATGGGAAGCGTGCAGAGTACCTAAGGCTAAGAACCTCCTTACAGATGAGTACGTGAAGGCGTACATAAAGGAAGCAGAGGAGGTTAGGAACTTGGGAACAAGGGGATACAGGAAAGGTGGGCTTGAGAGGGAAGTCTGTAATACCCTGTTACCCACACAAAGCAGCCATCCAAACAGTGATGGTATGAAGGATCACAGAGCCCCAGAAGGGTTCAAACTTGCTCCCTTCAGCAGGCAGACAGGTGGTATGGGAGCATGGGCATCAGGACCACAGAGCTGATTCTTTCCAGCTGCCTTTGTGAAAAGAAGAATGTTCAATACAAGAGCTAGAAGTACCTGCTATAGCAGAGTGGCTCTTGCTACCTGTCCAAGCACTGGTAAGCCAAAGCCTTTAGTAGCCTACCACCTATGACCCATGTTTACCAACAGGCTTCTGCTAAAGTCACGAGCAGTAACACAGCTAAGACACAAACTTGCTATGGTAAGGCAAGTCCTCATTATTAATGCACACCTGAGGTGAATGTGGGCAACTCACATTTTTGAAGCCATGAATTTCAGGCTCAGAAATACAGCCTGCTCTCTCTACAGAGGCACCCAAATAGCTCTGTTGTAGCTTTTGCAATGCTGAGCAGCAGAAAGCAGCACAGTGACTCCTCCAATCCTCTTTTCTTCCTCTCAGCAGATTAGAAACACTGAAGCTCAGAAGTTCTGAAGATTAGAAACACTCAAACATCCTTGAACCACTTCAATTTGCCATCTGTATCTGTAATTTCTTTGCACATCTCTGGTTCAAGGAGGATTCTGGATTGCAGATCATAGCAGTAAGGTATTGATGAAATCAAACAAGTTTATAAGCCACTAAATGATTGCACTTCAAGGATCAATATGAGCTGAGAGTCAATCCCAGAAGATGAAATTCAATACTAGTCACCTGAACAAAGTCTCTTTGGGGCTGGCACAACTGACCATTCAGACACAACCCTGACCTGAAAACTGAGAATGTAAATTGTGCTCAGCAGTTAATAAAACAGAGACAGGAAGATCTTCCCATCCACTCACGCAGCTGATGGTCCCTACAAGTCCAATGTGACACTTAACCAGAGGCAGCACAGCCATCAAGTAACAGGTACAGACTTGGCCTAGTTTGTTCTTTTCAAAAGTCTTCCCTCAACATTAAAAAAACAATCTTTGCCTACTTGTGCTTATGTAAACATGCCCTTAATGTGACTTTATCATCCATGAGCAGATGCACCAAAGAATATACCCTACCAGGCATAACCACAGAAGTGGAGTTCAAAACGCATGACACGCTATTTAACTTCATCTCAAGAGAGGGAAGACAGGCCTGGGTACATACTTCAGAAGGAAGTGTTATTGCCTTGTGTGCACATTAAAAAGCTCTCCATTCCCTCTAACCCATAGTTCCAATAGCAGCTGACAGCTCCAGCCTAGCTCTCTTGTTGGACTGCAAAGCATCAAATAGAATGACAGCTGCCTAAATTCTTACGAGTTTGCTAATATTAAGTACTTATTTGACAGTAAGAGGTTTGGACAGTGATTATTGATTTACTACAAAAAATAAAAAAATAAAAAATAAAAGGGAGCTGTTCCTCCACCCCTACTTTTCCCTTTACAAAAATTTTTTGCTCTATCCTGAAGAAGAAAGTGGTTTGGACCAGGAGGGCTGGGTATGGTGTTTCCTTCCCCCCCCACCCCCCTCCAAACCCCAGCATTTCTGCCCATCCCTTATTGCAATGATTTGTGTCTCATCCTTCATTAACATGCTAGCTTCCAATCCAGCTGGAGAAATGCAATAAAGAATAACTTGTAGGCAATAATAAAATAGCAACAAGGACAAGCAGATTTCAGGCCAAAATAAACCACTTTCCCCTGCTAAGAAAGAGTTATTCTTTTAAATTTTCACAAGTCCATGGATCCAAACACTAGAATGGCTCTAACCTCAGTGTTGTAACGATGCTGATAAATTAAAAGGGAAGCAGCCAGCAGCCATCCTGAGCTTAGCAAGGCATCCTCAGATGACAGGTAAGTAGGTTCAGAGGGAAAAGACCACATCCAGGTGCACTCCAAAACCTTCTGGAGGAGCTCGAGCAAGGACACATTGGAGAGCAGCACTGCCACTGCTGTACAGGAGAAACAGAATCATAATCATAGAATCATGGAATGGCTTAGGTTGTAAAGGGACTTCAAGGATCATTCAATTCCAACCTTCCTGCCATGGGCAGGGCTGCCAGCCACTAGATCACATACTAAATCAGGCTGCCCAGGGCCCCATCCAAGCTGGTTGGACACCTGCAGGGATGGGGCATCCACAATCTATCCACCTCTGTGGGATACCTGTTCAAGCACCTCACCACACTCAGTGAAAAACTTCCCCCTGACATCTAATCTAAATCTTCCCTCCTGCACAGGAAATTGACCCAATTTGCAGAAGTGAAGGCCATCCAGCTGGTTTAAGATATTGCTGAACAAGAGAAGTGGCCAGTGCTCTACTTCTACATTGACTCCTGGATGGTGGCATGTGCCCAGTGGGAGTGGTTACAGCAGTGGAAGCAGAGAAACTGACAACACAGAGGCAGACCCATCTGGGATGCTGCACTATGAATCAAAGAGGCTGATGGGATGTTACAGGTTAAATCAGCTTGACAAGCAGAAGAGAATTGCAGAGCACACCCCTGCTGCTGTGAGGCAGCCCTAGCTGCCATGGCTGGTCAAGCTAAGGCTGTCCAGCTATACCAGTATTCATATCCCACAGCATGAGCGACCTTCTCAGCCTGCTAATAAAATGACCAGCCTTCAGCCAACACACCTAGGAGGTTGGTTATTGCTGCCTCTATTACTGTTTAATTTTTTGAACCATGGCAATTACCAGGACAATTCAACAAGGCACCAAAGCCCCACCACTGTGTTTTATGAAGAAAAAAAATACAGCAGTTCTGCCTCTCAACAGCCAACTCCTGAATCATCAGAAGGCAGCAAAAAACAAAACAAAACCCTCAATCTAAAAAGAAAAAATCATCCCAAACACAACGTGTTGTTTGTTAATTGTAACACTGCATCAGAAAGGGGAAAAATCCACCTTTCCTGCTGAGACAGTTAGAACACAATGTCCGATGGCCAAGCCACAACCCTGCAGAGATTAGCTTACCGATCAATACAATCTTGCCTCACCTCTCTGTTGACTACAAGGTGTTGTCTGATGAAGGCTACAGTACAGAAAATTCAAGGATGGCTGCAGGAGGTCTATGTCTTTCGGCCTGCATTTCCCACAGAGGTTACTGACTGGAAACAAAAGAACACATGTAACACAGACACCAACATAATGCAGCACCTCAGCACAAGAAAGAAGTCAGTCAGTTGGGGGTGAATTCAGACAAGAGCAACACAACCTGAAGCAAAATTAAACAGAGCATGGTACAGATAAAGCAACAGGCCCTAGAGAGTCTGCTTTAGACAAGACAGTGTACTGGAGGATGATAATAGGTGTGTGTGTGGGGAGGGGGAACAAAAACAAAACAAAACAAAACAAACAACAAAAACAACAGAGAAGGGAATATTAAAGGGCATACACCACAATGGGCAGTAATGAATCCAAGAACTACAGACTATTAGATAATTTACCCATTTCCTTTGAGCATATTTGATCCTAACACTGGGTAGACCATAAAAAGCCACATGCCCTTTTCACATGGTGACCAATAACCAGACCAGAGGATGGTAGGAAGAGCTCTGCTTCTCCACCCTCACAGACCACTCACAGAAGAAATAAACACACCATGCCTGCTGGAAGCACCAGATATTTAGGAACAGTGTTTAGCAAGAATTTGTGAGGGAAATGCAGGACTGCAGGGCTCAGCAGCGCTATCATAGGAGATCTTTTGAAAAGCTTAAATTCTAAGAAAGCAGTTCTCAAAATAAATAAATAAATAAACAAACAAATACAGATTGACATGCCTCCCTACACCCCTTCCATCTACAGGCTGGTTTTGTGTAGGCCTCATCAGAGAAGTGCACTCTTCCTTCAAGAACATAGGCTAAGGAGTAAAACAGAATGAAGGGGTGGCTGGGGCAGAGAGAGAGTTGTGTAGGGAAACAAAACAAACAGAACAGAAAGAAAAAGCAGAAGAAGCTGGTGACTTCTGAGAGCAGCTAAACTGTGCTCTGAAATTACAGAGGCTAAGAAGAGCCAGTATAAAAAAGACATGATTCTTTCACAGTCCCAGTTCCCTTAGCTAATGAATGTCTGAGAAACACCACTTCCTTACAAGGACAACACAGACAGCCTTGAGACATGGAACATTTCTAATTCAAAGTGATAGCCCTTCAAACTCTTCTGTAGAAATCAATTTGACAGAGCAGAAAGTGGTGAAAGAATGGATTAGCTGAACACTCTTCTAGTATCCTTCATTGATGGCCTGCACAAATCTCCAGTTGCTAGGCAAGAGAGGAGTAGTCATCTATTAACAATCAGCAGACAAGAGCAGGTCAGGATACGTGGAATAAACAAGCACACTCCTCTCTTCTACATCTCAGGGGTGGAGCAGGCAAGTCCTGCCAATGGCTGGGACCAATATAATTTGGATTCACACCCCAGGGGAAGTCTGGGTACACCAGGCTGTTGGTCCCTGCTGGCTGGTTCACAGGACACCCCTAGGGCCAGGATCTCAGTGCTGTGCTAGCAAGTGTCCTGGTTTCAGCTAAAACAGTGGAGCCGAGACACCTTGCCTGAATTAGGCACAGGGTTGTTCCATACCAAGTAACATCACATGGAAAGCTGTAAGGCTGTGGGGAGTTGGTTGGGAGCAGCCACTGCACAGGGGTTGTTGTATTTCAGTCAGGTGGGTGGTGAGACTTTGTGCTGGTAGCGGGGTATCAGTTGGCAGGGGGCAAGTAATTGCTTTGAGAGTATATATACATTGTTATCACTGCATATTTGTTTCCACTTTCCTATTCTGACTCAGTAAATAGTTTTTATCTCAACCCATTTTTGTTTCCAGTTCTATTTTGTTTCCAGTATCTCCCTCATCCCACTTGGAGGGGGTGTGAGCTGTGTGGTGTTTAGATGCTGGCTGAGGTAAGCCACAACACCAAGCATGGATGGGGAAGGACGACACGCAGAGCACATCAGCACATCATGTATCACATCAACAACAGTCACAGGCTCTGAAATCAAGTCATGGCCATAAGAATACTTCAGCCACCTTCTTAGGTTTTCAAACAAAAAATGTATTGCAAAAGCAAAAGGCAGAAAAAAATGTATTTTGTTGCCTAAACTGGTAACAAGAGTTCTTTGCAACACTTTGGTTATGAAAGTATCTTAAAACAACAGTAAGTGTAATGCAAGGCACACCTCTCAAAAGATGAAGAGCCACCCCCTAATCATCTTATGTACTAACTACTGAAACAGATGGGAGTCCTCTGGGAGAAGATGGATGCACACAAACTCACCTTGGTGAAGCAGCTTGAAGTCTGTGCTGTCCAGCTCCCTCATGCCCTTGCTCCGCAGCTGCACCAGGAATAGGAGGCTCAGCAAAATGGGCAGGTTCCTGTTAGCTATGAAGGATACTGACAGTTCAGTTTGTCAGTGAACTTTAACATTCTACCTTTAAGTGAGCCAAGAATTGCTAACTTTGTGGCTCAGGAAGGAGAGTGAGTTAAGGAGCAAATATTCCCCTTCTCCACACCGAAACACACCTATGTCCTCCCAACCTCATTCTCATCTCTACAGTTCCTTTGGACCAGGCCCCCTTTCTAGAACTGTGGGTTGTCTGAACTGTCTGAATTGTCTGAACTGTCTGAACTGTCTGAATTACATGCTGGATCCTGCCAGTACCACTCTACGAATAACTGGAAAAGAGGTAGAAAGAAGGAGACTAGGGTCATTATTTACACCCTTAATGAACTATGTAAGAGGCATGGTCACTACACATTCAAATTCACATATTTAATAAGCTAGAATCACCAGCCCATTCCAGACAACCCTCTTCCTGTCTACTTGACCATCACTGGCAGCCAGCCTATACCTCGACAGCAGCCCAGAAGCTCAGAATACTTGGCTGTGCAATATTTGTTCTGCATGGTGTGAGGCTGGAAAATTACCACTGGGAGAACAGAGACATGAGAGGTTAGAGACCTGCGTGGCAGGTCTGTATGCAAGAATGGGGCTGTTTAGATCACCAGCTTCCCAGAGCAAACACATCCTTCCCTAGTAACTATAGTGGTGATAAGCTGGTGATTCTAGCTTATTATCCTCTACAGCACTGCAAACAGGTAAGGATTTTGTACTGAACAGAGCCATACCTACAGCAAGCAACACTCATTTCCAGAAAATGGCTCCACAAAGGCTTAGGTGTTTTCAGTTTTGATGACAGAATGTTTACAGGTATCTCAAACATTACTATGTTCATGATGGAATTTGCCTTTCTGGATGAGGCTGCCAGTAACCTTGCTAATTAATTCATGATGTGCACAATTCCAAAAAAGATAGATCTAGCACTTGCCAACACTGCCTTCTTTATGCACATCTCACAGCATTATATTCTATTGTGCTCCTACTTTTAACATCCCCTCTACTCCAGCCTACCAGACTTTTCTCAAGCTAGAGCAAAGCAACTGCCCCTTTCAAGCTTCCATACCATCTTTGGACAATGGAAACCCCCAAATAGAGCAGTTAGTAGTGTTATTGCCCCCCTCAAGGAACAGCCAAAAGCTGCTCTGGACTCCTATCCTAGAAGAGCCGAAGACATTCAAGCTCTGCTCCCTCTTTCAGTTCAGGCTCACAGGCAGCTTCCCACAGCACCTTTAGTGACAGGATAACAGTCCCTACTCCACTGCCAGCGTGGGTAAGGAAAGGAGAGATTTCCACCAATCATAACCCTGCTAAAAGTTTGAAAGAATTAACAGAATTGTAAAGTCTGATAATATCACAGATCCCGTTTGGGGATCAATGTTATGAATGATTCAAATGATGTCTGTGCCCAGCCTCTGTGCCCTGGAAACCATCTGAATTCAGGCACACCCAGCTGTCTTGCACAGAGAGGAGGCAGAAAAGATTCTATCTCTCAGGAAAACTTACCAGCACAGCTCTCCATGTGAATACCTGGGGCAACATAAACTTGCCTCAGTTTAACAGTCATACCTCAATAAAAGAACAAACTTAAATCTGAAAAAGACACTTCAAAACAAGAATCTCTGGATAAGAAAATTAAATCAGTACAGTTCTGCTTGTATGTTTCCTCACGTAGATAAGTACCAAAGCTAAGTCAGCAGCTCAAAAACATTTCATCCCAGACTGTATGATTCCAGCCACTTCCCTGGTTAGTTAACAATACGACAAGACCCGAGTCAAAGAGGGGAGTCACCTTGTAAGGAGACCGAGCTACTCTCTACAAGTAGCTGCTGCAGAATCTGTAGGAATTGATTCCGGAGGAGGTCACAGACAAATACATCCTCATTTTTTTCCAGAAAGGTCCTTAGAGCCACCAACACCTTCTGAGCCACCTCCACAGAACTTGAGCAGACCAGGTCCTGGGAGGAAAGAAACACACACATTATCTTTCTGCCCTGATTAGGGAAAAATCACCTCTATTTAATACCATTATGCTAATCTGGTGTCTTGGGAAGCATTCTAATAAAGCACTGTTCAGATTGACTATGCCCTGATTTAAACAGAGTACTGGATAAAATAGGAGGACTCTCTTCTGATAGGCATCGCTGACTAATATCCTGTTTAAAGAATGTACTTGGCTATGGAACCCCCCAGTCCAGCACAAAAGGGTAGAGGAAACATTTTTTAAGGTCAAGGCTTTAGAAAAATGATTTCACAAAGCCAGGGCCCTGTTTCCAAGAACGCAGAGCCTCTGGCACTTCTGCTCTCCTAGTTGTTTTGAAAAATCAGGCTGCATATTAAGATGCTTGCCTAAAATCAAGCTTGTGAGTCAGTTCGTAATTAGTCATTTTCAGAAGACTGAGGTTGGCAGCCTACTATCTACAACAGCAACACAACAGCTAAACTGCATGAAATGTACATAAACCAGACAAGCAATCACTCAGTCACTGAAAATGGAAGAGTCATGTATACAGCATTCAGCCCACAAGCCTTCCTGAATAAAGAGCTCTGTCTGGAGTCTCTGAGCTAAATCCCACAGCCAGTAGCCTTAATTTGGGCATTTGTTTGTTGCTAAGGTGTTTAATATTAAATTTACCTGCACAGCATGTATAGATGCAGTTCCATAAAGACAAGGCAGAAAATGCCCCATAGTGCTGACATAATGAGATAGTCAACATAAATTACATCAGCACTGCCATTCCTCTCCCAGTAGTCTTGGCTACTGCATTGCAAATGGTACAGCAGAATGAGGTAAGAAGGAAGAAAAACTGGTCTGAGCAATGTTACCAACCCTAGAGCCTGCCCTAAGCCTTTTCCTGTTCTCTTTGGGAACCTGTACTCAAGAAAAGCAGTTAAGGTAGGAACAGGCTGCTCCTGCCAGAAAAAAAAAAAGCCTTTAGCTTGCCTACTTCCTGCCCACATCTGAGACATTCAGGAATACAGGCCTGAGAGTTGTCTGCATAACCTGCTCCACTTACATATATCTACTCCATATAACGTTCAAGAATGTAATCTAATATCACTATCTTGTAACCACTCTCTGAGAGATCAGCTCAGATCTGGAGCATGGAGAAGACAAGCGGGCCAGTGTGTGAACACCACCACATTCATCCCCAGGTGAACACACATAGCACAAAATAGTGCTAACCGAGGGCCACAGCCTTCCTGGCACTGCTAAATGCATCACTGTGTTAACATTTTCCTCCCTACTCAGGATCTCAAGGTCTCAGATGAAGCCACCAACCATCTGTTCTATATAATCCAGACTTTTATTAAAAGCAGAAAGCAAATAAATCATCCTTGGAAGGGCATTCATTTTTGTTTCACCCCACCATGCAGAGGCCTTTCCATTTCACTAGTGGATTCTCATGCTGAGGTTATTCACCTCATAAGTTTTGTTTATTTCTGACAGTATATTTATTTCAGGACATTGCACTGTTTTATTAGGCCATCTAAATTCAGATTGATTATGCTCTTCCCTAGCTTAGAGGTAGACTGTCAAAGCCTGTGATTTATTACAACTCACTTTAAAGATTGGGACAGAGCTAAATTAATGTATTTCTGCACAAGTACATGGCAGGACAGGAAAGGGGAAAGTAGGAATGCTGCACGATTCAGAGGAGGAGCCATCATTTCCCTTTTGTATAGTGATAGACCTGTGATGTATATTTTTAGTTTGTGGAGTGATAGGTTCCAGAACTACTGCCAAAGGTAATAGGGTAGACAAGTCTCTTGGGACACTTTTTGTTAATTTGCACTGATTTGTCAACTCATTGATCACTTTTACTACGGCTCTGGCAATACTATAAAAGCTTAGATTCTGTTACCTACTCTGTTATATCTACCCAACTGTTAAAGAACTGCCTGATGGAAAAGCCCTTCTGTCAGTCATTTCCATAATCTGGGACATTAAAATTTACTTTATAGTATCTAAGGTTAGAACAAACACATGCCAGCTTGTAACACCACAAGGGTGCCCACTCAGAATCAAACCTGGCTTCAAACATGGATTGTCAGCAAACGCCTGTTTGCTGACATTGGTTTCTATTCTAGATGATACATCAAACATATGTAGAATCTAAAAAAATTCCTACTGTAACAGGCTGGAGAAGAAACATCACAGCTGTTAGCTTTTGGCATAAATGTAAATCTTGCATTCTTGTGTGGAAGTATCAACAAGGATTTACTTATGCAACTGGCTAGGCAGTCATAGGACAAGTGGCCACCAATGCAGGGGTGACAGGGCAGGTGGGAAAGGTGGAAGTGAAGACCTCTGAGTTTTGTATTTTAACTTTCAAGAGCAATGCAGCGTGCTACTTGCAGTTTTGAAAACTCCGAGTAGTGCAAAAATCTCTGACAAGGCTCTTCAGTTAAAAACAAATAAAAGAAAAATCCCAAGCAAACAGAGATCCATGCCCTCAAGACCTGCTCACTGCATGCTGCTTTTGAAAGTTCTTTGTTCCTCATATCCTTCTCATCTATTAGTAGAATACCATTGCTTCTAAATTAGCAAAGCAACTTCTTAAAAGGCTGCCCCAAAAGAATCTAGACTATCTAGCTGTGTGTCTGGATAGTGAAAGGGAAAAGCCCATGATTTCTTTGCATGGTAGACATCAGCAGCACCCTTCAGATCCCCTCCTAGCCAATTCTCAAAATTCTTTTTCTATCACAGTGAATGGACAACAGAGAAAGAGGTAGCACATATTCGCAATCCCATTTGCTGTTATCAGGCTTGATGCAAAGTGGAAGCCTGTGTATAAACTCATGGGCCCTTATAGCAGGATCTTTTGCCTCAGAACAGCAGCACTAAGTGCTTTAATAACCAAAAAGCCCTATGTGGTCCCCCTAAGTTACAGTCAGGATAACAGTCGGTCCTTGTGAGTCACATACCAGTAAAATAAGTAAAATGCTGGAATTGCTCTTCAGAATGGGAAGTAAAGGGTTAGTATTGTTCAGCTGATCAGACGTGCCAAAAGCAGCTTCTTCAGTTTCCACACGATTGCAGTCTTCCCAAGAAAACCAGAGCTGCAGGACCTGGTGCCCAAATCTGCCCATAAGTTCAGGGTAGTGCAGGAAGAATTTCAGCAGCAGAGGACAATGAATGTAGACCAAGCTCAGATCTGGGAGATTATCCAGGATCCTCTTTACGGTACACAATGACCTCTGGTAAATGTGTGGGAGGGAAAGGGGGAGGTGGGGAGACAACAAAATAACTGCCAGATAGTGAGTATCTAAAAGCCAAAGCAGTGAGATTTTACTGTGAAAAACAATCACATTGCCTTTTAACTAGACAAATATATCAGTTAAACATCATTTTGTGAAGCTCATTTGCATCACAAAGGCTAAGAAACTTGTAGGCTTTATGCAGTGCTCAAAGCTGTGCAGCAGCAAAGGCCCATATGGGAACACTAGAAAGCCTGCTGCAGAGGCTGTGGATGTGTTCAGGAGACCGGAGCTATGAAATTCATAATATTCTGTATGTGAATTCACAGCCTATCCAACACATTTACGCTTCCCACGCAGACACAAGTTTATTCAATCAAATCGATATCCCCTAGTGGCTTTTCACAGCTAACTTTCCAGAGTGTATATGCATCACACACTCCTCACTCATTCATCACTGACTGCATGTATCAAATAACTTTCTACAAGAGGGCTGAGAAAACCTTTAACAAAAAGGGTTCAAGTGTTAAGAAAGAAATCTTTTACCGAGTCCAGGGCTTTGCCTTTGTCCTGACAGACAGCAAGAAGGTAAAGCACAGCTCTGAGTACATATGTAGGGGGCCAGTCTCGATGGTCCTGTGCTAGCAGGAGAAAATTTCTTATGGCTAAAAACAATTCAGCTTCTGGGACAAACCTGCATTCAAGGAGATCGAAGCAGAAACAAATCAGACATGCCTTACCCACTGATACATGTGTGTGAGGGCCACATAACCACTTGCCTTATATGCTCTTGGCTCACCTGTCTCCAAGGGTGTAGGCAAAGTATAAAAGGAGAATGAAGCAGTGTTGGTGGTTGCAAAGAGACTGATCCAAAGAGAGAGGTTCAGGGTTTTCAGCCAGGAGGAGAAGGCTTTCTGCAATTGTGTAGTTTAATTGAGGCAGACTCTTCTGCAGGAGCTCAGACATCTCTTGCTCTAGAAATAAAACTAATATGAGCAGACAGGGGAAGACAAACAGGGGGGGATAGAAGCACCTGTTTGCCTATAACTCAAGCATGTTAAATTAGTGAAGCTCCTGATACAAGAAATACTAAAGCCAACTTAGTACCTCACAGACTGCAAACAGTACATGAAACAGCAAGTGCATCTCCATGACTTGGTGTGAATACAGGCATAAGATCTGATATAATAGAGCTAGCCCTGGGGATGAAAAGAAACTTCTGTTTGAGGTTCTCAGCTCTTCGCTGATGCTGACAGTACAGTGACCAACCACTGCCAGTAGAAAAGTAGATTTTGGATGTGGAAACTTTCATCTTACTTATCTGGGACTTAACTATAATGCAAAGCCGCAGTATAAACAGGAAAAATAGAGTATGCCAGAGGGAAAAAAGGACTTGAATTCCCAGATAAGGGTGACTCTGAGGCAACTAATATTATTGTAATTAATCCATGCACAGTTGTGCTAATAAATGTCATCAGGTAAACAAAACCACAGGCACACATTCATTCAAGTAAAGTCAAACTCTTCTAAAACCATTCTCTGACTTATATCTCAATTGAATCATTCTTAAAAAGCTAGAAAGAAATCTCTAAATAGAACTCATACATGTTCCTGTGTCTCATCCCTTCCCTCATCTTCTCTTTTTCTTTTTTTTTAAATTGCCTAAATAGAGGCTGGCTACTAAACCCCAAACTTGCCTTCTTGAGAACAAGTTCTCTCCTTCTCTGTGGCAGAGTAAAGGCTCAGGCACAAGTTGCAGAGGAAGCTGGAGCAGGCCTGATTCAAGGCAGGATTACTGTAAAGAAGAGCAGAAAATACAGTAAAAAGGCTAGAAACACCCTCTTTATACTTCCAGTGTTACAAACTGCCAGGACTTTGGTTTACTCACTGATCATATTCAAGCACCTGCTCTGTCACAACTGGTCTCCAGGAGCCAACCTGGGCTTCCAGGAAAATCAAGAGTTCCCACAGAACAGTCAGCTCTCAGGTGTGGCAGGTGCATTTAATGATGACAACAGTAAGTTTAGATGCCTTGGGATGACATGCATACAGTGGGATACTCTCACAAACCTCCAATCCTATATTCACAAGAAGTCTTGAAAGTGCAGGGCCCTGAACTATGCAAAGAAGGCTGTATGAGGGTGGCTCCCAATAATTGATTCCACTGGCAAACACCCCTGAGGAGTTTACCACTGCAAACCTTTTTGACACAATGGTGTTTACGGGGATGAACAAGGAAGAATACCAAGACTAAAAGGGTGAGAACAGCTCTATTTCTAGGTATTTCTCTTTGTCCAGTTATTCCAACAGCACGTAACCAAACAACTTTGCAGTGTAGCAAAGCATCCTTGTATTGTACACTACTGCATTTAGAAACCTAGATCACCCCACACACACACAAGTATCCCCAAACCGGTAACCTGGATGAGGGTGCTGTGTATTTTGTTTACTCTTTTAATTAGATGCAGTCGCAGGAAAGAGGTGGTAAAACATCTCTGTAGACCAAAAGGAAGTCTCCCTCAGTCCTCCTCAACCTAGAAATCATAACCTCTGCTACAGGACATTCTTTGCAATGCCTCCTGCTGAAGTCTTCTTCCTTCCTTCCCTTTCTTACATAATATGATGGCACATGGAACAAAAGTAGTGGTAATACATGTCTTGGAAGTCAGGGTTCAGATGGGACTCATACTACTGTTACTTCATTACAAAACACCCACCAACTTCACTATTTAAAAGTCAGGCTGCTTTATCTCTGTATGCACAGCTCACAGTGGAGCTCAGGATTCTCACAAAGCTGTGAAAATTTACCCTCGCCCTTCCTGACTGCTTCTCCCTTCTCACACATCCAGCTTTTCCACAGACAGTGTTTACATTTTGCTCTTGAGTCTTTTAGCCTCCCTTGTTTAATTCAGGTGCATGATCTGTTTTTCTGTGTGGAAATTTTTGACCTGCTCACAATACACATATAACAATACCTTTGTACAGAGCAAAATCTGGCTTTCAGCTCCAGTGTCAGTCGGATGAAGCAGGAGGATGCTATAGAGAAAGCAAGACACAAATGTCAAAGGAGCACAGAATATATATCATAAGGCAAAACAGAAGACTGGCCCCCTAATCATCTCCACACAAACCTAGCGAATAGGGTAGGCCATCTCAGTAAGAACACGTTTAAGGTTTCCTCTCCCATAGTAAACTATTTCAAGTTCAGTTTGAAGGGGACTCTGAGTTTTGTTTGTCTTCTCAGAAAGAGAAAGGAAGATCTACATGTTCAGAAGATAGGAATTCTGCATCATCTCTCTGATGCACAAACAGCAAGAAATACACAAAGTGAATAAGAATTCTACACGATGAATGTCCACCAACAATTCCAGCATAATCTCTATCCACAGGAACAATCAGTTCTGAATGTTCCAGGGGAAAAGATGAAGCTGATATAATTTAATTATCAAAAATAAAATCTATCCAATCACTATTGCTAGACCAAATAACCCTCTCATCCTACTGATCGTGACTGTGCACTCCATTCTTACTCATACAAACATGTCACATAATCCTCCACAAACACTCTGGTTAAGCTCCCTGCCTCTGCAATATGCTGCTGTAGGAAGTTCCATCAGTTAACAGCACAGAGAGCATGATTCCACACCATCTCCATACCCAGCTTTTTGGAGAACTTATCTCGCATGTTTGGCACCACTGTAAAGAGGGTATTAAGTGCTGAGATGAAAACTTCCATCACTGAGGAGCTGACAGCTCTTTCCAGGTAGTTCTGCAGAAGGAAGAAAGGAACATGACGATGAGAGATACACAATACACACTGAAAGCTGCAGCTTGCCTCCTGCCTCCTGCCCTCCCAGAAGGTTAGATTCCTAAGACCAAAAAATTGGAGGAACAATTCTTCCACCAAAATGCCCGAGAGCAACTAATGTTACTGCCCCTATAACCTTGGACATAACTGCTCTTGCAGATCCGAGGGCTAACTCTGGCACAGCATGCAACACAAGACATACACTGAAATGCAGCTGACTTCAGTAATACTTAATACCTGTGCTTCAAAGTTTTATTGGGCAGTGGCAAACACAAGCATTTAAGTCCAGCACTAAAATGTTTAGAGCAGAACAACTCAGCTCACCCTTGCTGAAGGTCACTGGGCAATATTATCACAGTCCATTAATTTTTACCCAAATTCAATGAGCAAGAAACAGCACTATGAATTTCTCCACCCTCTGAGACTATATACTCCCATTTGCATTAACTATATAATAAATACCAAAGTCAGCTCTGGAGAAGTGGCAAGTGCCTCTGCTATTCTAGGTTTACTCCACAAGCTCTTTTCCCAAAAAGACTTATGCCACCTACTGTTGGTGCTTGAGAGCACCTTTCCAGGTACCCAAGGAACAGAACAAGCCCCAAAGAAATCCTACCATGACCATGGGGATGCAGAGACTGTCACAGATCCTCAACAGGAACTCAGAAAAGTTGCTCAGTGTCTCCTTGCTCTCTGAGCAGGGAGCAGTGAAAGCATTCTCCTGGGCCATGGGGTCACTCTGTAATTCCACCGCTAACCTACAAACACAGCAGGTACCAGAGGAGAGAGAAACATCAGAGATCACCAACAGTTTTGTCTTATTTCCAAGCAGTTCTTCAGTGACCAAAGACGTGAGAGAACCTGATAGGTCTGAATCACATTTCTTAGGGGACACAAACAGGTGTGAAAAATTTTCACTGTCACTAAATATTTCTCCTATTGTTTAACTGACAAGTGCCATGCATTGAACTCACCTGTGAATTTCAGTGGTGGGGTTTGACAAAGGAACTCAGTCACAAGGACTGAGATTCCCACTCTCTAAGATGGATAGACACATACATAATACCCATCCATATTCCTTCCTTGTCCTCACCTGCAAGCATTTCTGAAACTTTCCAGAGTGTTGAGTAATAGCTGCCCATGTTTCCAAGAAACTCTACTCTGGGACATCGATAACAGGAAATCACCCTGTTAAAGGACAGAAGTCTTCAAAATGTTGTATTCACTGTCAGAAAAAAGAAAAACTGATTTCCTCTTTGATACCAGCAGTAGGAGGAACAACATACTTCAATCACTTCTTTTGCACAGATGTTTTTTATTATTGTGCTCTCCCTAGGAAAGGCAGAGTTAAAAGATTTACACTGCTCTTTCTATGGAAAACAGAATTATAAATCCACCAGTTCTGCACTGCTCTGTCCCTTGGGCAAGTATAGCCTGTATTGCCATGGTTCGGTCTAATCTGAGTTTTAAGCCGCTCAGCTTCAAACCCTTCTGGGAAAACTTGGGTGTTTTTTTTTTTAATTTTGTTCCTCCCATTTACTCTTCACACAACACTGAACAGTTCCTCTCCCTGCTCAGAAATCACTACTTAGGCTCAGATTTGTAAGAAATTGGAGGATTGTGGATTTGATGGGTGGACCACTCGATGGATAAGAAACTGGTTGAAAGGCCGCAGACAGAGGGTGGTCATCAATGGCTCTGTGTCCAGGTGGAGGCCAGTAACGAGGGGCGTCCCCCAGGGATCTGCCTTGGGACCGGTGCTCTTTAACATCTTTATCAATGACATCGATGACGGAATTGAGTGCACCCTCAGCAAGTTTGCTGACGACACCAAGCTGAGTGGTGCAGTCAACACGGTTGAAGGAAGGGATGCCATTCAGAGGGACCTTGAGAGGCTAGAAAGGTGGGCCCGGGTGAACATGATGAGGTTCAACACGGCAAAGTGCAGAGTTTTGCACATGGGCCATAGGAATCCCAGGCATCCATACAGACTGGAAGGAGCAGGCCTTGAGAGCAGCCCTGTGGAGAAGGACCTGGGGGTCTTGATGGATGAAAAACTTAACATGAGCCAGCAGTATGCCCTTGCGGCTCGAAGGCAAATGGTGTCCTGGACTCCATCAAAAGAGGGGTGACCAGCAGGGACAGGGAGGTGATTGTTCCCCTCTACTCTGCTCTTGTGAGGCCCCAGTCTGGAGTACTCTGTCCAGGTCTGGAGCCCCCAGTACAAGAAAGACAGGGAGCTGTTGAAGAGGGTCCAGAAGAGGGCCACAAAGATGATCAGGGGACTGAAGCACCTCACCTATGAGGACAGGCTGAGGGGGCTGGGCTTGTTCAGCCTGGAGAAAAGAAGGCTCCGGGGTGACCTCACTGCAGCTTTTCAATACCTAAAGGGAGCCTATAAGCAGGAGGGGAATCAACTCTTTGAAAGGGTTGATAATTGCAGGACAAGGGGAAATGGTTTTAAGTTGAGGGAGGGGAGATTTAGGTTGGATGTCGGGGGAAATTCTTTACAGAGAGAGTGGTGAACTGCTGGAACAGGCTGCCCAGAGAGGTTGTGGATGCCCCGTCCCTGGAAGTATTCAAGGCCAGAGTGGATTGGGTCCTGGGCAGCCTGATCTAGTACTAAATGGGGAGGTTGGTGGCCCTGCGTGTGGCAGGGGGGTTGGAGATTCATGATCCTTGAGGTCCCTTCCAGCCCTGGCCACTCTGTGATTCTGTGAAATTATCCACATACTGGCCTTTGTTCTAACACAGCATCCTACTGAGTTCAGCCAGAAGCCAACTTCCAGATCAGAATTTGTCATCTGCCCAAACTGTGAACAAACCACTTGGAACTCAAAATCTGCCATTAAACCTTAACAAGCTGTGGTGGTCTTCTCTGAATACTACCAGAGGACACAGCAATGCACTGGTGCCTGACAGTTCAGAACTCTTTATATTTCCCCATTTGATACTGTGACACCTAATCACAACTACAATCATTTCCCCTTTACACTCACTAAACACAGACTGTATGTCGTTACTGTCTTGCCTAATTTTTTCTGTAAAGCTTTTTATCCTGAATGGGACACAAAGCTCTGTGTGCACAAACAGACTGACCAACATCTACCAATGGGGCACAAAGCTCTCCTGTTTTCTCCAGGCAGAGAAGACGGGCAGTAGGTAAGAAACGATGTGGACCTGAAGACAGTTCAACAAGCATTTGGAGTTCTGGTACCCCCACAAGATGTTCTTGCCACTTCAGACATGCAATCTAAACTTAAGTGGCCTTAAGCACAGAGCAAGAAGATTCAGCCCTTGTCATGTCACTGGCCATCAGTTACAAGAGCTCTCCTGACAGGTGCACAGGTCCCAGCAGCACATCACATTAACTGCATATTCCAGGAACAGTAAAGAATTTGCAGTTCAAGTAGCAGCTACCAATTCCCTTGCTGAGCAATCACTGTGCATACAACGTGACTGTCTTGGTCTGAAGGCACAGTAAGAGATGTTCATTGCCAAAAAATAAATTGACTAACACAGCCTACAAGGCGGGGGCCTAAAGAAGGGGAGGTTCAAATTACCTTGCAGCACTGAACATATAAAGAGAGCAGTATACTAAAATGGTGCCCCACATATTTTCACTGATTTAGAAAAAGCACTCACCAGCATCTATCTTCATAGATAAAGACTGTTACCATCTCAACCCATGAGGATCAAAAGAAACACCAGAGACTACAACAGCCACAGGTAAGGAGATGGAAAAAAAATGCAACTTCCACATGCTATGCTAGGAGGATCATCCCTGTTCTGCTTGGTACTACCAAAGTGCACAGTATCTCTTGACTTACTTCATGCTTGTTGCTACAGTGTGGTGGGGAAAGGTCAACACATCGCTTCAGCACTGCCTCCAGTAGTTTCTGCAGATTTTCATATGGAACTGGAGGGGAGCTCAGATGATCCTTCCTGAACAAGCAGAAAGACAATGAACATGTTCTCAGCTGGGAACATTCCACATGGGAAAGCAACACCAGCAGAACTAACTTCTCTTTGGAAAGCAATATGCCACTGCCATCTCTCTCCAGTACAGCACACAAAAGTCAGGATGTCTGTATAGTGCCTTCTCCAGATGTGAACCCAAACACACCCTCACTACATTCAGCATCACAGCTTCTCACTACAATCAAGAACCATATAACTGTGCACAGTCTTGTTCTTATCTGTCTGGATGGGCAACAGTATGCCAAAGTCACAGCAGCTGCAGAATAAGCCTGACGGAGATGCTAGGTCCTTACTGCAGCAGTTTGCTGCCTACCACAGCTTCATCACCCTGGCAGCCCACCTTCCCACAGGGTGGGAAGCTAGCTCTGCTGTACCCATGCCTATCTCAGCCAGAATTCCCACTGCAGAGTACACTCACCCACACAGACACAGGGGAGCTGCAGAGACCAACATTTCTTCAGATCTATCTGAAGAAAAGCCTGTAAATACTTTCCTGCCTACCTCAGAAAAGCTGCCACAGCTTTCACAGCCTCCAGTACCACCTCCAGCACTGGGCAGTCCACTGTCTTCATCAAAACATCAATGGCATCTATACATATACCTCGGTTTGTGAATAATTTAATTTCCACTGGTTGCCTGCAAAGAGAAAACAGAGTAAGCAAGGAGAATATTGTCAGGTTAAGTAACTGTATTGCCCTCTCCTTATTTGACCAAACAGAGCACAGAGCCATGTGGTTCCAGCCATGATTTTTAGTATTCAGAGCCAGCTGCTCACAAGGATGCAGTCTCAAACTTGAGTAGGTGGAGGGTTTGCTACAAAGAGTGAACTTCAGCAGGTCTGGAGTCCTACTATGATGAAAAGAACCTACAATCTGGATGACTTTGTACTGCGCCCGCACATACTGACATGAAAAACACATGAAAAAAGAGGCTCTGCAAAACACAGTCCCTGTATAGGACTTTATGCTGAGGCCATCTGCTCTGGAATTTGTAGGTTCATCTAGTATTTCATATTTCTGAGTAAACAAGCAAACACCACCGTTCTAGAAGAAGGACAATGCCAAGAGAATAGCTTCTCTAACAGTCCTGCAGTGATTCTACTGCCAGATGGTGGCAGGACAGGGACTTTCAAGAACTTGAAAAGTAAACTGGAAAAAACAAAAACCACCATAATTCAATTGTTTTGACATTTTTTCTTGATAGTGACCATTCTGGTCATCTGATCACTTTGTGACCCTATGCCTTTGAGCATTCAGCATGAGAGCACAAAGGGATGACAAGCCATTAATCCCACTACTGGGCAGAGATGTACAGATGGCATACTGTGCTCATCTGACTCCTGGAAAGTCAGGTACATTCGTGAAAGAGAGGAGAAGGTAAGCAGCTACATGTGGAAAAGAGGTATTAATGGTCTGCCAGAATGTATCACCAAAAGCAAAGCCAGAAAAAAAGCAGAGCATGATAGCAGCCAGACTTGGAAGCCAGAGTATTCCCCATTACTTCATTTTCATAGACATGACAAGACTAAGGCAAGCCAGGAGCACGTGCTCCCATGCACAAATGGGAGAGAAGAATCAACAGCAGTAGAAATTAAATTAGTAGCTCAGCTGCAGGGCAAAAAGTGAACAGAGGCAGAGCCACTCTTTAGCCACTCAGTGGGAGCAAATCCAGCTTGGCAGTCATTTCACGTTCTGCTGCGCGAAAGGGCAGAGAGGTGGGCAAGGCAGGGATAAGGCCAGGGAACGCAGGCACCAGGACCAGCCTCTGGCCCAAGCCATATGTGCTGAACTTCAAGTTGTTTCTACTTACACTCTATTTTTATTAATCCCTTCTATTTCTTTCCTTTAATCACTGACCCTCTGAAGTAAAACACATCAGGAAAAAAAGTCTTCACTGACTCATGCAGGGAAGAAGGGATGGAGGAGTACTGCTGACTCACCCAAGAGGCACAAACCCACTTGCAATATGGTGTACTATGATGTCTGCAGGGCTAGGGAAACAAACGCATTAAATACAGAACTCCTGCACCTTCCTGCAGCCCCTTGTCCTTGGATCCCAAACTCTGCGCGCCACTCTGGTTGTGCTGGGAGAGAAAAGCACAGAGAGCTAACCACCATTCCTGACACTTCTGACAGTGCCAATAGAGGCAGAACATCTTGTCTGAATAACATCAGAGCGTGGGGGTCAATTACAGAGTAAGAGAACCAGCTGCAAGGAAAACCAAGAGATGTTCCAGCTTGAGACCATTTTCTCCATATGATACAGTTTAAAATAAAATGGCATTTTAAATGTAGGCCTCTGAGAAACAGGACGTGTGTGCTAGAAAATGAGAGTAATTGCATAGAGCATTTTCTTTGTTTTACAAGCATAAATGCTGTAATTAGTGTTTCCCACGTTTTGGTTTCTCTTTCTGACAGATCCCACACTGGCCTCATCACACTGTTCTTTCTCCTTTTTACCCTACCACTTGCTACAAAAATTGACTGACATTTCCAAAATTCAGCTTTAGGGCTCTCTTGGGGGACCTAAGTGGCAAAAACAAGATTCTGTCACTAGCACAACACGACATGAACAAGATCATACAGGCAGGAACAGGAAGCACAGAAGAAAAACAAGCCAGAGTATGTTATTCCTTAGCAGAAAACAAGGGGAGAAACTGACAGAACGCATTAATAGTTCGGCCTGGAATTTGTTTTTGCTGTTTGAATTTAGCTCAGATGAAGACAGAGGACTAGAAGCCATGGAATTTACATGCTCTGTTTTGTCACTTAGCAGGAGCCAGCTGGCTCACGTACACCTGGACTTTCCTAGGCTTTGCCTTTTATGCCTACAGATGAAAGGAGAATTCACTCCCTAGACTGCCAAGGAAGCAGGGAGAGGCAGATGTACTGGTGGAAGCGTGCACAAAGAAGGCAAGCTGGGAGATTTGGAAACAGCTATCAGGCCCTTCTTCACAGGACTGAACACAAGGGCTCAAGAAGTGCAGATATTTGGCCTAGGAAAAAGAACTCGAAAGCACAACAGTTTCCATTTTAGGGCACCAAACTCTGCGTCTGTGAGCCTGACAGGGGCAACTCCTTACCGTTTCACTATTTCAGTGAAGAGCAGGAGCCCTTGCTTGTGTAACTCCACATTGTTCAAATGCAGGACATTCTGGAGACTCCTCACCAGAGATTCTATGCCTACAATGTTGAAGAGAAGTTACAGAGGAAGATTTTAATCCCCCTTTCCCCCCCCCCCAATTCCAGGATGGGAGAAAAACAAATATTTGAAAGGAAGGAAGATTTGAACAATCATTCTTCTGAGCCACTGGCTGAAACAACTGCCCAAGCCATCATTTTCGCTCAGCTCCCTGATAACAGGCATCAGCTCCCACTGCTGAGGGGAAGTCCAGAAGAACGGAAGTAATTTGGCCTCTCTTCCTAAGTCCACTTTTGACATCTCCGCAGAGATACCTAGCAGTAACTCCTGATAACTGGCTATTACTAGCAGTCAGGTTATAGTAACAGTCACAACAACTGGTTATTACAGTGGATGCACGCTCATCAGAAACTCATTAGGACAGCGACACTGTAAATTCAAGGCGCAGTAGACATCACAAATGCATCTGATAGGTACTCATTTTCAGTCCTTTATCAATCCTGACTAGAAACTGTGATTGTGTGTAAAGCGCTGAGATTCAGCTAGAGGCACAACAAATGCCAGCAATATTACTCGCGGTCACTGTCAGAATGGCTGATGACTCACCATATACTGTGTGACACTTGGAGAAGAAAAGGCGCTCTTCAGTGAGGAGAAGCAGCGAGCAATACACTGACCAGATGAGAATTTCACTGTTGCACATGAGGCACTCAAAAAGGAATTCTGTGAAAACACACATACAAATAAGGTCACCCTGGTAAGAGGCTCACAGCACGGCAAAGCTGCTCCCAGAACAGAGCAGAGGAAAGAGGAAGGAAGCAGGAATCATACTGACAGCCAGAGGGAGAATGGATCTATTATGAAATGGAAGGAATGGAGGATGGAGTGGATACTCAGATGCATGCTAGCCTTCAAAACACAGTGACTGGAGAGCAGAGTCCCCCAGGCAGGCTTCTTCCCAGCATAAACTTAACAGGCAGGAGCTGAATTGTGGCTCCAGCCTCTGGCGTAAATGAAGTCACAAAGCAAGCTTTAACACAGATGCGGTGATCTTTTTTTTCCTACAAACTTTCACATCTCACAAAGAATTTGCAAAATCAAAGCAATTCTGTCTTCTGGGAATAGAGTGAACAACAAACCATCTCCTAAAGCTATATTCCAAAGCCAGATCTACTAGATCAAATTCAATGAAAATTCACAATATTTAGTAAGATAAGATGGAAACACAGCTAGTTTAGACTTTGCACCCATGCTTCAAGAGGTTCCTTGACCAAATTCTTGCTGAGGAAATCCCATTTTGCCAGTTGACAACTACTTCTATACTTTCAATTGAAAACTCATTCTTCACTACTGTTTCTAAAATCACATTAGACATTTCTACTGATACTAAAAGGTCATTGCATAGATTATGTCATCCGTGGATTTCATGGAGCCAGACTGATTCCTAGAACAAAAAGCCAGGGAAATGGACAATACAATGTTATTGCACTTCTTCACCTGGGACATCAGCATGGATAAAGGCAGGAGCGTATCTGCTGGGAGAGTGAACCAGCACTGCAGCCATACAGTGAGAGCTTGCTGCCTGTAACATCTCATCTCTGGTCAACAAAAGCTGTCGTGAAAAAAAGCAAAAAGAAGAGAGGAAGTCAACTGTGCAGGTATGAGTAATAACAGTTTCCTCTAAATTTAAAAAATTTAAACATAAATGAAGGTGTCTCTTTTAACACGCATTTCATTGGTTAAACTTGGCAAAGCAAGATAAAATACTGGATTATAAGCACTCAAAAATACACTGTGAGAACCACAATAAATAATATTGTGAATAGGAATAGCTCCACCTTGATATTGTTGGCACTACCAGAGCTGTATCAGAACTTAAGCACCAGTGAGTAAAACCAGCTGAGGCCACAAGTAAAAATTCCAGGATGCAGGAACAAACAATAAGGAGACCAATGGTGGTGTCCAAATTTTCCACTGCAGTCTCTATTGCTGGTCAGTGTTGGCAACAGAACCCAGATGCCTCAAATAAAAATTCAATACAGGCTATCAAACTCTTACGTGAACTAGCAATTCACCTCAGAACAAGGGATAATGTGTTAAAAAGTCATAGGTTGCATGCTGTAAGACTACTTCATCAATCACCTTTTTGAGAATGAGCGGAAGTGGATTTTCCCCTTCTAACAAATCAGAGTTTTCAGATTCTTCTTCTGGTTTTGGATTATTCATAAGAATGGATACAAAACGGTCAGATTTCAGCAGCTCCTTCAGCAAACCTGCAAAAAGGGGAGCAAAAGTGAGCATCATAAAATGGACATGGAATTAATTCAGGAGTACTTACAGCCAAAGACTTGTCAGTTTCCTTCTCTTTCCAGCACTCTGAGCAAAGACCCTAACTTCAAGTTGAGCAAGCTTCTTCTGACTTACATATACAGCAAGTGCCATGAGCTATGCGTCTGGCAACCCCTTGTTGCTGTTCTTTCGCCAGGTCTGATTGCTCCCCATTCCTGAGAGATCTGTATGTGCAGTAGTAAATGACCCCTTGAACCTTCTACTTGTCTTCTGTGCTCCAGTACTTTCCCCTTACATTGTTTCTTTAGAGAGCTCTTAATTTGCATTTTTCACCATGCTACAGCCAAGGACCAAACAGTTAACTAGATATTTTCCCTGGAATACTTCCTAGAGCCGTGGCATTTATCTTCCCTTTCTGCTTTCATAGACTCTTGCTGAAACAGCTGCATTTTGTTAAAGGACGTACACACATACACAAAAAAAAAAACAAAAAAAACAAAAAAACCCCTCAGTATAGAAGCATAGAGCACTGCTACAGATATTGATGCAAATCATCTGTACACATCGGCACAAATTCACAAGGGATAAGGCGTGAGATCAACTTTCAAAGAAATTATCATCCTTTCCTTCTTGCATCCTACAAGGAAAAGGAAATCCTTGGATGGTTTGCAACCAAGCAGTGCCAGGAAAGCTGAAATTGTGCTCTCTAGCAACAGCTGCTAAGTGCAATATGAAGAATAAATGCACAAAACTGACCCTTCCATATGTTATTCTGTTCTGGTGCTTATACAAAACCCACCTGTCTGTGCAGTGTGTTTGCATTCAGGCAGTTTGAGTCCGGTAGCATCATATTCAGACAAATCAAATCACAGGGCAAACCCTGAGGAAACTCTGAAGATTAATCAGTGCTAGGCAACCATTGGGCTTTAGGGACAACAGAGGCTGGAGGAGCACAACAGCAGGTCTGGGTTACTTCACTGCTGTCTAGTAACAGAAAGGATCAATTGCTTCAAACGAGCAGAAAAACAGCTCTTCTAAAGCCTGACCCACATCAGGGTATTTAAACCATCCAAGGATTTCTGCTTTGCTCTAAACCTTCCCTTGCACCTTGCAGTTTCTCTCAGTAGTGCCTTACCCAAGCAATTAATCTGCAGCTCCTTTGTCTGTGCATGGCCAAAAGTATTCAAGAAGAGGCCACAGAGCCTTTCTTCAAAGTGTGCTGAGAGCTTTTCTGTGCCAACAGGAGAGGAGTACAGCTTGCCATACAAGTAACAGATAGCAGCCTTTACACCTTCATTTGGGTACATCAAGCCCACCAACAGATGATCCACTAAATTACCTAGTATGAGGAACAGAAATGGCAAACATTCATACCAATGAGCTGAGTTGTAAGCTGACTTTTTTAAAGCATCAGCCTATTTCCCTCAAAAACCTGTGTTGTGATTTAAATCCAGTAGGCAGCCAAGCACCACACAACCACTCACTATATCATCTCTCAGCCAAAACCAGTACAATTTGCACAAGCCTACTACACAGACTGGTGTACATAGATTAACAAATACCAATGGATGTTGTGCTACCTCACCACTGTTTCTCCCTCTGATCCAGTCACACATTCTTGGACATTGGGAATGCTTCTAAGAGTCTCTGAGCAGAGGTACAGTAAAAAATGGCCCAAGGAGAAAACTGTTCACCATAGGGATTTCCACCACCACCACCTCTACAAAGAGCTAAGTATGCTCACCAGACTCCAGAGGCTGAACCAAGGAGAGGAAAACAAAACATATATTGCCCACAAGGCATACCGACAAACACAATTCTCAGAGGCTGTTTTTGTCAGGATGGCTAAGAGCACAACACCAAGCCTACTACTGAGGTACTGACCAGCAACCCAGGAGGTCTGCGTGCCACTTCATCTTCAGGGACAGGATTCTTGTGCAACCTTTGTAAATGCACACAGCAGGAGAAAGACAGTGCGTGCATACTTATGTGTGTTAGCGCTGTGACTACAACCCTTCAGTGGAGCGTGACAGGCTACTCACTGTGCTCGACCACCAGTATGTCAGCAAAGACTGGGACAGCATCTGCTAGCTTCCCCAAGAGAGTGAACGTGGGCAGGCTGCCTCTCCTGGTAGTTGCTTTGCACAGCTGTAGAGGAGACAGAGGAAGGAAATGTTTCACAGCTGAGAACACAGTACACAGTTAGAAAGACACGAAAACCAATATGCTCTCTCCAAAACAGGATCTTCACCTAAACCAGGACCTTTTCACCATTTAGGATAAATCAGAGGAAAACTCTGAACACACCTAAAATCCCCAAAATGCAGCAGTGTTTCTTTAATTTATCCAAGAAATCTCTTTATTGTTGCCCCTTTCCCCTCCAGCTCCTATAAGAGCAGATAAATGGGCTGAATTTCTCCCTGCTTTTGCTATTTCTCAATTTTTTGTACCCCACAGGACCATCACAAACTTAGGAATGAAGACAGCAGAAGGCTGTGAAAGCTCCTCATTTCACTGACTCGGGAAAGGAGGAAAAGAAGAATCTGAGGAAGGCACACAGTTTCATTAAAGCATTATGAAGCCATACAGCCACAGCATGCCATGAGAGCAATAGCAAAACTCCAGAGAAGACACCAGTGCCAAAACCACAGCAGGGGAACTGGCATTAGGACATCTCAGTACAGTAGAAACTGCATCCCAAAGCAGTAGCTACAGTCTCACAGGGCCTCTCATTCTCATCTTTTCAACCTCTGAAGAACTGAAGGGAAGGGCAGAGAATTCATCTTCACTGACCTCTTTTTGGCTTTCATCCAGAATGCAGCGCAAGTACTGCTCTGACTTCAGCTCCACTATAAGCTGCACAAGAACTAGGCAGAAGAAATGGGATCAGTAATTCACATTGAAGAGCACTCACAATCCATCCTCCACAGGGCTTTAGCAGGCCAGTGAGCAAAGAGCTTAGCTATTAAATGAACGTGGGGCTGCTGAGAGTGCAGGGTAACAGCAAAGCCCCAATGCTATTAGTTCTGATAGCCCAGCTGAGGCTCTCTGCAGCAACATTACAGCAGCAATCCTGTTCTAGCAGCACCACAACCCATGCATGGAAATGACAAAGGGTCTATCAGGACATCAAGTAAATACAAGGAACGGAAGGAAACAAAGCCCAAGTTTGAAACTATTAAAAAATCTGATACTTGAATAGAGCAGGCACCCTACAGTAGGAAAGCTGGCCTTTAAAAACAGCCTTGCAGAGAAGGTAACATTACAGTCTACCATACATACACAGGTTTCCATAAATTGAGGCCCTACTTATCTTTGTGACTCTTAACTGAGACACAGTACAGAATATCACTCCATACGATTTGATAAAGCTAGTTTGGATATATCTTCTTGTCATGCCATGACTCATTTCAAACAGGGCACACTGTACTCTAACACATTCTTTTTACTCTTATTCTAAGAAAGCATTTAAAAAAAAAAAAAAAACAACAACTGAGACTTCTAGGTGTACCATCTCTTGGTATATCCAGGGCAATACTGTGAGTTTATCTAGGAGACCTACTTTAGATGAAGGGCCAACTTTCTGAGCAGAGGCGTATCTTGAGGCAGATGATATATAGATGCTTTAATGGCCCTTTCCTGCCTGGAACTCTCAGAATTTCTAAGAACATTCTATTTCTAAGAACATTCAGTAATTAGGTATCATTAAGTTAAAACTCCTTTGAAATTATCCATCTCTCAGCAGAACTGCATCCTGACAGAAAGATCTCTCACCTTTGCAACACTTTTCAAGCACGTGTCTGAAAACTGATACCTCTCTGAAAGGAGCTGATCACATCTCCTTTCATCTCTCATGGCTGGACAGGAGGAAATCACTGCTCTGTGAATATCACAAGACTCAGCAGAGACGCCCAAGGTTAATAGGACTGCAGACATCCCTTCTCAGCCCTGCAGGCGCTTCCAGATTACAAATGAAGGACTGCTAAGAGAGAGAAATCTAGAAGCTGTACAGCTACATCCCAAATACTGTTTGTCCTGAGGAAAAAGCACTAGATTCCAAAGCTCAGTGAAGCCAATATGAAGATTTCCATTTGGTCAGGTTCAAAGATGGAGCTTTATTTACAAGTGCTACCCATCTGAAGGCACACACAGAACTTGAGGGAGAAATGCTAACATTTAAATGCACATACACTTCATATGTACACACCACAAAATACTGGAATGATCTGCTTATCACTTTTGCAACTGATAGAAAATAGCTCTCCTCAATTCAAGCTGTGCAGAAGCTGAGCTATCAGACAAGATGGATGCCTCTCACAGACTGCCACTGACTAGCACACAGCATCTGTACCTCACCTTCTCCAAACTGGTCTTGGGTATCGTTGTCTTCCACAGCATGACACATCCCTAAAAGATAAAGCACAATCAATTGCAGAACTCATTTTTGCTTGTAATCATTGGTGCTGTAAAGCCTTCTTGTAAAAATAGCTGCACATTATTTCAGTACCAGTTTGTTTCCCCCTGCTTCACAAGAGGCCAATCTGACTCTGTCAGAAGAGGGTGGATTCTGCAAAAGGTGCCCTCATAACCAGGAAAAAGGGGCATGGGGTGTTCTGTTCTCTCAGAATTTATGTGCTTTGTAGTTGAACTCAGTGGCTCCACCTATGTAGGTAAACATGAAACTGCGAACACCACTGCATGTTCCAGCATCATACATCTGAATTACAACACTACAGAATGATAGGAGTCAAAGCCCAGCTATGAGGTGTCCTTCTTATCTTACCCTTATTCTTACTCATCACCAAGTCTTCTCCCTTTACAGTACTGAAAATGCCAATCAATTATAGCAAAGCTGTCCCCTAAAAATTTAACTGTGTACCTTTTCAGACAAGCACACAGACTGATTATTTAAAAACAGAGCACTGAAATCCAAGTACAGCTCTGTCTTCTGGGGTATTTGGTTTAGGATCCTACAGTGTAGGAGTGAAGTGGCCGTAAGCACTACTCCCTCCACATCTGTATAGGATTGTGTGCAGACAGTGCTCAATAAAAATTTGTGTGACCAAGAGAATGAAACCTGCACAACATTCTAATAAAGCTGTTTCCAGTGTGCAAAGCACAGTTTGTTCTGGGAAACCAGCTGGGAAACGCAGCTTGAATTATTCAGTGTTGTGGCAAGGGAAGGGGCTTGTAAGTCACCTCGCACAAAGCACATATCTGTGATGTGCAAATGAGACCGTGGACTTCAAGGAATTCAGTATAATTGCTCTTTGGAAGCATTTGCATTCATACCCTCCACCTTTCTCTTCCTGCCTGACCGTTCCTTCATTTACACCATTATTTCTCCTCTGACAGGATTTTAGATATTTCAAAGTCCTTGCCCACAGCACTGCTGTGCAAACAGAAACAGTGAGAGATGTTCGAGATCTAAGGGACTGAAGGCACTTTCTGACATCTCTCTGAGCACTGCGTTCTGCTGGGAGGCTGACCCACCAGGAAGAAACAGGTGTCGTAGACCTACAGCTCAAAGGATTTCAGCAAATACAAAATGACAGTGGGGGAAAGAAATACTGTACCATTTGATAGCAAATCTGTAAGACCCTTTTTAAGTTCACGCTTCCATTTCTGTGTGGATCTTCATATAGTGCCACAAGATGAGAAAGCACTGAGGCGTGAGACCAGAACAGAGGGTGTTCTGGGAAGAGCCGTAAGCCAGAGCACTCAGTTCCCCAGAAAGACTTTAAAAATCTGTCAAGATACTTAGGAAAGCTGTGGGAGTCTTACTAACATGCCAGTTCTGCTCCTTGGGGAAGAGGGAAATTAATTACCCTAGTCTGTTTGGAATGACAGACCCTTTTTTGTGGGGAATAGCAACATGTAATGGAGAATGTTGGCAGAAGTATGGAATTGGGTACTTCAGTGGTCTATTGCTGTTTTTAGGGGGAAGTTGAATGTGGAGAAGCCTGGGTTAGAGAAATCCCAGATACATTTACAGACTGGGAGAATAACTCATTGAGAGCAGCTCAATGAGAAGGATTTGGGAATCCTGATGGATGAAAAGCTGGACATGAACCAGCAGTATGCTCCTGTAGCCCAGAAGGCCAACAGTCTTCCACCCGCAGCTGGTGCGGAACCAAAAGAAGGGTGGCCAACAGGATGAATGAGGTGATTGTCCCCCTCTGCTCTGCCTTTTTAAGGCCCCAGCTGGAGTACCACATCTACACCTGGGGCCTCAGCACAAGAAAGATATGGGGCTGTTGGACTGGGTCCAGAGGAGGTCACGAAGATGCTCAGAGGGCTGGAGCACCTTTCCTATGAAGACAGGCTGAGGGAGCTGGGCTTGTTCAGCCTGGACAAGAGAAGGCTGCAGGGAGACCTCATTGCAGCCTTCCAGTACTTCAAAGAAGCTTACAAGCAGACAGGGGACTGATTTTTCACACGGGTAGATTGCTGTAAGACAAGGCGGAACAGTTTTCAACTAAAAGAGGGGACATTTAGACAAGATGTCTAAAATTGTCACTCAGAAGGCAGTGCGGACCTGGCACAGCTGCCCAGAGAGCTGCGGTGCCCCAGTGCTGCAGGTTCAAGGCCAGGCTGGATGGGGCCCTGGGCAGCTGAGCTGCGGGTGGCAGCCCTGCTCACCGCACGGTGCGGGCTTCGAGGTCCCTTCCAACCCTACGAGAAGGGCACTCCCTGGTGCTGCGTTAGGCCGTGTGGGAGCCCTTACCGAAGAGCGTTCCTATCAGACAGAGGCAGCCCCTCTCGTCTGGAGCCAGCAGCTGGACGACCGGCAGCGCCCGCCACGCCAGGGCATCGCGCAGACGGCACAGCGCGTGCTTCTTCCGCACCAGCTGCGGGCGGAAGACAGCCGTTAGCAGCGGGCCCGCCCCAACGCTGATCGTGGCACTAAAAGCGTCACCCCGCGTGCCCCGAGCCCTGCCTCAGCGCAGGAGCAGGCCGCTCGGGGTACGGACGCTTAGAGGGAAGGGGAAGCCCCACCGAGGCTCCGCCGTCGCCCAAGGTCTCTACAGCGCAGGCGAGGCACAGCGGCGGTCGGAACGGCAGGGTCCACCGGGCGCCGTGCCGGTCGCGCAGCCTCTCGCAACCCGCCGCCATCTCCCCACGGCCGCTAGGGCGTGCGGTGGGCGGGGCCCTCGGCGAAGCCCGGCCCGCCTCTTCCCTCCGCCGTGCCCTCAGTTCCGGCGGCGTGCGGCCCGCTGCGCGGAGGAGCGTTGGGCCCCGTGCGTTCTCGCGCCGCGCTGAGAGCTGCACCGCGCCGCCGCCATGGTGAGCGGGGCCGGGGGAGATTCGGCACGGCCGGGGGAGGGGTCCGCTTCCAGGCGCAGGGAGGCGGCGGGCGGGCGGGCGGGGAGCACGTGGGGACCGCGCTGCGTGGGGCTGCGCCGAGGGGCGTCCGGGGACGGGTTGTGGGCTGCTGTTCGTGATGTGCGTGTACGTAGGTGGCTGAAAGGAGGTTGTGGCGAGGTGCGGGCAGCCTCTTCTCCCAGGTGGTAGCTATAGGATGAGAGGTGATTGCCTCAAGTTGCGCTAGGGGACATTCGGGTTGGGTATCGGGAAGCATTCCTCAGTAGGAGTGGTGCAGCGGTGGCACAGGCTGCCCAGGGAGGTGGTGGGGTCACCGACCCCGGAGGTGTTCCAGAGCCGTGTGGATGTGGCACTGAGGGACGTGCTCAGTGGTGGGGGTGAGCTGAAGGTTGGACTGGGTGATCCTGGAGCTCTTTTTCAACCATAGGTGTTCTGTGATGCACTACACGTGGTGGGACTCGCTGCATCTCTGATGTCCTTCGGAACAAAGTTCTTTGCCCCTGATGTACCATTCTCCCATCTTTTCTTTTCCCCTGTTTCTAGAGTGAGGCAGAGGTGAACCCCAAAGCTTACCCGCTGGCTGACGCGCAGCTCACCAAGACGCTGCTGGACCTCGTGCAACAGTCCTGCAACTACAAGCAGCTACGCAAAGGAGCCAACGAAGGTGGGACCAGCAAAGCATGCTGGGAGTGCTGTAGGAAGCTGTGGCTGGAGGTTGTATTTTTTTCTCCAGCTGCAAGCTGTGAATATTATATAGCTCTGGCTGACACGAATATCCCTCTCTTTCTTCCTCCTAGATGCTCAGAGTGTGTTCACTGTGATCATTTGTCATGCGGCACTGGGATGACCAGGTGCCTTGCCAGCTTAAAATCATAAGATAACAGGGGTTTGAGGGGAGCTCTGTAATGCAGCCTGCTCAGAGAATGGCACCTTTCACAGCTGGATCAAGCTGCTCAGGGCTTTATCTGGTTAAGCTTTATTTGAAGAAAAAAAAAAAAATCCTTAAGCATGGAAACTCATTAAACTTAAACTGTTCTCCTGTCAGAATTTTTTTTCCCTCATGTCCCCAGAATTTCCCCAAGGCAACAGTCACAGTCTACAACTTGTCCTTTATACTGTGTGCTGATGGGGATAACCTGGCTCCATCCTTTCTGCAGTCTCCTTGGAGTGGCAGAAGGCAGCAGTTATTGTCCTCCAACCTTGGCTGGTTCTTCTCCAGTCTGCACAGATCCAGATCCCTTGGTCTCATCTACGGAGTGCTCCAGCTGCTAGCCCTGTGCTGGCCTCACTCCTTTGTGAATCTCTCAAGATGTAGAGCTGGGTGTGGTAAACTAGATGTGACCCTATGAATAATCCTTCCCAGGGACCTGCTGTTGGCACTCCAGGGTCAGCCTCTTCCTCTCATGGGTGTGCTGCTGACTGCAAATTGTTCATTCTGGACTTGGAGCTGTGTTATTACATGGCCCTGTAGCTGACAGTTTTCTTTGGCCTGGCCTCTTGCTGCCCCTTCTTGCTCATGCTGACTTCAGCATCTCCTAATGTTGTTTATGCGATGTGCTTCATGGAACCTAGACTTACTTTTAGTTTCTTTTTACAGCCACCAAAACACTGAACCGAGGAATAGCAGAGTTCATTGTGATGGCTGCTGATGCTGAACCCTTGGAGATCATCCTGCACCTCCCTCTTCTCTGCGAGGACAAGAACGTTCCTTACGTGTTCGTGCGCTCCAAGCAGGCCTTGGGCCGGGCGTGTGGGGTTTCCAGGCCTGTCATCGCCTGCTCCATCACTATCAAGGAGGGATCGCAGCTAAAGCCTCAGATCCAGTCTGTACAGCAAGCTATAGAGAGACTGTTGGTCTGAGCGCCCATGAGTTTGAGTGTGTGTGGAATGGGTAATGGTGAAGTCAGGGGGAATTAATGTCTAGCTTTAGTTGATGACATTATAGTTTTGATATCAGTGTTCCATTTCAATATTCATATTTTTGTTTAATAGTGGCTTAATTCTTAAAGTGTCTCTGCCTCTTTTCCCCTCCCTTTTTCTATTATTCCACTCCAACACCCATTCTTGTTGTATTACTTCTTGAAAAGTGATAGTACAACTGTATTTACTGCTTGACATTTAAAAGAAAAAAAAATCCCCTCCTATCTCCACATCTGCCTGCTCAGGGCTTTTATAACCTACCCACTAGCTTCCTAATACTTCAGCCTCTAACAGGTCTATCTCTCTGTTTCAGAATGGTTTACTCTATGGGGGAATAAGGTATGTTGGTTCCGCAGCACAACGTGTGTATTTGGGCTGCTGGAGTTGTTGCTTTGAAGTGAAGCAGCACAGACCAAGCATAGGACTGTGGCTACTGTGTAGCAGCTGGTAGAGCCAGGATCAGTACACATAGCACAACCCTTCCTTCAGATCAGGCAAGAGACTTCTCTAAGAGGTGTATGGGGAGCTGAAATCGTACGGCAGCGCGCAAGGGGAAATCTCTAATTTCACTTATTTTTAAATGCTGATTTTTTTTTTTTTTAAGAAAATAAAATTACTGACGAATCTAAATACAGGAATGTCCAGAATTGTCATTCCCTTGGGAAACCACTTGCTAACTGAAGTGTTCCTACTTGTGAAGCTGAACTGCTCAGAGATCGCCTAAAGGCCATCATGGTGTAGTAGATCAATACTCCCTCAGTTTTCTTTGCATGGATTGCAACAGTGATCTGCGAAGTTTGGGCTTCCTAAGACATTTAAATACAAAACTTATTCTTGGGTAGAGAGCAGCTCGCTGTGTCTGATAAGTACCACACATCTGGCCAATAACTGTAAAAATTATCTCATGCTTTTAGAGAAGCTACTGCGCTATAGTTACATGGCAGAAGATCAACCCTTTAAGTCATGGCCTGGACAACAGTGGGAAAAGTGATTTCTCAGATAAAACGACCTGTGACTCAAGAAGATGATGCATAATTTCATGATCTTGAAAAGCATGAATGCACCACCAGCATTCTGGATCTGGAGTGGTTTCATGGAGCTAGCTGTAGTTCAGTGCATGTTGTGTTATAAATCCCATTTCTGTTCTGAACAGAAATGTAAACCTCTGCATCGGAGTGGATCATACCAAATTTGTCTTTTGCAGGATGCCTGGACTTAACAGCTGGAATCTTATCCCCAGCATTTTGTCTCCTTGTGTGGCTGCCCAGCTCAGCCGTGCCTCCCACCTTTCCGAGGCAGAAAGGAAAACTAAAGTGGAAAGACCAATAGGTACAACAGCAGAAGGGAAAATAAGTTGTGTAACATTGTCACAGTGGTACCAACTGCATACTTTTATTAAGTATATCTCAAGCAGATGAAAGCAGCTCACGCAAGACTTAAGACAAACTATCTTTTTGTTAAGGGCTGATAAATTCATCTTAGCAAGAATATTACTGTCGTGTATACAAAGATCTCAGAGCCCTGTTGTTTGTACAAATTTTGGAAAGCCTGCTGTTCCATCTACCAATTCTGATCACTGAGCTAGTCGTTTAAAACAACAGCTTGCCCCATCTGTACTGTGCCAAGACAGCTTATGTAACACAAAGAACATACAAACCAGAAATAAAGGATTCTAGAGAAAATAAAGCTAATTTTCTGCTTTGAAGCCTTCCATCGCCATCCCTGGTAAACTTATGCTTAATGCAATAGCCTGCCTTAAAAAGAAGAAAGGGAGATGTAATAACCTAGAAGAAACATAATTATCTAAAGCCTGGAACATACTGTGCCTGGGGGTTAGCAAGCCAAGACAGAAGTTAACAAGGGCATCCAGGATAGGAAAACTCACAAAATTAAGGTAGTCTCATTATTATATTGCACTCAATTCAGGCTTTGCTAAGACAAGCATTTACAGTAACTTCTCCACCTAAGGCAAAAAGAATTATTGCTTAGACATTCTTTATTAATACCTATCATAATGCTAGCAGATTGAAAGTAAGACACAAGTTTCAATCTGCAGGGCTCAGTATGTTAGCTGCTCTGCACTGCAGGTGGAAGTGGGCAGTGTGGTGGTACAGCTAGAGTGGTCACAGTTCTCAGGCTGTTTTCAGTTGGCTCCCAATACATATTCTGCACTCACAGCACAGCCGTGACCTCAATATACAACTTAACTCTTCAATAAGTTACCTAATGGAGTGTGCCAAATGGGAATCTGCTGAACGCAAACATCGTGAGGACCAAAATGAATACCTCATGTATTCCACGACTGCATTCAGTGCTAAGTTACAGTTCAGCTAAACAACTAGCCACAAAGTAATCATTTTAACTCATCTTGTGCTGCAACGCAGGTGGGACATCCCAAGGGTGAAAGTTTAAAAAACAAAACGTACAACCCCAGATGCAGCTTTGTCAGTATGATTTTAAAAATACTCTGAGTAACAAACAAGGGCTACTCTCCACAATCTGCTACTTCTGAGCACAGGTTTTGGCACAGGAGCTTGTATAACATTCTGACTCATACTCACTACAGAGGTGGAAAAGTACTACGCTATTTCAGTAATTTACCTCAGATAAGTGCTTGCAGTTTTCCATGGAACACTGACTTTTTCTTCTTTACCATTTAAAAAAAGAAGACCTGGCTGAACAGCTCTATGAAGTGTCGGTGTTCTGCCCAAAGAATGGCTCCTGATCACTAATAATGATTCTCTCCTTTGTGATCTGCTAGTAATCTTTATTACACTGATGGGGGAAAAGAACACAATTTGATTACAAGCACTGATGCTGGCAGTTTTGGAGAGCAGCAAAATAAATCACTGTGTTTACATCCTCTGTTGACAGACAGACTTGATCTGCTGCATGTGTTCATGTGGTATCACACAAATCATTCGCTTTCTTATTTACGTTTAAGTGAATTTTGCAGTCTTTGTGATGAAAAGATCATACAGCTGGTGTTGCAAAGAAAAAAGTCCAAAATAACTTTATTAAGAAACCAGGAAGGCACAACTGTGATCTGTGAGCAACCTGAGTTAGCAGGACATTTAATTCTGCTACTGTGAACGGTATCTGAGTTTGCAGAAATGCTTAGAAACTACAAGTCAGAAGTTTCTCCAGTGCTAGATTCAGCAACCATTGGCCTTCTCCTCCGTGGCAAGATTAAGCAAACTCAGAATTCAAGTACAACAACCACAACTTTAAGCAAGTGGAAGTCAACCATGGCCTTCCCTTCCTGCTTAGCGCCCACTGAAGTATTCAGTCAGTGCATCTATGAGTTCCTGCTTCTTCCCCCCACTTCTCAGCCTGTAATGCCTGCACATATCCTTCAGAGCAGAGACAGTGAGCTTGCCCAGAGTGCCACTCTGCACGTAACTCCTCAGTGAATCTTCTGAGATTTCTATCTTGGGCTTCTTTTCTGCTTGACCATCACCAGCTAGAAAGATAAATTTTATATCACCAAGATTTTTTAAATTTTCAAAAGCATTTCTTATACATACCAAGTTAACAGCCATTAGAATGGTATTTCAAAGTCCACCTATATACTCACTCACTCAGTGTTTTTTCTAAAGTAGGTGTCAGTATGTAAACCATACTGTATTTCACTTATAGCAGTGATCTCAAACTCAAGTACAAAACTCTGGGTTCACATAGGGAATTCAGCTGACACTCCTGCTTTACGCACAGTTTTGCACATTCCCAAACCACAGGTGGACCTGAGCATTACTTTGACACTTATTCCCCAAAATGGTCAGCTTGGACTTGCAAAATTGACCATGCATAAAAGCCTGCTTCCTCACTCAACATACAGACTGAAGACGTGAATTCCTTTTATACCACTCTGGGTTTTCGCTAGGCAGTTTCTCATTCTAGCAGTTCTCCACCTTGATACCACAATATTCTCTGTTCCCTGTGAATCCCTGTGAAAACCAAAGATGCAGAAGCCTCAACTGAAAATAATACAGACACCTGTTGTGCATCTGCACTGCCATTACTTGCCTTGTTTTCGCTTTGCAACCTTCCCTTCAGGGTTGTAGTCAGGAGGATAAACCAGCTGCTTGAACTCCTCCACCAGGTTGCCAAGCCTGCGGCTCATCTCTTCAGTCTTCGGCACTGGCAAAAGAGAAAGATTTGTCCCCTCAAGAAAAGCAAATTCCCCAATACAATTTTGCTTCTGTAAAAGCTACCATGCCAGCATCTTGCAAGCATGCAAAATGCAAAGAGCTTTGTTACGATAATCACAAATGAGACATTCACAGCTCTTGATAACATCAAGGATTTGTGTTATACATATGCACATATCCCTGAACTGTTAAATATATACACGGAACAAAACACAGATGGTACAAGTGATAGAGAAGATCTCCTTGTTGGTGGCACTGTTAGCTAGGTCTAATCTCAGACGTTTAAAATGCAACAGTTTATTACCTAAGGTTACAAGTAGTTGGAGGCAGAACTTGTTTCTGTCATATATTTATGCAATATCTAGCAGAGGGTCCCAGATTATTAGTTAGATATCACCTCATATGAAACAAGTAGCTTCTCTAACACTATTCCTAGATTAGAACAAAATTTTAAACCAAACCAAATAAAACCTTTCCTTCAGGAGTAGGTTTGTAGCCTTTGATAGGTGTTCTGAGAAATTGTCACAGCCACCAGGTGGCAACATTGCCTCCTGGCAATGTTGTTCTGTAAGGAGCTCTGCCACTTCATCACACTATTAGACTCTTGAAGACAGGAATTACAGAGAACATGTTTGTCGTCAAAAAAAAAAAAAAAAGGTGGGGGAAGGGGAGGGGAATTAAATTTCAATTTTGGAGTGTAAAGTGAAAATTCTTCCTTTCTCCTTTTTGCTGACATTGTAAGAAACTGAGGTTTCTGTACTTCAGAATGAAAACATCCATAATTCTGCATCTAGGAACACAACATTACTAAAACATTCTTTTAAAAGGCATTTAGTTTTGTAGCACCAAAACTCTGACTTAGACAAAGTCAGGAGCCCTCAAACCCACCTCCCCAACATCTACCAGTAATTCTCACTTGTAAGATCCTCAGCTTGTTCTGGTTCCAGCATATCCAGCGCCAAAGCCTCCAGATTCCTGAAGTGCTGCTGCAAAACTGGGTTCTCAAAGCTGTCAGTCCTGTCAAGAATCCCTCAGATTTTCAGTGCATGCTGCCAGGAAGCTAAGACATAAGATCTGCCACCAGCCTATTTCAAAGTTAAACTTCCCTCTTTCCCACAAATCAATCCATTCTCACCAGAAGAATCACTTATCCTCTTTTCAGTTTACCTGCTGAGTCACCATCCTGTCATCTACCAAATGTGTTAGGTAGCTGTGGGAGACTTAGAAAGCTATGTGAGATAGAGAGACTGGCATTCTGCACTACTGTGCTTCTTTCTATATACAATTTTTTATGTCCTACTTATTTTAGAGTCCCATAAAAGTCCCCCTCCTGAAATTTATTCTGGTTATGACAAAAAAGGCTCAGCTATTCTCTCTAGCACATGCTCATTTGAAAGATCCAGGCCTGATCTGCAATAAATTGGCACAATAAAATGTGTTATCTGCAACAAATTACAACAACCCAGAAAACAAGAGCAATACTATGAAGAATTCCAGAACATGCTACATAAAGCACATGATGCCTGGTCATTTCAGAATGACTGAGAAATAAGTTTGCACAAGATTAATGCAAAGGAAAGCAATTTGCTTGTGCAAATCATTGTCTCTTGAAAGTTTCCTCACTGAATGCATTTTATGTGTTTGCCTGCAGCAATGACACTGTGAGGCAAGGGACACATTTGTGTTTGGGAGACAAGGTGTTCTCCCACACCTGAGGTATACTTAAAGCCCTTGAGTAAAAATGTACGTGTAGCTTCTATATGCAGGACAATGCATTATGAAATGGAGGAACAAGGCTTGCTGAGTTATCTAAACTTATAATTGACACATCCCTAATATTTAAAAAGAACAAAAATATTCAGACAGTGATGTTTGACCATATCATGGAACAGAATCCAGATCAAAGCTAAAGACCACTTCAAAGTCTTACATCTACTGCAATCACAACCTTTAAGGCACTCAGCTTGGTCAAGTATGGACCATTAAGCAGTTGATTGTTTTACAATCAATGTATTTTTAACTATGGCTTCCTAGAACATTTACTGTAGACCTGCTGAAGAATGCCAGAGCCTATTAAATTAGTAGCTATGAAGCAACATCCCAATTAAAGCTATTTAGTCAGTACATGCATCAAAATCTCATCCTGTGGACAATACGTCTGAAAAATGTGCACAGTAGAGAAAGCAATAGTGTTGAGCATTCTTCCCCACGTGCATCCCACACACAGTTTACATGTACCTGTATTTGAAGCGGAGTTTTTGAATGATCTCCTTCATTTTGTCCACCTGCTCTCGATTGGCTGCTACCTTTTCTGTAAAATCAACTTTCCGTTTATCGTCTGCATATGGTAGGAAAATTATATGGAAACCTACATAGGACAGAGAGAGCAAGAGAATAGTTACGCAGAACCATGGCCTCAAAATCAGAATTTAGGGGAAAAAGCAAGATTATCAGATAGGTCTGATGACTCCCCAGACCAGCTTGCTATTTTGCCCTAAGCAGCAGCAATCAGTAATACCTCCCAGTACCTACAAGGTGACAGTATTTGAACACAGCAAATGTGATGCTGACTGCACCCAAGAAAGCAGGGAAAGGCAACATCTCTTCCCATACCTGGAGGAGCTATCTGCACTTTCTGCTCATCCACCTCTTCCTCCTGAGGAACCAAGGCCACAAAGCGAGGGGGAGTATTCCGGCGGGCGATGTATCTGCACAGTGCCATCACCTCTTTCTCCAAGCACTTCATCAATAAGGCATTAAACAGAGTTGTACTGCCTGCAAAGTAAAGACTGCACTGGTCAGTTGACAGATTTGCTCCTTTGTTCCAGAATGTAACCCCAGACATTACAGATTTAATGTTGTGACTTCTTTGCAATACTTGCACTATTTCAAATGTTAAAAAAACAACTGTTGAAAGGTGGAAATCTCTACAATGCCATTATCTCTCCTGACCAGAACTGTGCAAGTTCTGGGCAAAGAACTAAAATCACTAACACCTGAGAAATGAAGTAAGGTTGAAAACTGGAAACACGTATCTCCAAAGCATCTCCCTGGTATGGTGGACACAGGAATAGCAGCACACCTAGGACCTTTTCCAAAAGCAACAAATTAATAATTCAGACTGAAATACTCTTCCCTGCCCAATCAGCTCTTCTCTGCTGAAGAAAACAAAAGTTAACTGCAACTGAGGGGGCAGTAATACTTATTTCTATACATTTTAATATTAGCATGCTCTTAAGTTAGACAGAGATTTTACACTCAACAGTCACCACCCCAATACTTTATGGATCAGCTGGTTATCCTAACACAAGGTGTGAATCTTCTCTCGCTAACTTCTTACCAGTTACTAGAGACTCTTCAGGATACATGAACTGGGAGGGCCTGATATGGTGGTGCTGTTTCAGCATTGAAAGTGGTTTGAAGCCAATCAGAAACAAGCCTGAAGAATCAAACCGTTTCACTTCTTCGGTTTCCTCTTTCTCCATCACAATCTGGCGGTTTCCATATGTCTAAATTAGAAGGAGACAGAGAAGAACAGGTGGTACTGATGCTAGCAGAAGAAAAGCTGGATAAGACAGGTAAAGAAGGGGAGGGGCAGTTGCTGCCTCCCACTACTGCAAAGGGGGTTATAAACAAGACAGGGTGAATTCTCCTCTTCAGGGCACACTTAAAATTGTTGGTCATAGTCTGCAACCACTGTCCCATGGGAAATTTGGACTGAACATTAGAAAAATGCAACTTCCTAAGCCAGTGGTTAAGCCCTGGCACAGAGAGACTGTCACATCTCATCCTTGTAGTTACTCAGAGCAGGCCCAAACAAGCCCTGAATGACCTGATGCAGTTTTATGAGCCTTGCTCTGCACTGTTGGAGCAGATACTTCCAGAGATCCTGTCCAAACCATGGCTCTAACTTTGCTTTAGCAGATGAACATTAGCTACTCATTCCCGGCAGAAACAGAGACCAAAAAGCAATGTTTTTGAAGCATCATTCATATATCATAAAAATGAAAACATATTATAGTCAACCTCCAGAACTTAGACATGTAAGGTCTTACTGCTCAGCTCTCTGCTCATCCGTATTTTATTGCAAAAAATTACTGTTCAGTATAAATAAAAATAACAATCAATCTTAGAGTACAATTTCATGAGCCTTTTGCATGCAAGGAAACAAAGTGCACTTGTGCCAATACATTTAGCAACTGCCTATTCTATTTTGAAGTAAGGCTGTGCCCGAGCAGAGAGGAAAAAGCATTCACTCTGCATCAGACAAACTATCAAGCAGGAAGACAAAGCAAAGAATAAAAAAAACATAAAGAATAAAGCTACTGTGCTCCTTTTTTTTTTTTCTTTGGAAAAGAGCAACCCCTCTGTGATTTACATTTGCATGTTTAATAAAGTGGTCAAAATTTGTTCCTAATGACTCAAGAGATACTACCAGCAGTGCAGTACAAGGCCGTACAAAGTTAGACTCTGACAACCCAGTAATGCCTTACAGAAAGAAATGACCTGTGCTCCTGAACACACTACCACCAGCAGCTCTGCTTTCCCTTGAGTATCACACCAGAAAAACAACCCACTCACTCTCTGCACAGCTTACAAAATGACTGCACTAACCCAAAGAGCACACAGATGTAAATACTCCTCTACCTCATCCTGAAAGTGAAATACAAACAAAAGCAGTAAAAGGCTGAACATCTCCCCACCACCACAGAGTGAGAAGGCACACAACCAGTACATTACCTGAGCCCTTTTTGTATCACTAGGCAGAAGCAAACTGCCTGTTTTTCCATTAAACACCCTTGTTTTTGTTTTAACAGGTTCGTTAGTTTCCCGATAAAGTTTCACTGGATACGGCTTGTAAGCTTTTTGAATAAGGTTGTAAACACCAACAGAGAAAGACAGATCTTTGTTCAAATACAGATTTAACCTGTGTAAAAAGAAGCAGAATGCAGATTTGAGGCTGCCGAAGGGTCACTTTTTAAAAAAAAATAGTCATCTTCCCATATAATTTATTTTCTCCAATCTTCTTTCTCTTCCCCTCCCAAAAATCGCAGGTGTAACTGAAACACGTTATTACTTACTTCATAATTTCACTCACATATAAACATTTTTGGAATTACATCACTTCTAGTCATAAAGAATATTTAAGGAAAGTTAATTTAACATATTTCTTCCATATTTTTCACTTGGAAGGGCAGCTACACTCAGGTAGAACACAGCACAAGTTTATGGTTGGGCATCTCACTTTTGTTTAACACAACGTGACCTCTGAATTCACACAACTGCTCCAGCAGAGAGTAAAATTCCCCCAAAGAACGCCATCAAGACAAACAACACCATGATAAAAAATCCAAACTTTGAGAAAAATTCAGAAGTAGTAGTTTAAAATTGAGGCAGACCTCAAGTTCTGAGTGCAAAATAGTGGATTACAGTGAATGTTATTTGCTCTCATCTCAAAGATATCACTGGTACAGGATTCTTCCTCCTCAGGTATTAGAAAACTTGAGGAATATTGTCAGGAGAAGAAAATGAAGTTGCAAACAGGACAATGCCAGTGACAACAGCTCAAGTTGGATTTTTTTTCATATATACTAAAAAACATCAGGCTGCAAAGGTCATTTATTTACTGTGCACCCACATCAATCTGTTAAGAATTCAATTGGTAAAAAACAACTGTTATGAAGTAGGTGGTTCCAAAAATACTTTCTATCCGCTTTGTCAAGATCCCTTTAATCTTTCTGTAAGCATTTCTAATCTTTCAGTAGGAGATCAGAAATATCAAGGCTGTGTGAATCCATACCAAGTACATAGACACACTGGCCACATGTATCTGTTAAATAATAGGACAAAATACCTACCAGTCACACTGAGATCAACTTTTTCTAAGTTAACACTAGTAAGCAAAGCCTCATTTCAATCAGGTTGCACAAAGAACTGAACATTTTACACCATACGTTGCAAAGTGTGTTTTGGCAGGTGTTTTACTTTGGCAACGGTGTCATTTTTCATTGTGATAATTTCTGACCAAGGTTAATACAGGAGATTCACATAATGCAAAAAAAGAGGTCTACCTTCACTCTCCATTTGTCATCCACCAAGGCCAAATATCCTTGGAAGCTAAGAAGAAATACCAACTCAAACTGAGGAATTAATACTGAAAAATTTAAGCACTGATGCCAATCATTCCAGAAGAAGGTGAGATGCAGTCTAAAAATAACATCCAGTTGCCTCCGTTGAATGACGTACAATAGCCAGGCACACACCTGACTAAAGCTCGTTTCCTTGTCTCCTTTGCTCGTACTTTCTTCATGAGATGCTCCAGTTTTCCTGACTCATCAGGCTGGATCCCAAGGTCCTCATCCTCTGCTACGTTGATGATGTCCCTGTAGAACAAAGAGATATCGAATCCTCCGAGCTTCTTCAAGTGCATCAAGTCCAGGATAATACCTAGAAACAAAGAAAAAGACAGGAGGAGGATCATATAAGCTGCTTTTTTCTTACACAGGCATCGTCCTCAGTTTTCTCTGCCTGACCAAAAGTAAGCTCCAAATTGCCCCATCTGCACCAGATGGAAAAGTTTCAAGGGAAAGAAGCAAAAGACTTTCTTCAGTTTCAGTCAAAGCAATGTAGCATGGAAAATGTTCCTTCCCTAATTATGAATCTGGGCAATGAAACAGCATTGAAACATGAAGTGTTTCAAGTGCATGAAACAGCTCTGACAAGCTCCTATAAAACATACTCCTACTTCAGGCAGAGAGAGAAGAAATGACTTCAGCAATTCCCTTTTCCCAACGTTAAGGTCTAATGAATCAAGGATGCTTACAGCTTCTACATCTAGAACATATGCTGAATTCCAAAAACGATGGCTATCTCAGCTGCATAGCTGAACTAATGAAATGCTTGCTCTCCAGTCTCTGAGCTCAGGTTGCTGCTCTTCAGCTAATTCAGAGTGCAATCATTAAAGTGATCTTCCTTTTGCACTGATTTGGTGCTGTTATTTCCCTTCCTAATGTTATTATTCCCTTCCTGGAAAATGGGAATGAAAAACAATGAAATGAAGTACAGTTTGTTTTCCACGGACGTCTCCAATTCTGATTTATGACATGAAACTAGAGCAGCCCTAGAAAATAAGTGTTCATAGTTGGAAACCAGGTTGGATGACTGTTTCCAAAGGTTTGCTCCAAAAGTAATGCCTCATATTTATTTCCATGGAAATTACAACAGATACAAAGAATACAATTACACTATTTGACAGAGCAAATTCTCAGCTACAAAACACTATTTTTCAACAGTCACCACCATAAGCTATGCATTTTTGCCAGCGATGAACAAAAGCCTGCATGCCACACAAGTAAAAATCTGCACCAGCACAATCCACCGTTTCACAGCTGCTATGATGGTTGCTGCTAGTAAAATGTTGCCCACACACTCCACCTTCCATCAGCCTGAACAGATGGAAGTCAGAAGGTGCCAAATCTGGACTAATCAGTGGGTGTAGTAACACAGTCCAGCCAAGACTGACTCGTGCTCAAGCCAAGACTGAAATGTGCTTCACAGTCCTCAAACTGGCATGGGGCCTGGCATTACTTTGTTGCTAGAGAAAGGCTGTCTTCTTCTTTGGTCTGACTCTGGAAGTTTGAGTTTTCAGCTTAGTCAGCACTATGATGCAGCAGTCAGAGCTGACTGTCCAAGTTCCCAGAGATACATAAGGACCACCACTACTTTTCCCAAAAGACCACACAACAGTTTACCTGCTAAAGACTATATCTTAAACCTTTTCTTCCATGTGAATCCACATGTTGCTGCTTCATGGACTGCCCTTTTTTACTCCAGCTTGTAGTGGTGATATCACATCTCATCACCAGTAATGATGCAATACAGGTGATGTACTGTTACCTTCAGCCTCTATTGGTTCAACAGGTCTTGATATACTTGCATATAATGTTCCTTCTGTTCCTGTGTGAGCATTAACGGGACCCAGCTGGCACAAACTTTGCCAGCATCACTGGCAACATCATTTCCAATGCATTGAAGCTGATATTCAGATCTGTACACAGTTCCCTGGATGTAATCTGATGATTCACAAGAGTGAGATGATTGAGACACTCTTCATTTTGTGGTGTGACAGCTGTGCATGGCTGTCTGGAACGTGCCTTGTCCTTCATGTTGCTGTCACAACTGCTAAAAAACACCACCCACTGCCTCACTGCACTCATATCCACTGTTTGGTCCCCACAAACATTCTGCAAGTGTTCATGAATGTCAATGGGTGCCTTTTCTTCCACATGGAGGAATTCAATGACACACCTTTTCTTCACGTGCACTTCCATGTCAGACACCATTTTGTCAGACTGCCCCTCTACTGCCATCTGTCACACAGCAACAAGATGCCACAGAATATCTGTGGGAAGCTTCAACGTCTAAGACCACAGCACCAACATCCACCTCTGACACTGTGGGCCAACGTAATAGAAGGCATTATTTTTGAAGTTAGCCCTCATAGAAAGCATCAGAAAGTTTCCTTAGTTTTGATGGTTTTACATTTTTTTTCCAGCACAATCTTGCAATGCAGTTAATACCTGCTACAAAGTCACATCACTTTTATTCTGCCTGAAATTAGAGGCTTAAATTAAAGGGGAGAATACTGACCTGTGTCTCTCAGATCACCAGCTCTGGTCCTGGCCAGTTTGGCCTTAGCACTATCATTGGCATGAGGGTTATCCTCGTTGGTGAAAAGCATGATCCTTTTGTGGCTCAGTCTGACTCGGACATCGCTGAAGAGATTAGAGCAGGCCCAGAGTGCTTCACCCAGTGAATAGTCAGCATTGTGGCCAAAGGTCTCACGGAAAAGTACTCGTCCTTCATCTCCCCTGTACTGGTCCAGCTCTAGAATACGCTTTGCACCTATGGGAAATAATAGCATTTGCAAACATCAAAAATTCTGAAAGAAGTATTGCAAACCCTTCTAAAGAAGTGCTGAGAGTTTCCTGCAGCTGATATCTGATTAACATCCTTTACCAGCTCTATAGTGGTGCCTTTCTACAGCCTGTCTGAGAAAACTGAGATACCCTAACATTTTCAACATTGTAAGCTGGTTATCAGTTGAAAGCACCTGCGAAGGCCAAGAGAATGCAGAGTGCCCTAGCATAAATGTGGGGTGCCTTCTGTTGCAGGAAACAGGCAGGGATCAAAGTATCATGCACCTTCTGCATTGAAAGAATAAGTTCTCATCAGGAAACACAGTAGTTGTACCCACTGCAGAGGAACAGCAGACCACTGTGCCACCAGCAAAAAGCAACAAGGCTGAAATACATCCTGCATCTCTATGGCAGGTTGGGAAGGGGGAGAATTCCTCCTGCTCCCTTGCGCTTCATGCCTGACAGTATCACTCCAGATGTTGGATTCAGCCCATAGATAACCACGAGGACTTCAGCAATGTTCAGAGCAGGTGCCAATGGCCTTTTGAAAACCCTATGGATCACTCCAGCCCAACTATGACTCCTTCTCCCACCCATCTGAAAGTAATTCTCCTGTCTTCTACAACTCTACAAGAGGGGATAAGCTTTCATTTTTCAGCTGCTGCGATCTACAGAGCTTCTTCTTTCATCCTTCACTCAAATTCAATCTTGAAATCACACCCAAAAATGTCTTTTTTGTGCATTTGCTATTTTATTTTCATGCTCAACTTTTCTTTAATTAATAGCATTAATTTTCATAATAACTGCATAATAACTAACTATAATGTCTCCCTTCTCCAGAGCACACATCTCTCCAATGACAGTAAATACACTTCCTTTTCCACAACATCTCCCTTTCAAATTAGCTATCTTTATAAGCAGGACAAAGCTACTACCTCTAATGCAGAGGAAAAGGGCAAACAGGGAAGAAGGAAAAAGGATGAGTGAGAAGCCTAAGATATTGCCAAAGAAGGAAGAAGAACCTAGGGCAGTCTTGTCAGGTCCCAGTTGTAATTAGTTCTGAAACTAGGACAAGGCACAGTTCTTGCAGGGGAACCCAGGCTTACTAAAGCACGAGAGCAAGAACACTAGCTTGCTACTCCTAATTAAGAAAATGAAATGAAACCTCCCCAGAGATACAGACAGCTATTAAAAGCCAGTTGACAGAGTTCCCTTACAAGACTATCAGCGGTCATAGAATTTGTAGCTCTTAAAATGTCTTTGTTGCACTCCCCCTGGTACCTTCTCCAATTTATCAAATGGCACTCCTGTTAACAAGCACATTCTGTGTAATCCTAACAAAATGGAAGAGCAAATATCAAGAATTTGTACTGAAAATAAGAGAAAGAACACCCAGTTAACGAATTGTACAACCTGTTCTAACTGAGCCTGATTGAGGGTGAGGGTTGGATAAAGATGGCTTCCAGAGGTCTCTTCTAACCTCAGCCATTCTGTGATCCTGTGATATTCTCCATTAGTTGTAATTTGTGGTGCCTTATCAAGTCTGAGCCTTATTCTGAAGTGTGGCCAGCACATGATGGATCTTCAAGAGTTGTGCTGAGATCCTCTTTAAGAGACAGCAAGAGGATGACCACAGTAAAATAGATTAAAAAAAAAAAAACGAAACAGACATAGAAAGGGAATCAGAACCAGGTATAACAGAAAAGGCTAAGCTCCCACAATGTTTTTAAAATTCCTCTACGTTACTCGATCATTGAATCATTAAGGTTTTAAAACACCAATAAGATAATCTAGTCCGTCCATAAGCCCACCCCCACCATGTCCATTGACCATGTCCTCAGTGCCACATCCACACGGTTCTGGAACACCTCCAGGGATGGTGACTCCACCATCTCCACGGGCAGCCTGTGCCACTGCAGCACTGCTCTTTCAGAGCAGATTTTTCCTCATAGGCAACTTGAATGACCATTCCCTCTCACCCTATTACCTGGGAGAAGAGGCCAGTCTCACCTCACTACAACCTCCTTTCAGGTTGGTATGGAGAGCAATAAACCTTCTCCAGACCGAACAACCCCAATTCCCTCAGCTGCTCCCCACCAGGCTTTTGCTCCAGACCCCTCACAGCTCTGCTGCCCTTCTCTGGACACACTCCAGGGCCTCCATGTCTTTCTTTAGTGAGGAGCCCTGAACTGAACACAGCACTCGAGGTGCAGCCTCCCCAGAGCTGAGTACAGAGGGACGGTCACCTCCCTGCTCCTGCTGGCTGTGCTGTTTCTGATACAAGCCAGGATGCCGTTGGCCTTCTTGGCTACCTGGGCACACTGCTGGTTCACATTCAGATGGCTGTCAGCTAACATCCCCAGGTCACTCTTCTCAGTGCAGTTTCCCATCCTCCCAAAATACATCTCAGAAACAAGAACTTTTCCATTTACTTGACAGCTGCTTTCAGAGAGGCCAGTTACTAGCAACACTACACAGATGTCCTCATGCAAATCTTCATAGCCCTTTACTCTACCTGGATTGTCCAGCTCCTGAAGGACATAGACATGCTTGAAGTCTGCACAGTTCTTGTTGTTCTCTGTGCCATAGAACACAACACTCAACAGATCCTTGTCACTACTAATAATTTTGCTGATGTACACATTCCGGATGCACTGAAAAGAAAGCACAGAGGTCAAAACGTGAAGAAAACGAGTGGCAATAACAGTACCAAATGCCGCCTTTGGCAGTCAGCAGTTCCTACGGGCAGACTGCAGCAGCCGGCGTGATGAAGGCAGGCGGCCCTCGGAGGGCCATAACCGCCCTGCGTTCCTCACCTGCATGGTCATGTCAAAGGGAGTGGCCGCCTCCTCATCCTCGTAGGGCTCGAACATGGCCTTGGAGGCATCGACCAAGAAAATCAAGCTGTCCCGCCCCGAGAACCTGTGGTCCGCTACGTTGAGGGGGAAAAGCAGCCGCATCAACGGCCGGGGCGCCCGCTGAGGGACCGCAGCCCCGAGCTGCCCTCGGCCGAGGGGAAGGTATCTTACCGACAGCCTCCTGCCCCTCCTCCTCCTGCTGCTCGCCGTCCTCCTCCTCGTCCGGCCCGTCGCCACGATAATAGGACACCCAGTCGGCCATGGCCGCTGCCGAGGGAACCGCCGCTCAAGGCTCCCTTCAACCTCCGCCGCCACGCGCCGCTGGCCGCGGACCGTCACTCATCTGAAATCCCCGCCTCCCTTCGCCATTTTGGCCCATGATGAGGCAAGAAGGGCGTCTCTCCCCGCCCCCTTCGGGTAGCCACGCCCTTATCCCGACGAGGATTGGTTGCGGGAAGGAAAACACAGCGGGAGCTCCCCGCCCGCTCCGACGCCGACTCCGGAAGAAGCGGCAAGCCTCAGCCAATGACCGATTGACGTTCCTAAAGTCCCGCCCACTCGCTTCTGTCCGCGCCCCTCCGGAACGGCGGCGCCGCATAACGGCGCAGTGAGGAGGCGCGTGCGCGGCGGTGGCGTTGCGCTCTCCGCTCGTACCGCCGAGACCCAAGAGCGGCGTTCGGTGCCGCGCCTCTGTCCCTTCCCCTCCGCCTCTCGGCGGGCGGCCGCGCGTCCCCATGGAGGAGCCGCCGGCGCTGCACCCTGTGAAGCTGTACGTGTACGACCTGTCCAAGGGCATGGCCCGCCGCCTCAGCCCCCTCATGCTGGGTAAGCGCCGAACGGGGCCGGCCTCGGGCCTCGGCGGGGCGGGGCTGCGGGACCCGGGTCGGTGGAACGGCTGCGCCTGCAGCCGGGCCCGTGTCTTCATTGTCTGGCCCGTGGTTCGATTGTTTGAACTGATACTGGCCGGTCTCGTTTCAGAGTGTCGGTCCGGGCGTAGGCTTGTGCAGACATCGGTTACCGGTGTCATTGTGCGAAACCTTCCTGTCAGTTGAGTTGTGGTGGCTTTGTAGCTCTCCTACCCCATCCTCGGGTCTGGTAGCTTAAAGGTTTCCACAGCTGACAGCGCGTGACTTCGCTGCTGGTGTTCTTTATGCAGCTTTAAGTTTGTAACTTTGTGTTCAACTAAAGCCGTCAAGTAGGAATCAAGTCATGAAAAGGAAAGCTTAGAAATCTGCCTGCGTCTGTCATCGGTGCGGGAAGCGCTGTGCTGTGTGCTGGTGCTGCCCAGGAACTCAAGGCCTGCCCGTGGAACAGGGCCAGCACGGCCTGCCTGCTACAGTGACAAGGCAGAGCGCACAGTCCTTGGGGTTACGTGGATCCGGTGACTGGGTTATCTGTGACGCAAACAATAGTTTGTTTGGTTTTTTTGTTTCCATCTCTTTCAAGTTAGCTGTCTTCACACAGGCCCAGCAGGGTTCCAGATTATTTTTAGAAGCCTCCCAGTGAGAGAATGATGGGTTTGTCTCCTGCACCCAACTACTATTTTTTGCTTTACTTAACAACAAAAACTGCTGCTACTTTAGCTTTCAGATGATCAATAGCTACTTTCCTTTTTTTCTACCTATCAGTGACATTCATAAACTGTGCGTCATAGAATCACAGAATGGCCTGAGTTGAAAAGGACCACAATGATCATCTAGTTCCAACCCCCCTGCTATGTGCAGGGTTGCCAACCACCAGACCAGGCTGCCCAGAGCCACATCCAGCCTGGCCTTGAATGCCTCCAGGGATGGGGCATCCACAGCCTCCTTGGGCAACCTGTTCCAGTGCCTCACCACCCTCTGAGTGAAAAACTTCCTTCAAATATCCAACCTAAACCTCCCTGTCATCATGTTGGGAGGACACAGAAATCAAAAAGAGTTTATTGGATGGCCTGGTGCTAAACACTTGTCATCTCTCCTTATGGTGTTCTTTCCAAGAAAGTGAAGTTTGAAGCAATGTTTTTGCTTTTAGTTCTCTAACGTTGCCATGGGTATTGAAACAGTCATATTCAGGTGAGTAAATTGCTCCTCGTGAGGCTGGCTGTTGTGAGAGCATCACCACACCATGCTTTCAGCTGCACTAATAGGATTTACCATTATTATGTGTTATGTTGGTTCAGCATTCCAGGATCAGCTCTCTCTGTTAAAAGTTATCCTGACTCGTTCAGGATCAGTTTTCCACATTGTGGCTGAATGAACCTGAATAGTAGAACAACACAGTGTTGCTCATCACAGGCTCTGGGTGACTTGGTTGTGCCTTCTGGGCACATCTTCACTGTTCTTGGCAAGTTTATTCATTTTTACCCAGACTCCTTTTGTTCCTGCTGCTTTTCTGTGCATTTTCTATAGCTTTTTTGATGAATGTTTCTGTTTTGAGGTGTAAATGACTCACAGTGGATTCACTTGGCTTTGATATCACATCTGGCACGTTCTGCGTGCTGTTGCTCTGCTTTCTTTACAAGTATTGTTCTTCTCCTTCATTCAGACTGAGACTGTGTTTGTCTGTCCACTTATGTGATCTGATAATAATTAATGTTAATTTGAATGTAACTGGACTTCCATTTCAGCTCTGTTCCAGAACACTTGCTTTCATGAAAATCAAGTTCACTTCCCTCCTGCAGTCTACCCTACTTCTTGCTCTCTCAAGAAGAAGGAAAGCGAAGCAAACTCCTCCATCTCTGTTAGTCTTTTCCTTCTGTTTGGTAGTGTTTGATTTAATTAGAATGATTTTCCCTTTTAAAAGGGTGGGAATCAATGGCATGGTCTAAGAAATCTCAATGTTATGCAAAGCAGTGTTCTGCTAGGGATATCCAGTCTGCCTGACCAGTTAGTTCTGCCTTGATAGGAAACCAATTTGTTAATTTTCTGTCTTCTGGGGCCTACAAGGATAGAAATGTTAAAATAAATAAATAAAAATAAAAAATACTGGGCTTCCAGGCACATTATTTCTTCACAGCTTGGGAACTAGTATGCTTGTGCTGAAGGATGCATAACAAGCTCTAAATTAGATAAGCTAAGAATCTATCTCTTTATATAATTCCTTGGTGTCTCAACTCTTCAGTCTAATAATTGGGATTAATATGCAGACTCTGTGTTCACTTGATGTTTAAAATGCACAGGAATATGCTACATCACATGGATCACATTAACAAATCAACTCTGCCAGTAAAATAGGTTGGCAAGCATCTAATCTTCCTCTTGCTTGGCCTTACAGATAAACCCAAGCATGGAAGTAATCTGACTTGATTGTATTCTAAAATTATTCAGGCTTGTGTTCTTCTTTCATAATGCCTTCTTATCCTCATGAGTGCCATCTCCTAAATCAGTAGCACAAAAACCAAATCTGACTACTTCATTCTCCCCATTCCTATAACTAAGCTGGGGGGGGGTGGGGGGCTTGAAATTGTTTCATGTGTTTTATGTTGTATTTTTCTCATATTTCACTGTTGCTTAAATAAGTAAGCTGTGTTAGGGAAAAAAAAAACCAAACAAACAAACCACAAATGTGTTTAGTTGCCAGGTGGTACTTTGTCTCATTCAAACAATTTGGAATGCTTAAGCAGCTCTTTGTATAATTGATATGTTCTTCAGAAAAGATCTGTAAGAATGCCTGAGCAAAGAAGGGCTGAGTTCATGTATCGATCAGGTTTCTAAAGCTTAATGAGCTCTTATCCTAACACAGCTATAACACAGCAACTTTCACACCCATGTTCTTGGTCTGCAACCAGAGCAAAGTAATGTGACTTGCATTAGCTTGTAATGGCAGCAGATGAAATCAGACTGAGTTCCTTCATGCTTACTGCTGGCTGAGCTTACACACAGACTGCTGGACAGCTGATACCTGGTAACTTGACCATGTGCACTGATTGTTTTGTGATAGAGTGCCTACATCTAAATCTGCAACACCTTTTCCTGCTTAACAGGTAGAGGTCCCCTGAAATATTGGATCTCCTTAAGCATCTTGCGGTTATCTTTTTTTTTTTCTTTTTTAACCTGGTTGGGCTGTAGGTGTGTGTTGCACCTGCAGAGGCTGTGAGCGATGTATTTTGTATATGCATGCAAGGCATAACTCATTATACAGGCTGTCCTGATTGCTTTGCTTCTGTTTCTTAGGAGTGGGAGTGATTGTGAGCTGTTACCTGGTCTGTGCAAGGGCTGGGCTTGAGGGAAGAGGGCAGCAAGATCACCAGCAGAGGCAAAGCTTCAAGAGGAGGGGGTGGTGTTCATGGAGGTCTGTGTAGAACCTCTTGGATGATGCAACAGACAAATGTCACTGGGATTCTTGCAAAATTACAAGAGAGGGAGTTGCTTGAGAAGTTTGAGAAGTTGATGACCTTTGATTCCTCTTGGTTTGCAGTTAAGGTGACCACAGCCAGCAATGCAACATGGAAAGCTGCAGCAGCACACTGACAGTCCTTGGTCTCTGGGAGGTGCAGATGTGGTTAGTGACAGCAGGTTTCTCAAGTGTGGGACTGCCCAACTGTGTGACTTGCGTGGTGGTCATGAGTGATCTGTCTGGCCAAGCACAGTCCACTGGTGGCAGAAAGAGATTATGTGTTCTCTGCAACAGATTGCACAGCTGCCATGGGTGCAGCACTGCACATCCGGCATGTGTTTCCACTGTGCCAGCCTGGTTAGTGTCTTACAGGAGCTGCACACAAACTGGAAGACAGCAGGTCCATTCAGAGCATCAAACCAGTCCTCGGCACGGGCTGACCTCATAGAACACCCTCAGGCAGAGCTGCCAAGAGCTGTTCTGCTGTTGTCCTGGCAGCTGCTGCCTGTTGTCAACCATGGATGTGGTGTGTAACTGCCAGAGAAGAGCCTCTAGCGTTGCAGTACAGCCTGGTGCAAAGTTCCTTCCCCAAATCCTGTTTGTTTCTCTTTGCGAGGTCAGAGATCCATGCTGATGGAAAGGGATCTCTAGAGATCCTGCCCAGGGTAGATGTGGTGAGAACAGATTTCTCAGGGCCTCCTGCGATTGAATTCTGAGTATCTCTGGGTCTGATGCTCCCCGTCCTCTGTGCCTGTCATGTGGTTCTAGACAGCACCAATGGCAGCATCTGCCAGGACTTCCACCTACACACGGAACCCCAGTGCAAACTGCCAGCTCTGTAGAAAGCCTTTTGTTATTGTTTGCTAGAAGCATGTGCATTTGTGCGTGAAAGTAAATATTAAGTCTTTTCCATTTAGCATACAAAAGCATGGATACAGTACTGGTTTGTGCTGCCTTTGAAACAGCTTGCTTCTCTGCCCTGGAGGGTGAAGATCAAATTTTTAGTGGAAAACAGTGATTTATTGTGAACAATTGTATAATTACTTATTAACAGAACATGAGCTACACAGGCCATGGTAAGGCCTGTCCTAGGCCAACTGCTGAATGCACAGCTGTGCTGTGTACCCTACCCAGATGATATTACTGATGAGCTGGTGGTGTTATCATTTCTTTCTGGCAGCTCCAGAGCAGAAGATGAAAGCTGTTATGGAGATGGTGTGGGACAAAGGCTGGAGAATCTAGCTTAGCTGGATGGGATGCTAAAGAAGCAGTAAATCCTACTGAGGTGTTGCAACACACTGCCCCACTTTTCTCATTGCTGCTGCTGTCTTTTGGCCTTAAGCTGGCTCCATGCCCACGTTTCTCTGCAGCAGGTTAATGGTGAAACACTCTTGCTGCCTGGCTGTGATGCACAGCAGTGACAGATCAGCCCACCTACTTCAGAACTGGGTGTGCTCACTTTGATTGATGTCTTTGTTGTCCCAGCAGCCTTTTCCCTGCCTCCTCTCTCATGTGACCCTCATCTGAAACAGGTACCTATTTCTGTACCTGTTTTGCTTCAAAGATAAGTGAGAAGATTACAGCAGTGACTTTTTCTTACTTGGATGCACGAGCATCCCTTTCTTGAAACTCCTGGAGGACTACCTTCTGTTTCCTTCCTCTGTTTCACCCAGTTCTGATGGTAATAAAGATTTTCTTGATTATTACCTGAGAGGAAGAACTTGTGAAGAGCTGCAGCTGTTGGAAGTGCTCATTGCTGGGATTTGCAGACCATAGCAGCTGTGACAGAGGAGCAGGAGAGTGCCTCTGCCTCCTGTGGCCACTGATCTGAGTAGGGACAGGCAGGGAATGGCTTTCTACAAGACAAGGAACAGGGACAATGCATCTCACTGCTGCTACTGTGCCTGGCAGTGGAATAGTTGATTGTTATTCTAAGCATCTGATTCCAGCCTTTTGAAAGTGCCACAGTGCACTTCTCAGCAACATAAGCTGTGGGAATGCAATTGCAGTAAGTGATGGTGTCATTTTAGAGACAAGTTGACATGCAGTGAGGGATGCATCCAAATACTGAGTTAAAGCCAGGAGATGGCATCGTTACTGCTTCAAAGACAGTGGTATCCTCATGCTTCTATCATCAACCTCAGCCCAATGATATTTTGGTTCCTTGTGCATGTAAGCATCTATAGATGATCACATCACATTCTGTCACTTAAAAATGGACCAACAACATAGCATGCTGTTGCTGCATGCAAATTTACAAAGGGGTAACTGTACCAGGAACCAAGCCCTTGGGTTCTGATAGGTGAAGTAATTGAGGCAGGAGTAGGAGCAGCTGGTGACCCTTTGAAGAGTGGTTTCATCTTGAGCTCCTACCCTGAATGAGGAGAGGTTCACATTTCCCGTTTGGAAAAGATGTGTCAGGGAACGAAAGCATTTCAGAAGGGACTTTTTCTAAGACAGAAACAAGCTATCATTGTGCCTGAAGCATATCTTTACTGCTGCTGTGTTCTACAAAACACACAGTTTAATTTTGTAACTTGTATAAATTGCAAAACTATATTTGTCTTGCAGACACGTGCTTAAGTGCTTGTTTTTTAAGGGCTGAGGAAAGCCATGAGGTGGGTGATTGTAGAGACTGTTTTCATAGATTGTTGGTTCAAGTCTGATCACTCCTCTTTTACCAAAAAAGAAAACTCAGTGCTCTGTGCTGGCAAACTGTAATTGTGGAATCAGAGCAGAACTCTGAACTCTTCTGAAAAGGTTTAGTTTCCCTGTAGACAACAGCCCAAGGAAGCTGAGCATTGATAGGGCAGGATAGCACTGACAGATCTGCGTGCAGGAGGAAAAAAGTCAGGCATTGGTGTTGACAAAGGAGTTTGTTTGAAAGAAAGACATCCTGCTGCTTTAGAAGCGACTCTGGGGTGAAAATCCTATATTCAGGGTTGCTGACGTGGTGGAATGATAGGTAAAGATCCCTTGTGACTGACTAAAAGTAGGCTGAAAGCTGGAAAATACATTACTAATAACTATCTTCTTTTTTTTCTGCATGCAGGGAAACAGCTGGATGGCATCTGGTAAGTGACTAGATCTGAATTGCATAATGTGTGGTGTAGGAAGCATTATCAGTATGAGATCGTATGTGCTTTGGATCTTAAGAGCACTTGGGTGAAGAGGGACCAATGCACTTTCTGTTTCTGAATACAGACTGCCAGTAAGATTAAATACAGTCATGTGCTGGTTAAACCTCTAGAATCAAAGCAAGAGACAGAGCTGCTATCTCTGCAACTTTACCCTCATCCCTTTAGCAGAAAGGCTGCTGGATGTCTTGTGCTGGTGTGGAAGTTCCTGTCTTTGTGTTGTGCATGGGCACCAGCTATGCCTCTCCTTTCCCAAGCACCTATGTGTTACAGTAGGCTTGATAATTATTGCTTTCATTTCTATTCATGTCCCAGCAGGTACTGTTCCTAGTTACAGAAGCACATTGTCTTTTTAGGTTATTTACTTCATGATGAGCTTGACCATGTGAATTTACTATTGATTTTATGTGCTAGATGAAATATCTCCTTTATCTTACCTGTTTCTATTTTCTGTGGCAGGCACACCTCCATAATAGTCCATAAAGATGAGTTCTACTACGGCGCTGGGGGAATCTCCAGCTGTGCACCTGTAAGTTAAACTTTTCTGTTAACTTTGTGATAGAATTACATCATTGGATTTGCTCGTGTCCTTTAGAAAAGCAGCAAGTGAAGAGAACTCTGAGTTCAGCCAGATATGGCTGCTTCTTGTGGTTGCCCTGTCCATCTGAGGAAAAGAACTGGGCAGTGGGTTCAAGCTCAGCCAAATACAGGCGAAAGGGTTACTTCCACTGATGGTGTCCTGGGTAGACAGACTCTTTCTGCAGCTGCTTTGTCAGTGATACGTTGTCTGATTTTGTATGCGTGGTCTTGGCGTGAAGGCTTGGCAACTCAAAGCATCCTTTTCAAGGTTAAAGAAAAAATCCATGATGCTTCAACAGACCTTTCTGTTCTTGGAGAGGTAAAAGTGATGGATGGTTCTTTTAAAGCAGAATTTTTTCAGAGCTTAGAGCTTTTAGTACATTGCCTCTCAGTCTCAGAGTGGAGAATGGAAGGCCAGTAGGGCCCTTTCCTTGATAAACATACTAGAAGTTCCTACTTCTGTGCCTATACAAGCCATGAGGGCTCAATTCGGTGGAGCCAAAAATAACTCAGTGTGATGATTTGAACAGTCTTCTGGATGTTAATTCCCACAGGGAGGGACGCTTCTTGGCCCCCCAGACTCAGTTATTGACTTGGGGAACACAGAAGTTACAGAAGAAATCTTTCTGGAATATCTTTCTTCCCTGGGGGAGTCCATGTTCCGGTAAGTAGCAGCTGGTACTGTATCATCTGAGTACCAAGAAAAGGCTTCTAAGGAGAGGGGTGCAGAAAGGAGGAAAGTATTATGAACCCACTCCCACTCACAAAGCTTTGTCTGCTTATTCTATTACTTAGTAGTCTCCAGAGATGAGGCTGGAACTGATGCACAGCTAGACAACCCTGTGGCGTGCCAGCCATGAGCTAGGCTGGGAAAGCATTCTGCTAGGAAGCCTTTCTCACTTTTTTTTTTTTTATAAAATGAAATAATGCTAGAAATCTCTTGGTGGGGATCACCAGGGAAAATGAAGGCACTGTATGAAAGATCTCAGAAAATAAGGCCCTGTGAATCATGGGTGAGGTGTAGTAAAGCTGCCAACGAGCTGAGTGAAAGCAAAGTCTTGACTGCTAAAACGTCACATCTATTTCTCACAACACAAAATGGTGGCATTCAGTATTCTGGCTGGATTTCAGTGCCAGCTATTCCCGTGATTTCTCTTTATTCCTTCTGTGGTTTTACATGAAGAAACTTGACCTCACTTAACCTTCAAAAAACCATCGTATAGAGTCAGTGATGCAGAGAGATGCCATTTTCCACCCTGATTCAATTAGATTAGCAGGTGAATTGATGTCTGTTTTACCTATTTGCCTTAGAACCCTTTGTTGGGGAGAGGAGAAAAGCGCTAATGTGAGGAGATGCTCCTCAGTAGCGATCTGTGTTTTAGTGCTTGTTAGCTTTATTGCTGAGTCTCTCATTTCAATCCCTTTCCTGTGGCACAGAAGTGAGTCTTACCACTTCTTTGAACGTAACTGCAACACCTTCAGTAATGAAGTGGCACAGTTCCTGACAGGAAGAAAGATCCCTTCCTACATCACTGACCTTCCATCTGAAGTTCTTGCCACGTGAGTATGCATTCTGCTTCTCTCTGTAGTGTATTGCTTCATGCTAATGCTTAAATATTTGACAGAGGCAGCAGTACCAGTTTGTGCTGTCTCTCTGTGAGAAGCAGGGTGAGATTAGGGAGAGGATACTGTTTAACACAATACTACACAACAGGTACTAACTGGCACTGGTATTACTGAGAAGGGAGAAGGAAAGCTGTTCTTCTGTCTTTAACTTGAAAGACCCTTGTAAAATAATTAGTTAATGTGACAAGAAGGGTAAAGGATCTTTCAGAAAGTCATGCCAATATATTTTTTGTTTCTTGATGGGTTTTTCTTGTATTTTTTTTTTTCTTTGTCTTGGGAAATCAGTACCTCTCAGAGATCACTTCTAATACTCTAAGCACCATAAGTACACTGGAGATGTTAGTTTTGCCAGCAAAGAAGGGGAGATGTAATTTTAAAGTTAAAGCTGCAGTTTTAGAACTAGGAATGAGTGACAGAAGAAGAATGGGAAGAGAGGAAATAAAGGTAGGTCAGTTCAACCATTTTTGTTGTGCTCTGAGCAAGCAAGGATCCCAGTGGGATGATTTGGGCTTTATTATTTAGGTCTTGTAAGTGGTATATCGCATCATGTGGGAGACATATCTTCCACTCTGGGCTCTTATTGACTAAGATCTGTCATGTAGTCTGTAGCAGAGTGAGTCATACCTGAAGGCAAACTAGCAGCTACAGATTGCAACAGAAATTATTCTGTGTGTTGAACCACTGTCTTATAAAGGGACTAGATCTGTTCTTCTAGCAGAGTCTTTAATATTGATGTGATACTTAATGGAGAACTGCAGTTGCATAACACAGATTTCAATCACATGCTTAAGTATTGTGAGTTACTGAAGCCAGTTTCAGACATGCTATTACCACATTATCAGTGTGGGCATGTTAGGACTCAGAACTACCTTTAAGAATCTTAAATCTGGTTTTGTTTAGTTATGGAACAGTAAATTCTGTTTAATAGGTTAAAAATTCTGTTTAATAGGTTAAATTTACTCTGCTTGTAGTGAAAAGAGTCTAGAATCAAACCAACATTGTAGAAGAAAGCTGATGAACAGACTGAAGTTGTAAATGGGGGGAGGGGAGTATTCAAGTAAACTATTTTAAATATTTATTTATTTGTCTTTTCAGACCTTTTGGACAAGCTTTACGGCCCTTCCTGAGCCAGTTGCCTCCACCTGGAGGAAATACCTTTAACAGGGATAATGGACAGAGCTAACAGGAGTGCCCTGCTGTGCCCAGCCTCACCAGGCCTCTTCCTTTTTAAGCACGAATCTTCCAGATTTCTATTTTATAATTTCCCATCTGAATTAACTCTATGGAAATTACAAGACCAGTTTTAAAATTTCTTAGGGAGAGGATTTATCAGGGTGCATGCAATCCAAGGCTACCAAAAAGATTGCCATAATTTCTAATAGTATTATGCTAATTTATAAAGGCTGTCTTGCCTGAAGTTAGGCTGATACTTTCTAACTAATTCCTCTGCTGGGAAGTGGGAATTCATTCCATGAGCATTCAAGCCCATTATGCATTTTGAAGTAAAGGGGGTGTCCTAGCCATCCCTTGCATACTCATGTGTCTCGTCACTGTCAATATTATGGGGGTATTTGCTCCAGTCTCTAGCAAGGGAGATACTTGTAGCTGAGGAAGTAAAGGTGTCCCAGTACTTGTCTTGTGCATATTTCATTAACATTGTGTTATTTGCTCAGGGGAAAAGCTGAACTCATTTGATAGGAGTATTTGCAGTGGCACAGCAGTGAGAAAGGTGGCCCAGCTGAACCAGGCAGTGTGACTTTCAAGGCTGAAACTTTCAGTATGTGTGTGGGAGGGAGGCTGCATCTGAAAAATACTCATGAGATCCAAGTGTTATGAGAGACAGCAGCTGAAAGAACAAAATCTTGTGAGTGTGAGTGATGGAAACAGTGGATAGAACCTTGTTAACTGCTTGCCTTTGCATGGGAACTGTTTTTTCTCAGTAAGCAAGAGTTACAGCATGGCAGTCTCTTGATAACATGATGTAGGCCAACTCTGCCTTCAGTCTTTTGTTGCAGACATGGTAAGGCTTCCAGCTGTTTCTGACATTGCTGTTCTTTCTAAAGCAGCCAAGTACATCACAGAGGGCTGTACGAGGAAAAGCAGGTGGTATGTCTCCCTAAATTTAAAGAAAACAAGGAAGAGTAAAATTAAGCTTTCCTGTGGAACAATTGGGTTGATTGGGATATGTGGAGAAGCAGTCCTATCCTTAGATTGACACTAGGTTGTGTCAATGCTGCATCTTCTAATTTAAGATTCTTACAGCTTTGCAGTTATTCACAGCAGAAAAAGATCACAGGAAGAAAAAAACAGGCCCACTGATTTCTTATTGTGCATGTATATATGCTAATTTTCTGAACAATTCTGTAGCGAGTATGCTTAGGAAGGAACACAACAACATCAGAAAAACCCCAGAATATTGCCCTCCAAATGGGCATTGCACATCTCAGATACTGCTGGAAAAAAAAGTGTCTATGCAAATGTATAGTCCAATGTGCAGTGCTTTGTTGTGACAACAGCTGCTGCATCTCCAATTTCCTGTGCTGGAAACCACATACCTGATGGAGGTGTCCTTCCCCTGCTGAGCTCTTTCTCTCAGAATAATACAAATTAGTGTGTTTCTCATGCTGTTAGTCAGAGCAGACTAACACTGAATATTTTTGTGGGGATGGAATGAAGGAAAATGCAGTTCTCTCACTGCCCAGTGCGCTGTTGCTCAGCACCTTGTGGAATCACTACAGAACTGGAAATCAGGTCCCTTTTGCAGTTATGTGTGGCTGTTCTCAGTGCAGGTGGCCTGTGCAGCACAGAATGGTTTTTGGTGGTGGTTGTGTTTGGTTTTTATCTTTCAGTCTCTGCTTGTGCCATCAGCTTCTCCTGGAGTGTTTCATTTGGACTGGACTAGCAGATAGCTGTAGCAGTTAGTATAGATGCAACAGCTTCATGCAAAAGCTTTCAGTCTCTCCCCGACAAAATGTACTGTTTGCAGAAAGCATTCTGTAGTAAATCATTTACCATACAGCACCTTCTGGTGTCCTGGGGAACAATTGTTAGGTTTGCTTTCTGCTAAGCCATAGAAGCCATAGCTTAGTTTTTTCACTGTCTGTGTATCACCTCTGAACACTCTTGAAGCCTATTTTGTGAAGAGGAGTTGGTCTCTTATCTTCCTGCATGACTATACCACAAAATGCAGAAGCACATTAGACATCATGGAGCTTCCCCAGACAATCAGGTATACCAAAGCTGATACAATGCAGCACATCTGGGTATGCTATCTTGGTATCCACCAGCAGCACAGCTGTGGCTGTTTCTTCCAGCAAACTGTCACTCCAGGTACAGCAATCTGCTGGTACAGCTGCTCAGCAGAGGGAATGCAGGCACCTTGCTCTCTGCACGCTCTGTTTCATGACAAGTGTGTCCACTTCAGAGGTCCTAAGCGCCCAGTTTCTGCTTGCCTGCCTATTTCAGAACATATCAGTGGGCTATGTTTCTCAGACATACTGTTTGCAGCAATGATGGTGCTCCCAGACAGCCTCCTTGTCTCCGGAACTGCTCTGTGTTTTGTGTAAACAGGACCTTTTCCTACAAATCCTTTATTTGATCTTACTGGGTAACAAGACCCTTGTACCCTGTAGGCCTCTTAGGAAACCCATTTTCTCCAAAGATATTTAGGTGTAACTTGCACAAGTCATTCCTCCCAGCCATATGTACTCATGGGAATATAAACTAGAATGAGATGTGTATGTAAGCGTATAGAGGTGGCAAACTTCAGCCAGCTCAGTGACAGAGGGGTAGGGCAGCTGCACTCCTGAATGGGAGCAGAATCCTTTGCTCATGCTTCCTGATCTGTTGTGTATCTCTGGGGTTCCCTCCATGCCATTTAAAAAAATGTTAATTAATAACATCTTTAGATAGAAAGTGATGTTTTGATTTTTTTTTTTTCTATTACAATTAAAAAAAAAAAAGTAATCCTGTTTGTATGTATCTTTCTACAAACCCAACTAGGTAGAAATCTACTTAATCTACCTCACGCTGTTCCTGGCTGGAAGTTATAAGCTAAGAAATCATCCCACTAATTTGTGCCGTGTTCTGCTTGGGAAAGCAGCAGTGCCTACTGCCCTTGGTGTGGACTGTTGGTTCTCTGAGCAGCCTGTCCCAGCACAGCACCACTCTTACAGATTTTTTTCCAACATGAGCCTCCCCTGGCACAGACTTAGGCCATTCCCTCTCACCCTATCACTGTTACCTGGGAGAAGAGGCCAGTCTCACCTCACTACAACCTCCTTTCAGGTTGGTATGGAGAGCAGTAAACCTCCTCCAGACTGAACATCCCCAGTTCCCTCAGCTGCTCCCCATCAGACTTTTGCTCCAGACCCCTCACAGCTCTGCTGCCCTTCTCTGGACACACTCCAGGGCCTCCATGTCTTTCTTTAGTGAGGAGCCCTGAACTGAACACAGCACTCGAGGTGCAGCCTCCCCAGAGCTGAGTACAGAGGGACGGTCACCTCCCTGCTCCTGCTGGCTGTGCTGTTTCTGATACAAGCCAGGATGCCATTGGCCTTCTTGGCCACCTGGGCACACTGCTGGCTCATAGTCAGCTAAGCACGGACCAACCGCCCCAGATCTCTTCTCTGAGGGCTGGTGCAGCTTGGGATGAGCTGAATAAAGGTTAGACAGCAGGGGTTTGTTGGACAAGAGGCTCATGACACCTCTGTTGGTGGGCTGAGAATCACAGAACCATAGAATCGTTAAAACTGAAAAAGATGCCTAGGATCTTCAACCACCAGCCCATCCCCACCGTGCCCACTGACCGCGTCCCTCAGTGCCACATGCACTCGGTTCTGGAACACCTCCAGGGACGGTAACTGCACCACTTCCCCGGGCAGCGCTTTCCAATGCAGCACCGCTCTTCCCGAATAGAAGCCCCTCCTGACCAGGTGCCCCGAGGCGGCAGAGCTGCGCCCGACGCGCGGAGCGGCTCCAGGTCCCGACGCTGCGCCCCCACCTCCCACCTGCCCGCGGCTGCCGGGCGCCTCCCGGAGCGGCGGCCGCACGATGGCGCCGCGGCGCAGTCCCGCCCCCGGGCCGCCCCTGCGCTCCGGCAGAGGCTGCGGGATGGCGGCGGCGCGGGGCCGGGTGCTGTGCCTCTTCGACGTGGACGGGACGCTGACGCCGGCTCGGCAGGTAGCGGGGCCGGGCGGAGGGGGGAGGGAGGAGAAGCGGGGGGCTGCGTGCCGGGCTCGGCCCCTCTCATCCGTCCTCCCGCTCCCGCAGAAAATCGAACCGGAGGTGGACCGCTTCCTGCAGGAGCTGCGCGGCAGGGTGCAGATCGGCGTGGTGGGGGGCTCCGACTACTCCAAGATCGCCGAGCAGCTGGGAGAGGGCGACGAAGGTGCGCGGCGCGAACGGGGCGCGGGGAAACGCGGCGCCGGGAGGGCAGCCCCCCTTCCCGAGCTTCGTTTTCCTTCCCGAGATCCGCGCCCAGCGCACGGCGAGTCCTAAGGTCTCCCTTCCGCCTCGTTAGCTCGTAGGGCTGAGTCAGCGGCGCCGTGTTTGCACGGGGGCTGCGTTAGGTAACCCATCGCCGCGCCGCCGAGCACCGCGGCGGGGATGGAGCGATGGGCGCACGTGGCCGAGCGCATGACGTTCCGTGCGCTTATCTTGTCCGGGGCGGTGACACCGTCGGGTCGCTGCCCGTCTGCGTCAGCCGCCCACCTGCCCGCTGCAGATAGCGGCCCGCGGGCAGGGAGACGTGCGGCCTGCCGGGTGTCCCCATTGCACCTCTTCTCCTCGCTGATGACCCGAGCGGTACGTGTGGTTTCTCTTTCGCCTCCTCCCTTTCAGTTGTCGATAAGTTTGACTACGTCTTCGCCGAGAATGGCACTGTGCAGTACAAGAACGGGCGGCTTGTGGCCAAGCAGGTGGGTCAGCACCGGGTGCAGGTGGCCACAGCGTGCCCCATCCCTGGAGCTGTTCCTGGCCAGGTTGGATGGGGCCCTGGGCAGCCTGAGCTGGTGGATGGCAGCCCTGTCCATGGCACGGGGTGGGACTGGGTGGGCTTTGAGGTTCCCTCCAACCCAACTGTACTGTGATTCTATGAGGAGTGCTGCTCCACGGTCCCTCCCTGCTTCTTCCTCAACCCCTCTCCTCCCGTAGGCCATTCAGGACCACCTGGGAGAGGAGCTGCTGCAGGACCTCATCAACTTCTGCCTCAACTACATGGCTCTGCTGAAGCTGCCCAAGAAACGGTAAAGGACATAAAGCTGTAAGAGGTGTCCAGAGGAGGGCTACAAATGGAGAAGGGTCTGGAGGGCAAGGCATATGAGGAGCAGCTGAGCTCCCCTAGTTGGCTCAGCACAGAGCAGAGGAGCTGAAGGGAGGCCTGATGGCAGCTGCAGCTCCTCACAGGGAGCGGAGGGGCAGCACTGAGCTCTGCTCTGTGTGACAGCACAGGCTGTCCAGAGAAGCTTTGAGAAATCCCACAGGCCTGAATCCACAGAGGCACTCGAGAACTGGAACCTCACTGAGTTGAGCAACCAAGCAGCAGTGAGGCAGTCAAACAGCCCCGACAGCTCTGGGCCCAGCCCTTGATTCTGGGGGCATGTTTGGCCAGCGCTGCTGTCTGACATCAGCTGTGGTTGCACTGACCTCAGAAGGGCTGTTTTTCTCTCCCTGCCCTTGAAAGGCCCCAGTAACCTTGTGCCCTTGCCCACATGCAGAGGAACCTTCATTGAGTTTCGCAATGGAATGCTGAACATCTCCCCCATTGGGAGGAGCTGCACGCTGGAGGAGCGGATCGAATTCTCGGAGCTGGACAAGGTGTGTGGTTGGGTTTGGGCTCGCTATTCCCTTTGCAGGTCTCGCGCTCAGATTTTGAGTCTTGTCCTCTTCCCAAGGAGATAGGAGGCCAGCTCCAAGCTATGTATCTTAGCTTGGAGGTTCCTGGAGGTGATGGGTTGATGGTTGGACTTGATGATCTTAGATGTCCTTTCCAACCTTAATGACTCTGTGATTCAGACCTTTTTCCCTTCTCCTCCATAGAAAGAGCGGATCCGGGAGAAGTTTGTGGCAGCCTTGCAGAGGGAGTTTGCTGGCAAAGGGCTGCGTTTCTCTCGAGGTGAGCAGAGGGTGCTTTGCCATGGCCTCTTCATTGCTTTCCTAGGATGGGGAGTGGGAATGAGGCTGATCCCTGTGGGGATCCAGGATCCCAGAGGCTGTGCTCTCTGGGAAGACCCCAGAGACTGCTCAGCAAGCTGCAATTCCTGGAGAGCTGCCATGGGAGGAACATGCTTGCATTTGCAGCAGGTCAGTGGCAAGGTGGTGATGGCTCGACAGTTGGATTAGATGATCTTAGAGGTCTTTTCCAACCTTAATGAGTCTATGATTCCACGAATAAACTGTGCCATAGGTTTTTCCTCTGAGCGTCAGCCAAGCCGACTGCTTTCTGTCCCATGACACTACCAGTGCCTTATTCCTGATAGCCCTGCTAAGCCCACCCCTGTGCAGCAGCTCTGCTCTGGCTCAAGCATAGCAGCAGGGCTGCCAGCAGAGCTCTGGGCACATTCAGTCCTCTGCAGGGCTCCTCCAGGAATGCAGTGGTGTGAGAGGAAGGGGCCTCGTGTTCTCAGCTCAGAGTTTTGTTTGGAGGGCTGGCTGCTAGGGAAACCTCCTTGGAAGAAGAGCTGGCACTGTGTGTCACGGGCTTTTGTAGGGCTGCTTCTGGGACTAGAGGTGCTTTACAGCCAAAGCAGGGAGCTAAGGAGGGGCTTCAGCAATCCTGGGAACCTGGCCAGCATTGGGGGAGAAATTAGGTTATCTAAGGGATGGGTCTGAAGCCAGAAAGAAACCTTTTGCAGAGCTTTGTGTAACATAAGAAGGTGGAAGTCTGGGCAAAGGGGCAGGGACACATGGAAATGGGGCTGGTGGGATAAGCTGGCTCTGAGACCCTTGTACCAGGCTGTGAAAGGTGGGAAGTGATGGGAGACCTCACTGCAGCCCCGTGCTGTGCCCAGGTAAGGGGCAGCGCTTGGTGTCCTCAGTATCTTCTCCATACTCCGACTGGCTTCCTGCCCCTCCCAGCTGGCACCAGGAGCCTTTCTCACTGCCCAGCTTTCATGAAAGGGGAGAACATAATGCAGTGCAGCATTTTATTTCAGTTATTTCCAAAGCAGGAGAGTGTGACGTCCATGCAGGAGCCCGGGAGAGTTCTCAGTGCCAGTAGCTGACAACATGTGCTTTGTCCTCTGCTGCCCCAACGCAGCACACACCGATGCTATCTGCAAGGTGTAGCCCCAAATCTTCTCCAGCACATGGATGTCTGGTACCTCCCTACCAGCTCCCCCTGCAGCCCGCTGCTGCCTGCTTGCACATGTGGCATGGAGCCCTGCCCTGCTGATGTCACTCAGCCTGTTGTCATAGAAACAGCATCTGCAACCTCCTAATATCACATGCCAGAGAGCCATGGGGCACAGCTGTATGGGGAGGGCTCCAGGTTGACCCCCAACCCCGGGGCAGGGGGACATCCCACCACCTCAAGGCTACTCTGCTAACACTCACCCTTCTGCTGACAGGTGGCATGATCAGCTTCGACGTCTTCCCGGAGGGCTGGGACAAACGCTACTGCCTCAATGTGCTGGACGATGAGAGGTTTGACACCATCCACTTCTTTGGGAACGAGACCACCCCTGTGAGTACACCCTGCTCACCCCTCACATGGCTGCTTGCTTCTTGCTCGGTGGTGCCTGTGGTGCTCCAGCAGCCACCACGAACCTTTAGTGGTATGCAAGTGGGGGATGCTCTCCGTGTGTCTGCAGAAACAAATGGAGGCTCCTTGCAGGATGCAGATTCTCCAAGGAGACTCTGCTAATGCTTTCCCCGTTCTCTGCTCCCCTGCAGGGAGGGAATGATTATGAAATCTACGACGACCCCCGGACGGTGGGACACAGCGTCCAGTCCCCCCAGGACACGGTCCAGCGGTGCCGTGAAATCTTCTTTCCAGAGAGAGCAAATGAGTGCTGACTCTAAGGGCCCTGCAGCCCTCCTCCCTTTTCTCCCCCACGAGGAAAAGCACCTTCGTTTGAGGAATCTGCTCAGGGTAGACTGAAAAACACTTGCCGGTGCTGGTCAGGAGCTGTTGTGTGAGTGCAGGGGGTGTGCAGAAGGGGGCTGTTGTTGGTCAGCCCTTTGGCACTCCCAATTTGTGGCTGAGGTCTGTGGGACCAGGCAGTCCTTCCTCCAGCAGAATTTCTCTCTTGCCAGCTGGGGCCTCGGTGGGCAGCGATACGTTCCTGCCTTCTGGACCCAAATGCCAGGGCCAGATTTAACCACGCCTGTCCACGTGCACGTCTGTCCATCCTTCCCTTGCTCCCTTCTCTGTTTTGCTCTTCAACACCTCTGCACAAGGGAATTTGCCTCTCATGTTCCCCTCCCCCTTTCCCAGGCACTTCCCAGAAGCCTGCACACAATTGCAGCATGGCTGAGGGTCCTTTGCATCCATCTGGCCCAACCCTATACCTGGAGCAGGGTGCCCAGACCTACATCCATATGTATGGCATCTGAAGGTCTCCAAGGAGGAGACTCCGCCTGTCTTGGCAGACATTGCCAGTACTCAGTCTTCCCATCCATGTGTCCATCAGGTGTCACAGATGTGTTACTATAAAGCCTTACCCAAGGCATTCATAGCAGACTAAGTCCCCTTCCTTCCCAGTGCTCAGCTCTCCTGGTACATCCTGCTTCCTCCTGCTGTCCTTGCACTGTCATTGCCCATCGCTGTGCCCCCACCTTGGAGCTGGGCTCAGAGAGGTTTCCCAATGGCTGCCACCCTTTAACCACAGGACCAAAGCAAAAGCTGGTGCTTCTGGGCCTGGGGCAGCTTTTCACAGTCCCTGAGAGGACTTTGGTCCCGCTGCCTGGCCCTGCTCATGCTACAATGGTGTGTGACCAGCACTGGTGGGTGCTTTCTTCTCCATGTGACGGTACCTCTTCAACACATCAGTCTGTAACGTGTCCAATTTGCATGAGTGCAGCGGCTTGGCATCCAGAAATCTCCAAAAATGCACAAATACCTCTCTACCCAGACAAAATCTCTGTGGGAGGGGGGGACATATTGGAGAAGCCGGAATGCGGGCCGCCATTTTGACCCTCCAACCCTCATGGAGGAACCTTGTGTTTTGTGGTTCCTCCTCTTTCACTGAGGATCAGGCTGTAGTTTATTTTTCCTGTGAATCTATTCCAAGTCAGCAGGATTTCTGTGTTTTTTGGCCGTGAGGCTGCAAGTCACCATGGTGGCCCTGGTGGCTGAGGTGATCTGTTTGCTCCCTGTGCTGTCTGTAGGGCTGCCAGTGATGTGAGTGAGGGGACAACCTGTCCTGCTGTAACTCTGGCTGCAGCCTGGCTGGGTTCTCTGGAGTTTCTCAGAGGCAGGAGGCTTCCCTTTGCCTGCCCCATAACACGGCCACAGGTTTCTCCCCACGGGTGTGTGAGTGAGTAGATGTGGTGGGGACCATATGGTTCTGTATCTGTGCGAGATGGGCAGCTCCTGTCTGACTGGTTCCAACTGTTAGATTAGAAATAAATTTAAAGAAATAAATATATAAATATATATATGTATACAAATCCTATTAAAGCCACAGTGTGCAGTTGTCAGTGTGTGCTGTCTGCAGGCTCTGCTCTGCCCTCAAGTGTTGGGTGGAGGCCCTGCAGGACCAGGGAATCGGAATCACAGAACGGTTGGGTCAGAAGGGACCTCAGAGCCCACCCAGTCCCATTCTGTGCTGTGGGCAGGGCTGTCACCCCACAGCTCAGGCTGCCCAGGGCCCCATCCAACCTGGCCTTGAGCCCCCAGGGATGAGGCACTCACAGCTTGCTGGGCAGCCTGTGGCACTGCCTCACTGCCTTCTGAATAATGTATTTCTTCCTAAAATCTGACCTAAATCTTCTGTCTTTTACTTTAAAGCCATCCTATCACTATTAGACTGTGTTAAAAGTTTATCCCTTGTATAAGCTCTGTTTAAGTACTGGAAGGCTGCAGGGAGATCTCACTGCAGCCTTCTCCAAGCTGAACAAGCCCAGCTCCTTCAGCCTGTCTTCATAGGAGAGGTGCTCCAGCACCTCTGAGCATCTTTGTGGCCCTCCTCTAGACTCTCTTCAGCAGTTCTGCTGAAGTTGAGGTGCAGTGCATAGCATTGGTGAGTGTCTGAAGCAAGCCCTGGGTTTCCTGGGTCCCCTGCAGGGTGCACTTACACACAAAAAAGCAGGACGGGCAGGGCTCGTGGGAAAGTCACTTTTAATGGTTTATTGCCAATGTTACAAAGGTTGACACAAGGTCAGACAGGCAGGAACCACACCAGAGTTGTAAAAACACCAACAATTCTAGGATTTTAGTTTATTTCCCAAAAGAAATAAAAAAGAAAAGAAAAAAGAAAAATCCAACAGTTTGTCTTGGCCAGGCTAACTGCCTGGGGCATGGCATGGGGCTATCCCTACGTCCACATCTCACAACCCACAGGTGCCCCTTCCCCGTCCCCAAGGCCACATGAGCCCACCTAGCCAAGATATGGCAGAGGACTGAGAACAAATTTGTGCTTTATATACGAGACCCTGTCTACACCGAGGGGGCAGGAGGTGTCGGTGTGGAGCATGAGCAGAGGGAGATCACCAAACCCTTCAGCCCCACGGTGACCTACAGACACACACACACAGGCACACACAGGATGGGTTCCAGGGGGGCTGGGGTGATGGGGGCAGAAGAGGCTGAGCTGTCCCCTCCCGGCACAGTGATTTGCCCACCTGGCCAGAGCAGGGTAGGGGAGGCTGGGACGAGCCCCCCACAAGGCCTAGGCTGCAGTGGGATGGGAGCAGGATCAGTCCTCCTGCTCCCCTTGGGCTCAAAGATGTGGGACTCAGTGCTACCCCAGGAGCTGGGGGGTCAGTGGGTAGGACACCACTTTCCCCATCCCCCTTGAAAGACAGGTACAAACACACACAAAAAGGAAACTGTAACCTTAGAAAAGACACCAAACGTGAACACCTGCGTGCTGAGGAGCGGCCCCAGCCTCTTCGCCAGCCCAGCCTTCCCCAAGCTCCCCGTGAGCGGCCATCAGGCCCCCCAGGCACCTAGGAGCCGATGATCTGCCCAGACCACGTCTCATGCTTCGTATGGGGCGCCAGGTTGGTGAGCACCACCTCCACTGCCTGGAACTTCTGGTTCTTGGGAGGGATGGGGCAGACCTTGTACGTCACCTCATCCCCCTCTACCGGGACGTACTCCCCCTCGATGCTGTGGGAGAGGAGAGGGGAGGCGATGGGGCCGTGGGGCCGAGAGATGGAGGCCCCCAGCACCAATGAAGGCACCCAGCACCATGGGAGAACCCCACCTGCAGTGGGATCTTAGATATATGGAGATAGAGTATCAGCTACGGATGCACCATCACCCATGGACACAGCATCACCCCAGCCCACGGGTCACCAGCTGTCCCCCACACACCCAGCACTGTGCGGACTTACTCAGACACATGGACAAAAATGTCTTCTGTGCCATTCTCTGGAGTGATGAACCCATGGCCCTGTGAACGGGAGAACTGCTTGCAGACACCCTTGTAGATCGGCCCAGCAGAAGCACGTGCCGTCCTGCAGGAGGGAAGGGGTGGAGAAGTCTGAACGTGCAGCCGGAGGGACATTTCCAGCATCCTCTGTGGACTGCTGGGTACTTACGCAGAGTAGGTCCTGGTCCTCTTAGTGGGCAGTGGGCTGGGCAGGTCCCGCAGTAGGAGGTTGCCCCGCTCCCAGACACGGCTGCCCTCGCGCTGGAAGGGGAAGGTGGGCCAGACCGGGGACTTGGGAGAGTGCAGAGGTGGCACAGCCGGTGGGGCACCGGGCTCTGATGACATGGTGGGGTCAGCGGGGTCCTCCGTCTTGGGGCCGGGCGTGGGGAGCAGCAGGCAGGGTTCTGCTTCAGCAAGCTGCAGGGAGAGGGGGGAGTAGTTACAGGTCGGCTGTAGCCATCGACCTCAGGTTCTTGGTTGGCATCACAGTTTGAGCCCTGAATTAAAGCCTGTGCATTTTGGCTCCCAAAAGCAGAAAACCCCCAGCGTTCAGCTGCAGGATGATTGGCGGGAGGATGGAGCCAGGTGTCACGTGCCAAAGAGCAGGAGCTGGCATGGGCATGGGCAGGATGTCCTAATTGGTGACATTTTTAGGGTTTTGTGCGGTTTTAAGCCTCCTGGCTCTGGAGCTGCTCAGAAACCCCACACCCTGCTGATTTCTTTCCTCCTCGGTGACTGCATCCAAAATGATGTGCCCCCCGCAGCCCCCCATGCCCATGTGGTGTATTTGGATTGCATGCCAGGAAACCCAGAGAGCCTTTAATTTGCTTTCTGACTCACAGTGAGAGGTGAAGGCCCTCAGGGAACGTGAAGAAAGGGGTCACCTCTGCTCCGAAATTAGCAAGCACCAAGGACATGGGAAAAGGTTTCTGGAGCAGACGGCACGGTGGGGAGGGAGCACGCCCATTCTCCTCACCCACCGCCCATGGCCGTCTCAGCACCACGATCCCGCACAGAAGCAGAAGCAATGAGACAGGAACATGCTTAGAGGCAAAACTGAAATCAGAGAAGGGGCCCACGGGGCCCACATCCCTTGGGGCACTGATTCCCACCTCTTCTGAGTCCCTGCAGCAAACAAAGGGATGGGGAAAACCACGGAGGGGAGCTGTGGGTATGTCCTCCCTGCGCCCACCCCGCACTCAGCCACACCATGGGGATGAAGTCCGGGGCAGCTGAGGCTGCTGCAGGCTGGGGACGAGTGAACTCGCCGCCTCGGCACAGCCACGGTTTCGCCTCCTTGTTTCTGTGAGAGAAGGCCTCCATGCAGAGCTGCCAGCGGGCGCGTGCACCAACCCCGCACCAATTAGGATAGACAGGCAGGAGACACGTCGGCTTTTATCTGCAGATCCAAGAGCCTCGCTCATCACGATGCAGCTCATCAAACAAAGTCGCTGTCTGCCCCATTCCTCATAAACACACACCCTCGGGTGGGTGCTGGCGTGACCTGGTTTAACTCCACAGCCCCACAGAGAGGCAGTGGCCCAGAAGCTCCGGCCGCTGTCACTCCCCGGTCGTTAGCAGCAGCAACACGAAGCCCTCACGCGTCACCCGCAATCCATATTTAATTGGTGTCATCTCCCTCAGAGCCCCGGCCCTCCCACGCAGCTCCTCTTTGTGCTCCTTCCCCCCCCGGGATCCCTTTGCCTTCACCCAACCCTAGGGTCCTGGGCCTCCCACCGCCCCAGGGGGCTGCAACCCTGTGCCATCCCTTTGGGAATCGGAGCGTGGCCTGGGAGATGGGTGTGAAATTGTGGGTTTTATCTTTTGGACCCAGAAAGGGGCTGTTGTAACAGGAGGGGGCAGCCGGGAAGCAAACGTTCAGCCATCCTCTGTCCTTGCAGCTCCGGCGTCTCTCAGGTTTTCTAAATGCCGTCTCTGTCCAATGCTAATGAAAGCCCCTTAGCCCCCCTTCCTCTTTTTTTGGTTACTAGATCATGCCATTAAGAGCTAAAGAAGAGTGGAACAATTTCCTCCACGTATCCTGCATGCTAAAAACCCCTTGGCTGAAATGAATCACTATACAAAAGATAAGCCAGCTTTCATTGGGAACACACACTTAAAGCTTCCCCTCCCCATCTAAGCCAATCACACTCACAACTCCAAGCATCTTTGCTGAGATCGTCTCGCCTACGATACAGCCTAGTTAGCGCTAAAATACGAATGTCACCTTTATGGATTGATTATAAAAAGCTCCCTCCGTCAGTACCTCCGGATTCTCAGGGAGGCCGTGGGGAGAACTGCCACAAGCCAAAGGAAGCCAGAGGAGAAGCCATCATGGAGGCTTGGTTTACCTTTGGAGTATATATGCATAAAGCATTGCTCTCCAACAACCAGGTTTGGGGGATTTGCCTGGTTGTGGTTGGGTGTGATTTTAAATCAGAGTATTGTCGGCTCAAAGACCTCACGCAAATGTCCCCATCCACAACCTTTCATCCTTTCTCTTTCCTTTGTGATCTAACTTACTGTCTGCAGGAATGAATAGCACAGCCAGCCCCAAAGAAACATTCATTCAAGCCCCCACCTCTACCAGGACAGGTTTTCATCCGCCGCTTTCTCCTGCTGTCAGTGAATGGAGAGCTGGTGCCAGCTGAGCCCAGTTTGGCAGCACGGTGTGCCCCCAGCAAAAGTGGCCATGCAGCACCGCCTGCCCCGAAGGAGGCATTGTCTGGGAGCTGCTGGGGAATCAGCAGTAAGCAGAACAGAGGAGGGATGCCATGCTTCACCCTCACACCTCTCCCAAATTAAAAAGCAGCCCTGTAAGCAAACACCGTGCATGAAGCTGAACCTTTGGCTACAATAGCCGATGGCCGTCGTGCCTGCCCTTACCTCCTTAGCAATGAGGGGCTCCCTGGAGCTGCGGCTCGCAGAGCATCAGCGCACGGTGGGGACGGGGAAGCGCTCCTTTGCTGCCCGGAGCTCTCGCATGTAGCCCGGCTCCGGGGGCTTTTCCACTGCCGGCTGCCGGCTGCCTCCCGATGTCTCTGCGGTGCCTGATGTGTGTATGATGTGCAGCCTGCACACACGCATCCGCACGCCTTCCCTGACGTCAGGGCCAGGCCAGGGGGAGCAGGCAGGTGGGAGGGATCAGGCTGGTCATCGCCGTTCCGGGGAGGGGGGGGAGTGGAGGGGCTGCATCGTTCTGCTCGAGCACCGTGACGCATGCCCACGTCGGTGGCACGGCCTGACACGGCACGAGGCAGCCTTGCAGGCTGCGGGGACAAAGCGGTGAGGGACACGTGTACCCAGCGAGTCGTTCCAGCCTCTCCCCACATCTTCCCAAACCCTGCTGGTGTTCCTGCAGCTCTCCTCAGCTCCTGCTGCCTGCAGCCCCCTGGTACCCCACAGTGCACGGTCACTCCATGGCACGGTCAGGGGCTTGGGCAGCAAAGAGAGGGACAGCGGACATGGGGACAGAAGCCCAACATGACTCCTCACATGGTGATGCCGCATCCCGTGCTGGTCCTGCTTCTTCTCCTTGTATGGTGTGTACCGTCAGGAGGGGAATTCTGTTTTTTGAGCATCATCTCCCTCGAGTTGCCATATGGCAGGTCTCCATCCCAAAAGATACTTTCTTTCTCTTCTGCCCTGTGTCAATAGGACTGTGCTTGAGAGTTATCTCTGTGGGGAGAGGCAACATAATAAATCACCCCCATAATTCCTCTCCTGGGGGCACGGTGTGATGTGAGCACTCGCTGCAATGAGGACAGGAATCAATTGTTCGTTGTGTCTGCTGGGGATAGGGTGAGGAGCAATGGGGCTTGCAAGGAGCAAGACTGATGCTAGATATTAGGAAACACTTTCTATCAGAACAGACAGCTAATTACTCAAATGTTTCACCTGAGTAAGCACCAGTCTCCATGACAGGAGATTTTTAAAAACATCATGGGAATGCATCCACTGGGGAGTTGGGTGCTACTGGCCTTATTTTGTAGCAGGGGAATGGACCAGGCTGGCATGTTTGGGGTTCAGTCAGCGCCCATCTCCCTCTAGTTGTGGCTTTTCAAGTTTTCTGCAACAAACACAAGTCCCATTTGCCACCTACAGATACCACAAGGCTCATCCACCCAGACAACTCTTCAAAACTTTGCAAAAGAAGCAGAGGAGAAACGCAGCCACCTGTTCCAATCTCCGGTCCAAGTTTCCCTTGAGCCAACCCATCCTCTCCGGGTGACAGCTCACCCCCAGCAGCCCAGGAGGACGAAGAGCTGGAGGAATGCTGGGAATGTGCAGCATGGGCACACCCTCCTCTTCCCCAGGTGTTCATTTAATTGTTGTACATTGAACATCATCAATACCTGTTCTTCCTCATCAGGGTCAGCTGTGTGCCCTGCTGCAAGTCGTAAACAACACAGAGCATCAGACTGACTCTCCTGTATAGTCAGTGGGGGCTCTGAAGGGAACTTGAGGTGGCAGACGGCTCTGGGCATGCGTTGCAGTGGAGAAGGCAGGGAGTCCAAAGCATGTAGCAATGATAAAAGAAGAGGGGAAGCTTTGATCAGAGTGGGAGTGGGGGTGCTAGAGATGCCTGTGGAGACAGAAGCAAAGACAGGAGTGTGGAGGACTTTGTACGTGAGAAGATACGTAAATCCTTTGGAGTCAATCAAAGCAGGGCTCAGCAACCTAGATGCAAATCATCCCTCACCTCCGCCTACAACATCCCTGAGCCAGTTTTCCCCAAAAGCCCTGGGAATGTGGAGACAGAAGAGATCATAAGCAAAACAATTTGGGGGTTTCTTTCATTTTCCTGAGCCTTCACGTAACTTCAGATTGTGTTTTCAAGTTTTCTGCAGTTGTGAGGATGAGACATGCCTAGGGTTTTCTCTAAGCAGCAGAAAAACAGCAGCAGAGAACCGTGCCCCCATATGCTGGCAAAACCTCCGTGCTCTCAAGACTACTGAGAGACTCTGGAGACATCACGGTTACAAAAATGTGTGCACAGCCTCTGTGAATTTGTGGCTCTTTCACATGTCAGTACTATAGGGACAAAAAGAAAGTGCTCAGCAAGATGGGGCCGTTCCCACAGTTTCCAGCATCAGAATATTTCAGCTGCAGCGTGAAATATAGCATGCTGCTGGGTGCTATCTACAGCAGGGTTGAGACAGCAACATTTTACAAGGCAAGATTTGGCTTTAGTTTATATTTTTACATCAGAGATAATGCTTATGACCAACGCTGATGGAAATACAGAATTCTTCCACAGAGAAAACCCAGTTAGTAGCAGCACGACAGCCATTGCATCCCTGAAGCTCCAGGTGTGCATCATGCTGGAGTCGGAGGGGTTATCTGCAGGAAAGCATTTCCGGCAGAATGTGACATTTCTGGTAGAAGCTGATAAATTGCTAGTGGGGCTGGTAGCCTGGTATCTCGAGGCAGTGCAGCTCACCTGACTCTGCCATTGCACTTCATGAAACACCAAGGAGCTATTCATTAGACATGGGCCAGAAGGAGGGGATGCCTTGCAGACCTCCTAGTCACATAGCTGGCGCTCAGGGCTGTGCAATAGGCTGAAGGAGACGTGTTTGGTTTGTTTTGGACACCCAGCAGCCCCCATTGGGTCGTGACTGTTGGAAGCATGAAAAATGTTAGCTCAAGGGCAGGCAAGAAATGCAAGTGTGGTGTGACCATCCTAATCCACTTATTCATCCAGTCTCCTGTATTATTCCAGGTATTCACCCTGTATTGCCTAGAACCACTACCCCTACTTAACCTTCCAGCTCTTATGTACAAAAGCATCCAGAGTGATCACCTTGCTAGTATCAACACATAACCTAACTTCTGGTGTGATACCAAGGCTATTTCTTCCCCTGCTGTCAGAAGAGGGACATGCTGAGGAACTATAGCACCTTCTGAAAAGGCAGCTACAGTGACCTGCAAAACCTGCAGCTAAAGGTCAGCCCCAGCATCGTCCAACCTGCATGGGGCCAGGACAGAACAGCGAGGGATGCAGTGAGCATGCCAGCAGAACTGTACTATATCCAGATTAGCACATCCACCGCCATGGAGAAGGGAAAAACTCCTTGTACAGCTCCCAAAGTAGGCTGGGGTGGATTTGGGGTGAGTGTCCCGACAGTGGTGCGTGCAGAGCTCATTGCTGGCACTAACACTGCTCCTCCCAGGGACCTGGGAAGGAAAACTGGATCCTCCATCTCCTGCTTAATGCCAACGCCATGTGCAGAATGGCCATTTAATCGTCACAAAAAAAGACACCCTGGTGGAGCAGGAATAATTTCAGACAGATCAGAAACTCCTTAGCCACGACAGATCTCTTGTTAATGAGGCTGAGATGCGGTATTTGTGGCCTCATTTTCCCCTTCCCGCTCCAAGACAGCTCAACATTTAACAATTTCTTATCCCGAGCACTCATTACCGCCCACTACACACTGCCACAGGGTGCGGGGGGTGACACCCGTCGTGTTGGCATCAAAGCCGCGGTGCTGACAGCACAGTTTTGCCTGTCAGCCGCAGACACGTTGGTTATTCTCAGTCTTTTTTTTAAGCACCGCGCAGGCAGCTCCTTCTATGTCTCGGGGCAATTCCCAGGTACGGGCACAGCCCCTCGTTTTCCACAACCCCTATCACGAGGCGGGCAGCAGCGGAGAATTCGCCACGGATTCACGTTTTACTTAACGAAACTGAGCCCTCCAGGGAACGGAGCGCCTCCGTTATACACACCGCCTAACTCGCTCACAGGAAGACAAAATGGCCGCCCCCACCTGAGGCGGGCCTCGCGCCGGAGCCAGGGGCGGGGCCTCCGCACCGCACAGAGCCGCGCGGTAGGTCCGACCACACGTCAATCAGAATCCATCTCCCCGCCCCCCGAAGGCGATTGGCTCCGACACCGGAAGTCACCGTGAGGACGTGCGGCGCGTGGCGGGGTTCGGTGTGTGTCAGGTGGGTTTGAGGCGGTGCGGGGTTTTTGCTGCCTCTGTGGACCTGCTGCTCTGCGCTCCGGGCTCACGCGGTCAGGGGCCTGCTTTGGTGTGGCTGTGGGCTCGTGGGGAGGCCGAGCGCTGCCCAGCTGGTCTCTAACCCCACTCGTCCCCTTACTTTGCCCCTCCCAAGACACAGAGTGCTGCCCCGCCGCGCTTCGGGCAAGGCCTGGGCTGAGTGCTTGTTACTAAGGCGGCCCGGCGCTGCTGTGCTCTCTCCCTGTCTCCCCAGAGATCGTCATGTTTGTCCTGGTGGAGATGACTGACACGGTGAGGATTCCTCCCTGGCAGTTTGAGAGGAAACTGAATGAGTCCATTGCTGAGGAGTTAAACAAGAAATTGGCCAATAAGGTAATGTATAGGGTGGTGTAAGCATCGTAGGATCATCATATAGCAGAGTGTATCTGTTTTTGTGCCTAATGACACGTGCATTAGAGCTTAAATATGAAGGCCAACCCCAAACAGAGAAAAAAAAGAGGGAGCTGTGCACCGTCCCATAGGGGTCTTGTGTTCATGGTGTAGAGAAGGTGCTGAGGGGCATGGAAAGAGAGAGAGTCATTGCCATCTTTGTGGGGGGGCAGTACAAAGTGTCATCTGAAAAAAAAACAAATGCAAACCAGGCTAGTGTAAATACAACAAAAATACTGAAAGAGAAATGAAAGTGGTGATACCTGTCTTGCTTTGTGCTGCATACAGTATGGTGGCACAGTCTTTGCCTTTAGTGTGGGTTATATGAAAGTGTTGTGTCACAGAGTCCTGTGCAGCCCATGAGGCTGATGGGCACACAGCTTTCAGGGGGTGCAGAGCTCAGAGTGCAGCTTGGCAGTGTGAAGGGGGCTCTGGAGAGCAGCCCAAAGTGATCGAGGAAGCAGATTATACAGACAGGTTAGAAAAAAACCTGACAATCTTGTATCCACTGATTAGGGATAGGTACCATAAATTTTGTAGGCTGTGAAGTGGCAGAGAAACTGGGAGTTCTCCTTATCTCTACCCAGAGCTATTATAATTTCAGACAAATAAAAGCTTAGAAGCTTCTGAGGATGCTGGCAGGAAGTGCATTTGGCCTTTAGACAAGATGTGGGTCTGCTGAATTGATGTGTGTTCTTTTAAAACTTTACTATTGTGGCAGGTCAAATTTTTCATTATTGACAGTTATCCCAATAATTTCTGTTTATAACAGTGCTCCTTCTAGTGCCAGTAAGAACACAAACTCTCATAGCATTTGAAGAAGACAGGGGTTCCTCTGAAATGCAGTGTGCTTAGCTGGGGCCGTTGGAGGAGTGCACATAAGCAGCTTTTGTCCCATCTTGCCACCTTCTGTTGCCTTCTTTCTAAAAGTTATACACTTTGTGTAAATTTCAAGGGAGTTAACCTGTTAATTGATTTACAGCCTTTTTTGTTACTTTTTAATTTGAGCAGGTTGTATACAACGTTGGTCTCTGCATCTGTCTGTATGATATTACAAAACTGGAAGATTCATACATATTCCCTGGGGATGGAGCGTCGCACACCAAAGGTAAGTTCTGAGTTATGGCAGTTGCAGAAGGTTAGTGGCCTGCAAGTATCAATTAAGTTCCCATTGTTAGATAAATTAAGTTTAAAGGGACTTGCTGAAGTTAGCAGCCTTCACTGTTCCCTTTAGAAGAGATGGCAGAAGTCCCTTTGCATTGCACTGCTGTGGTTAGAAATACATATTTAATTGGGCAGTCCCATCTTCCTTCTCTAGCAGTCCATCTCTGCCCTACAGTTACAGCCATAGGTCTTGGATAAGGAAGGGGTTAATTTAACTTAGAAAGCTCAGAAATCTCCAAATAGAAAATAATTTATACTAATTGTTCTGCGTTTGTCCATTATTATTACTTTTTTTCTTTTTGAAGCTTATTTTGCCTGCCTGGAATGTTGAAACGTTTCTAAATATAACATTCACACAACAGTTGATGCTGTTTTCTTAGCTGGAAGCTTTGCGGCATCTGTCTTTGAGACTTAGACAGATCTGGTTCAGCATACATTTTAGGATTTTAGATGACTTTTTGTTGGGGAGGGAATAAGAAATGATTCGTTACTTTTGGGCTTTGGCAAATCTGAGCAAAAGCTGTAAGTAAATACGTAAATGCTTGAGCAAATGAAGTAACCCTGTAAGAAGGGAACTGGACTGACTGCACGTGGCACCCCAGACATAATTTTTAATGCCAGTAGAGCTCATTCCCTACAAATCAAAGCTTCTCTAATACTGAGGAGCATGGCAGGCTTTCCTGCTTTAGTCTCCATTTGCTTCCTTAAATTTGAACCTCCTTGAACTGAAACAAGAGAATATGTTCTCTGAGTTTGCAGAGAAACCTCCTGCTTTCAGAAGCTGGGATAGCACTTGCTAGCAGGAAGCAGGATTTATTACTCCTTCTCCAATCTACTGCCTGGTTTTATATAGAAGAGCAGCTCTGGGAACAAACAGTTAAAATGATGTAAAACAGCTTTTAAGCGTTATTTTGCTGGGGTTGTCTTAGTATGGCTTCCTTATACTTATAAATGTAAAATTCTTAGTTAGCAACATAACTAGATTTTTTATTCGGGTTAAATAAGATTATGGCAGAGAATCTTACTTTGATAATATTGTTTACCATATAATTTCATTATTTGAAGAAAATAAATCAATGCTGTCAAAGATAAATGGAGCAGAAGTATGGCAGGAAAACAATATTTCAGCTGACATTCTTGGTCTCCAAGGAATGCTTGCTTTGTAACTGAATCAGAGGTCTTTGTTTTATAGTTTTATCCTGTGAACTTCAATTCTTGCAACGTTGAAGTGCAGAGAATGGGAAATTGCTGATCAGCTGCTGCTGTAATTCATATCAAACAGGAATCGTAACTCTGATTCCTGTTTTCTTGAACTCACCAGTACCTGTAAGGAAGCTGTAAAGCATGCAGGATGCAACATTTTAGAGGGCTTATAGGATGTGGGATTTTGTTTTAGTGGCTGCCACCCTGTGGAAGGAGTATGGTTCACTCACACGTACATAACATTAAGGATGTGCTTTCTTTCAAGTGCATTTCCGCTACGTGGTCTTCCATCCCTTCCTGGACGAGATTCTGGTTGGAGAGATTAAAAGCTGCAGTCAGGATGGCGTTCATGGTAAACTGCATCTCCTAACATTAGGGACACAAGAGCTGAATGTGCTTGGGGATACTGTGGTTTCAGGCACTGTCATGCTGTGTGTGAGCTGCTTGAAGGCTGATACTGCCTCCAGCCCTGCTCCAGCCTGAGTCTGATTGGTAGCTTAAGCCTGGCAGCTTCCCCTGCACTCCATGGTTTTGTCTGTGCTCCCCTTTCCCTTTGTCACTCATGTGCATGCCCAAGAAGAATAAGCAAGCCCATCTGGAGCTAGACTGAATTTATTTTCTTGCTTCAATTGACAGAACTTCTGGTGGTTTTCTTTTAAGGCGGTAGTATCAGATTCTGTTGGTCTGATATATATTGCTGTAGTTTCTTGAATATTTGTGATTAATTCCTGTATCTGAAGACATGGCAGGGAAACAACATAAGAAAGATGATCAACCACATACTTCATGAAGTACATAGCTTATGGATTGCCTTCTGATATTGTAGGAGTATTCCATGCAGACGAGCTCCTGGGGATCCCAAGGATGTATTTGTTGCTGAATTTAGGCTCGTAAAACTCAACATCATGTAATCTAGAGGAGGAGGTGGGGATTGGTCTAACATGTTAAATAAAGAGCAGTGTACAGTTAGGTCTGTGATTTCTAAGCTCTTTCCTGTCACAGACCTCTATAGCATCTGACTCATTTATTGGAACGCCGACACTTCCAGTCCTGCTCCAAGCAGCCTTTTCCTTTCCCTGTGGCCACAAAGAGTGTGCCCCCTGTTGCTGTATGTACTTCAGCTGGGTGTTTGCTTTGCTGCCAACTGAAAAGGAGCATTGTGACTCAAAGAATAATTCCTGCATAATCTCAGACGTCCTTCCTGAAAGAGGAAGGAAAATGAATCCAGAATTGCACTTTAGGAATTGCTGTGGTACATCATTTGTGAAGAATGGTTTCAGTCTTAATCAAATTCTTTTCTCCGCAGTTTCTATTGGATTCTTTGATGATATTGTCATCCCACCAGAATCCCTGCAGCAGCCAGCAAAGTTGTATCCTTTGATCACCTTTGATAACTTTAGTACTTCATTTCAAAAGATTGTGCAGTGCTGGCCCTGCAGGCATTTACTGCTGCAACAATGAAGGTGCTCAGTGGCAGAAGCTAAGCTGTTGTGTCGGGCAAGTCCCACAGACTGTTATCACAGCTAGGCAGGCCTCACGCTTATTAGGTTTTGCAGGATCATTGTGCCAGCTGATGAAAATGAATAGCAGTGTCCCTCAAACAGCCGCACCATTAATCCCTGCCTCTAGACTTGCTGCTGGAGACAGAATGCAGGGTTTGCTACATGTGTAGATACACGGTGTGTCTAATGTCTTTACTTGTGGGAGCCTGAGGGGTTGCTTTGTTTTGGAGGTGCAGGGGGAATACACCTGGAAGCAGGAAAATGAGAAACAAGGCCAATGGTCCTGGAATGTGCCAACAGTGATGTAGGAGAGCGTGTTGGAGTTTGAGATGATTGTAAAAAGGCTTTGAATCAAGACGATTCTTAGAACTGTAAGGGAAGTGATCTGCCAGGTGAAATGCCATTTCCTTCCTTAGCCCTTGGTGTGGCCAGCGATGAAGCGGAGCAGGTGTGGGTATGGGAATATGAGACAGAAGAAGGGGCCCACGACCTCT